GTTGGGTGGGGCGTGGTTGAATGGCGCGGAGTCGAGAATAGCGCTAGAGTTGCCTGAGCGCAATAAATTAGCCCGAAATGAAAGACAAATCGCCTCTGAGCTGTCCGCCCGTTTGCCCCGACGTGATAGAAGCACGGGCTAAACTGAAGCTAGTGGTGGTGCTGCCGACCATTTGGTCCCATGGGTGAGAAAAGAGACCAAACCTCGTCAGCCTTCTTCGATATTTCTACTTCTTTTATCTTCTTTTTATATCCTTCTTCGTCTTCCTCTTATTCTTAACTATTTTTATTTTTTTATTTCACACTATCACTTTCAATGTGTCTATGTAGATATTATATACCACTAACTTTACTTACCTTTTACTTGATTAAAAAATAAAAATTTATAAATAATAAAAATATTTAAGACTTGAAATTTTGTGGAGTAAATAATTTCAACAATATCAAAAGAAATAATAGTTTTAAAATTTATAATAACTAGATATATAAAGAGAAATAAATTAAAGTTATATTGTAAGTTATTTCAATGTTAAATGTAAATGGTTTATAAACAAAGAGTCTATTTTAAGTCGATTAAAGTTTTTCAGAATGATGATTGGACTGAGAAAATGGTATATAGATGCAGTCGTATAGAGTAAAGGGATCTGCGTTAGTATCGTACAGAAAAGACCGACATAACTCGCCCGCGGATGATTTGCCTTGTTAACGACCTCGAAGATCAGAGAAGAGAGGACCCAATCTCGACGACGACAAAGAGCCTTTTGCTAAGAACCGACCGCAAACGCAAGCCCTCAAGGCATCAGCGCTCAGAAGCTGATGTCATGTCGACAAAGGTTTTGAGACGTCAATTAATTAGCCCGTACTTTTACTACCTTTGATGAAGAAAATCGACTTAAGTTTTTAAACTTGATTCATCGCATTCTCTTAGTTCTAAGATTTAAATAAAAATTTAACACTATATAAAGAAATTTTTCATCATTCGGAGTTGGAATATACAGCTAATTTTAGGGTTAAGTGTAATATTGTCGTCCAGTCGATATGTTTCAAGAATTTTTAATTTTTCTCAATATTAATCGATTTAATTTGATCACTACATTTTTAGTGACGACAGACATTGGTAAGCATTTGTGACCACATGCCACATACAGCTTTTTTTTTTTATAAAAAAAATTGCTTTTATTTTATTAAATATCTTAGAAACAACATATCGGAGAGCGATAGATGGTACATGTTATTTTCAGAGATTTTCATGAGAAAAAAAATGAGACCAGCCTTATCTTTCTACAATTAATAGTTCTCAAGATATTTAATTGTTAATACATGGAGAAAAGATTCCGTGAAATTTTACTGAAGAATCCTTTAGTTGTTACTGCGAGACCATCTGCGCAAACCCAAGAAAATTTATTTAGTAATTTGGTGACACTGCAGGGTAAGGGTAAAAATTACTATACACATAGAAAAAATTACTGTACACATTGTTAAAATTACTAAACTGCATAGTTATTTTTACTTTAATTTTACTCAGTGATATTTCAATTGGTTATTCACAACAAGAATAATGATAAATTATTTTAATTTTATAAATTAACGAAATATCGTGCAAACACAATGACTGAAACTCGAATATTATGAATAATCAATTACGATAAATATATATTTTTATTATTAAGTATGTATAATAAGATAAATCAATAAACTAATATTTTTTTGTCAGTTGTTTTTTTCATTCTGCGAATGCGCGACACATCCGGTAATTTTGCAAAAAGCTCGGTATCCTGCCCACGGGAAAATAACTCATATATAGAACGATGACTGTTCGCGAGTGTCTGTGGCGAAATGAACGTTTTAATTCCCCTCCATAAAAGCCAACGACAAATCAAACGACTTTGACATGATTAACTGGTGCGCATAAATATCGGTATCAATGCACGTGCACGCAATGACGCGTCATACCGTGTTCGTCTACCACTTTTTTTCATCCCTGTCTCTCTGTCTCTTCCCTTGATATGTCCCAACGCTGGATAAAAGCGCCAATGTGATCATGCGATTCACTTCAATGCAAATATAACAATTACGATTAACTATTGATTATACAAAGAGATACATGAATTCTCTTTGACATATCCTGATTTATATAAATTTTTATAGATATCACTATAATATTGAACATGTAATGAATTAACTCGATATTATATTCAAATAATTATTTTTTATTGTTGTTGTTAAAATACGATACGTAAATCAATTATTTCTATTACCCAGGACAATATCTCTTTATTTTAAATATCCTTGCTAAAAATATTCAAGGTGGGAACAAACTCAAGGTAGATTATTTTTTATTTACAGAGTAATTTCACCCAATATAATCATTATCACATTTATGGTAAGCAGACAAGTAGATTGTAAGAGCATGTGTGTTAAATGCTCAGAATAGAATCATTGTTGAAAAAAATTTTATGTATTTTATTTTTGCCAGAAGAAGAACTTTAGGGGTAATAGATAATTTCAATGAAGATAAATATAAATTGGGATATTTTTAACAAGGATATTATCTAAAAAAAAAAACAATTTTTATGGAAGATATTTTGTTCGTAAATATTGTAAAAAAGGATGTAAACAGAGGTAATCTAATTTATGCTTTTCATTTGATTTATTCTTCAAGCTAAAATTATAAACAAATTCCCCACTAAATAAAAATTAAATAAGCTATTCTTCTAAATTAATTTTATTTAATAAATTGAATAATTTGATAGAAAATAATAATATGTTTTATCTGACTTCGATATAATAGTTATAACGAAAATGTATAGATATCAATTTTTTTTAATAAAAATAATCAAATAATAATATTTGTTTAAAAGTATTAATAACTTAAAATAGTCAGAAAAATTTTCTGAACAAGAATTTATAATATAAACTAAGAGAAGGCATAAGAATGGTAGAATAGTAACAGGGGATTCTCAAAAAAAGTTTAAGAGTTTACGGTAGGTGAGCGTAAGAAACTAGGTTACTGCAACAGGTGGGTACTAAAGTAAATATACGCACATTACGGTCATTCGTTGGACTTGCAACTATATCTTGATGTATAAATAATGATATATTTAAAATAAATTTGTTTTCGTCAGCTCATCAAGTGTTATCAGTTGCCTATGTTCAATATAATACTAATAAGTAATTTCAAGTAACTACAAAATATTCAAAAATTATTTATAAAATCATGTTAACAGGAAGTACATTAAATTGAAATTTACTTGTAAACTGTTATTAACAGATACTTGAAAGTCGTAAGATATGTAAATATAGTATAAGCAACCAAGTATTCGCACCTGCGTACATCATTAAAACGCATCGTTGAATATTATAACACTATCTTTTATGAGGTAGTAATACTCTAAGTGAACTTACTCCTGGCATTATGACTTGTTAAAAAGACTTGCTGTAAATAACATGTATATCACAGACATTTATGATTATTAACTTTCAAGTTAATCTTTATCGGTACTGACTTATTGCTACATTACGTCTACTGAAACACTCAAATTTATTCTCATTAAATATTTATTAACCTTAAAAAAATTATTTTCAACTCTAAAAAATCAATTCTATAATTCTAAATTCATATCATTGATGCTTTTAGCATTTCATATACATACATAAATAACATGTAAGAAAATTAAATGTACTTTATATATAAAAACGTAATTATTCATTAACTTTACGATCTAGATATGTAGACATAATTTATTCAAATGAAAAAAGCTATAATGAAAATGATGTATAATTTTGAATAAAATTGTTTAAAGAAATATTTATATTTTTAATTGATGCAAGTATACACTAAAAAAAAATAAAAGTTAAATGTAGAATTTTTCTTTGCTTATTAGAACGAATTTCGTATCGTTATTCTGATGATGTAGATTACCTTTGTATCAATCAAATCGCAAAGTTCTTTGTTGCAATCGGGACTCTGTGTTTACGATATTGAGCAAGAGGGAAAACCGAAATCCCAAAAGAAATAAACGAGAAGAGAAGTTTGTCTAAATAAAATACATACATTGCTTGTGCATTTTAATGATAATCAATTTTTGTTCTGATACTTTACAATAATACAATCTCAAAAAAAATCGGAATCATCAATTTTACATAAAATTTATGTCAGACACATTTTATAAAATTATTTAATAGAAATTCAAAAAAGTACTTGGTATGTTAATAATAGTTATTTTACTTCATTTATGAATTAAAAAATTCCGGTTGAAAAAAAAATCAACTTTTCATAATAATTGAGATAATTGAAAAAAAAAAAACAAATTATCGATTTTTTATATTATGTAAAATAAATCAAAATTTTTATCGAAAAATGACAAAATTTGAATTAATTACCGAATATAATCATTACCAGTGGTAGTATAAACAATATCTCATTATTTAATTTATCGACGAACGGTAATATCACAAAAAAATTTTTATATAAAATTAATTATCAAAATTTATATTAAATAAAATAATGAAAAGAAAAAGTAATAATGATTGTCAGAATTTCATTGTTTGTTTTTTAAAATAATAAACTAACTAATTAAATGACAAATCTCGAGAATGGAATATTACTTCGATAAAAAAAATAATTAGAACAGAAAATAGAATAATTTGGATTGATCATAAAAGAAAGAAAATAATTACATTTGATAAGCTTTGACCATATGCAGCATTATTCTCAACTCAAAGAGAAGAAACCATAAATTTTCTTCCATAATGACCGATGTCATATGATATTGAAAACTATGCTGTAATCCTAGTTGCGACCTCTTACGTTTGTTTTTAGAACTGTTGGCTCCGTTTCAATACTTTTCATATACCGATTGAGTTTTTGCATACACTGTACATTATTTATATTCTCGACCTGTTACATACATTGTACACATTGTTGTTCACTTATATTTTTCCCAAACATAAATATATGTGCATCGAATAGTGATTGTTTATAAATTAAAAACTTATCCAATTTATGTATTTTACATATAACATAAAAAATGGAAGACAAAAAAGCAAACAGACTGAAAGAATTGCAAAATTTAAAAAATTGTGTAGAAATTACAGATAAAAATATAAATGATATGATTGTATCTGTCGGCTGGACTGTTGAAAGGACAAAAAGTGTACGTATTTTATTGTAAAATTTCTTATAATAATTGTAGGATCTTCTAAAAGTAATTATTTATGTTCTTCCATAGTCAACGAGAATGTTAGAATGTCCTTTTGACTCTTCCCATCACTTTTCGGAGAAAAAATTAGAAGAACATTTAGAACATTGTCAATGGAAAGCTGAAGGTTATGGAGAATGGGATATTCCTTTATCAGAGCCTACAATATCATCTAATGTTCATTCTTCCATCAAATTTGGTAAAATTCAAACCTTTATTATTTTCTTTTGCTATATAAACTTCGTCTAAATTATTTAACTTAATGAAATAACGAATACATAGCATGGGATGTAAATGACTTTGGATCCTTCTGTATTATTCATTTTTGATTAATGTTTACAGATGAGCAGATGTTGGAACAAGTATTGAAACAAGCTAAATCAATGACGCCAACAATGCAAATTGGTTAGTCTCACATTATTTTAATAATCTCATAAAACTTCGTAATTTCATTCTTATTTTATTAAAACTTATTTGCAGAATTTATCAATGTCATGCCATTTATACTGAACTTGAAATATCCTTTAAAAAACTTTGCATGTTAATGTATTAATCGTTATTTTATCTTTTCAATGATAATAATAAAAATTTCTTAATATTGACAATAGGTGCGGGCAACCGATTATTACCCCGCACTTCGAACAGAATTTTTTCTGATTTAACTTCTGATGAAAGAAAAGCGGTGTATGAATATGTCATAACTAAAACTGTAAAGCCAAATGTTGGAGAAGATATATCTAACCTCAATAAGCTGTAAGTATTGTGATTGAAACAAATGTTTGCATCTTAAATATGACAAGAACTTGTGATTATATTTCTTCTTTTTTTAATTACAGGAAAGAAGATAACAATAAATCATCGTATCTTGAACTTCTTGCTCATGAACGAGATTTAAAAAGGAGAAGAGCTAAACATCGTGGTGTTCATACAAATAAAAAATCACACATTGAAATACTTCGTGAGATAGTAAATCAACAAATGGAAATGTTAGAAGAATATTTTAATGTAAACAAAAATAGTGGCAATCAAAAAGATAATGTGTTGCATGAAGATAAAGAAACACATTGTATTCTAAACTCTACTTCAAAAGATATCGATTATCTTGATAAACATGAAATTACTCTTAAAGATAATAGAGATAGAAGAAATTTAGAGAAAAATATACAAAACTATAATCAACATCACAATGATTCTAATTATAATCATGATTATTATAGAACAAAAAATTATTCTTCTGATGATAGAAAGAGAAAATCGTCAACAAAGTATCAAGATTTGCATGAACATAAATCAAAACATTATTATAAATTGTCCAAAAAACACGACAAAAATGAAGAACACTATTCTTCAGATAAACACAGACAATTTCATGAAAAATCTAGTAAATATAGGTTAAGTCATGATAAATATGATGATAAGCAAAGTAAATATAGTCATAAATCTATGAAATATGATAAAATACGCGAAGAAAAGAAATCTCGTAAATATGACCCTCTAAAGCATACAACTAAAATTAAACATGGATGTAAAATATCTAATGATAGAAGGAATTAATTATTTAGTATATTCATTAAGTTTGTACATACGAAATGTTTATCAATTATGTTTGTAAATAAAAATTTATTGCAGAAGAATGTTTTCTATTAAACTGCCATTATCATTAAAAAAAATAAAAATAGAAAAATATTTCAGTATATTACTTATGAATAAATGACTAATAAATAATACAATACTCTTAATTTCTATTGAAGATAAATATTGATTCACAGATTAATCATCAATTACTTCTGTCAAGAAAATATTATAATTAGCATCATCTTGTTTAGGTCTTTGCAAAGGATGTGCAATTAATTTGACAACAGTATTATATAACTGAGCTGCATTTCTCCCTACTTCAAGAATGTAAGAGCTATTTTTTGCATCAAGTCGTTGTAACTCACCGTAAATTCTTTCACTCATATTGTCGTCACTTAGCGGTTCATGTACATAAATCAAGTCCACAAAAAAATAAGGATAGTGCATCATTTTTTTAAAATATCTAATATCATTGAATATTGGTAAACAATAGGAACGAGTATAAATGAAAATTACGCGAGTTACACTTGTTGGAATTGATGAAATTGAATCGAAAGTGACAAATGCATGTATTTTCTCAAAGCATTGACTTAAATCACAAGGATTTATCTCTTCAAGCTTAACTTCATTGATTTTTTCAAGAGCGTTACACAATTGTCTTGAATTATTTGTAAAATCGCAAACCATATTTACTGTATTGTCACCCAAAGTCATTATTGCGAATTCATGAGCACGATTCAATCTTCCTTTAGCAAGAATAAATACTTCTAAAGCTTTTTTGATTATGTGTAACGGTAAATACTTCTTACCAACTCCTAATTCATACATGGTACAATCAGGTTCTCGTGTAATATCAATCATAAAAATAATTTTCTCTGGACAATTAATTCGAGGTAAATTATTTCCAATCATGTAAACTTCATTTTTTACTGCATTTGCTTCCATTTTTTGTTCAGTAGTAGAAACATAAGATGAATACTCATCAATTCTTGAATGTTCCGCAATGCTGTAGTTGGAATCAGTTGATATTGACTCTAATTTACGAGATATAGAACCTATTTCATCACCAGAATCGTGTTTTTGTGCCATTTTCTGTAGTATGTTTATTTATTCTTTCAATGTAATTTCTATCTAGGAAAAACAACAATATCAATTCAGTTATTACTAAATGTTTATTATAATTGTTTGAATTATTTTTTGCATACCTTACAACTCAAAGGACAATTGTTAAATATTCTCCTATAATTGTTAAATAACTTAAGTTAAATATTCTTTTTGAAATAACTTTAATGATTGATTTCAACGAAATTTGCTGTAACAATGTTATTCACCACTCATCTATGGTTATAATTTTTTAAGATGTAAACACGATGATATACATAAAATTATTTAAAATATTTATGATGAAGAATCACATTTAAAATACCATTAATTGATATTATTACGTATTCTTTCTTGAATTATATTTTTTATTGGTTCTTCCTCAAATGTTATTCTGTACCATCGACAAACTTCTTTACTGATCATCATTTTAATTCATAAACTGAACTGTTGATTTATCTGGCGCTACTCGCTGTATCAAACGATATAGTTTGTATCCAATGAGCAATTACCGACCGCGGGAATGATTTTTTTATTTGATACGTCTAAATGATTTATTATACATATACATATGTGCACATGATTTTGAAATAGTTTCTGTCAGAAAATGTGTGACCACCATGTGATTGTATGTGATACCATGAGCAGTGAGAAGAAAAAAAATACAATGCGCGGTTTTTAAATCAATTTGATATTGAAATAAATTAAAAAAAATATCTGTATACATATTCAATATAATTAAAAGAATAAATGAAAATTTAATTATTATTAGAACATCTTTCACGCAATCAATTATGAAATACAAACATTTCGTTATAGCACGTTATCGATACATATGATAACTGTTACATGAATGATTTAGTAATTTTTTAATTATTATTTATTGTGTTATGGTTTTTATATATTAGTAAATGTGTATGTATTGATTACCAAGGTTTTTATTTATTTCTATTAATAAAATACCAATCTTGAATTATCATACATAATTTATTTAATATTTTTCATGCTCCTAACAACCTTGTTAATTTTTCTCTTCATTCAAATTCTTTTTTTTCATTTCTATTCTTAATTAATGTCACTACTGCTTTATTTAATACATTGTTTTCTATTGAATTATCAGGACAATGGCCTGCTACTTAACGAAACGAATAACAAAATTCATTATTTCGAAATGGTGGAATTCGAAAAAATCATCAATGATCATATTCCAAGAATACAGTAATATCAACAATGACATAGGCAATAAAACTAGTGGTACTAGTCCATTAGAAGTGTTAAAGTCTAAAATTGCTAAAGGAGAATTAATAGAAGATGAATATCAAATTAGAATCGTCCAAAGTTTAGAAAGAGTATATAATGAATTAAATAAGTATGAACCTGCAAAAGCATCATTTTTCAGTAAATTACTTGGAAAGAAGTCAAATAAAAAAAATACTCCTAAAGGACTGTATCTTTATGGAGCAGTGGGTGGTGGAAAAACAATGTTAATGGATCTCTTCTATAATTGTTGTCAGGTAATGAAAATTAAATGTATTATATTCCTGTTAAAAAAATAGTAATTAATTATATTGACATCTTTTAGATTGAAAATAAACAACGAGTTCATTTTCATTCATTTATGCTAGATGTTCACAGTAAAATTCATGAAGTCAAAAAAAGTTTTAAAAGAGATGAAAAAAATACTAAACCTCAACCGTTTGATCCAATACCGCCTGTAGCTGAAATGATCACTGAAAAAGCATGGTTGCTTTGTTTTGATGAATTTCAGGTATTTTTATAAATTAACCAAGTTATTTTTATCTATAAAATTCTCATTAAACTCCATTCAGGTGACTGATGTCGCAGACGCAATGATTTTAAAAAGATTATTTACTCAATTATTCAATAATGGAGTTATCGTAATTGCAACAAGCAATCGGCCACCAGATGATTTGTACAAAAATGGTCTCCAAAGAAGTAATTTCGTACCATTTATTCAAGTATTAAAGGATCATTGTGAGATAAATTCCTTAGATTCTGGAATTGACTACAGAATGAAAATAGGAGGTGGTAAAGATAAAACGTACTTCATCAAGGACCAAGATCCTAGTGATGCTGTTGATACAATATTCAAGTATTTGTGTTCTATGGAAAATGATATTATAAAGCCAAGAACACTTACTATCAAAGGACGTAATGTTACTTTTAAGAAAACTTGTGGGCGAGTCATTGATTCTTCTTTTGAAGAATTATGTGATAGAGTAAGAATCCACTTATAATGATATCATGATTCATATCGATCATGACAGTAAAAAAAAAGTAATGATCTGTTACAGGCACTTGGAGCAAGTGATTACATAGAAATATCACAAGCGTTTCATACAGTCATAATTCGCGATGTGCCTCAACTTAATTTACGACTTAAATCACAAGCTAGGAGATTTATTACCCTCATTGATACTCTCTACGATAATAAGGTAATGATTTTGAATCCTAGCATTTATAATTATGGAGTAATAGGAGATACAAAAATAAACCTTCACTGTTTTAGGTAAGAGTTGTAATATCTGCTACGGCTCCACATACCAAACTATTTGTACCTGAAGGAGATGCAGAGTACACTGATGAAAAGCGAATGTTGATGGATGATTTAGCTATTTCACATGGTTCTGATAATCACAAATCAAACATTTTCACCGGTGAAGAAGAACTCTTTGCTTTTGATCGTACGGTATCCCGTTTGTCTGAAATGCAAACAAAAGAGTATTGGGATCAATGGGAACACTAGATACTATATTAATTAAATTACGTCGATATCTGTTTTTAGTAAAAAAATTTAAAACAATTTACAAATAATTTATGTCTAATTCATAACTTGAATTACTATTTATTTCAATGTATTACATTTTTATTTATCATAAATTATTTCTTCAAACTGAAAGTACAATTTATTTGGTAAAAAGGAAATGATATAATTTTATTTTATTTTTTATGTACTACATTTGTTATTTAATACACACACTTTTTGCGGTTAAAAATTTTATTAAATCGTTTGGTAAACATGTAGAAAAGACGGAGCCACTATCAATGAATTATGATACATGAAACGTAAATACTAAAGCTCGGTTTTCACGAACTTATGAGGTCAGTATTTTGACAAATCTCAACAGATGTTACGGAGGCTCAAAAGTTCGGATAAACGTCTTCAGATCTACAGTACTGGACATAAGTGCTGTTTAATTTTTTGAAGGTTATACATGCAATTTCCTTATACTGTCCCATAGAAAATCACACAGCATTTATGTCCGGTACTGTACGATGGTCAAGTAATCCAACACTTTGTTGATATATAATACATTCATGAGAAAGTTCTTGATTAATATTTGAACCAGAGAGAAGTCTTCTCTCTGTTTGAACTAATATAAATAAAGTATAATAAAGTATTCCCTAGCAGATGTCTTCAGTTTAAATCCCTCGTTACCTATTTAATTCTAGTTGACATCGAGCTTCGGCCTTCCGCCGCACAACGCGAGGGAGTAAAGTCAATTTACGGAAACTTTCTGACTTGAACCCAGCCCAGGGCTGAGCTTAGCCTTAATGAAGCCGAGTGTACATTGATAAAACTTTTGTTCTCATTTACCGAAAAGGACATGTTTATTGTTCTCATTGATATGTTTTGGAAAACTTTTATAAAAAAGTCGGTACTCTGCAAGTATGGATACTAACTCTCAATTTTAACTGTTATTTTCGTTGAAATAACTCATTAGAAAGGAAGTGTATACCATAACAAATAATAATTTCAATTGTTGTAACTTAATAAAATTATCCCGGTATTTTAAAATATTCTTGCGAATAAAAATATCGCATTTCTATAATTCTTTTTTTTTTACAAAACTTACAGTATTTATTTTAGTTTACATATCCGTTATCTTTAGTTAATCGAGTTTTCATACAATAAATTATTCTAAAGCTGTGATTATCTTAATTAATAATAATGGGTGCACAAACAAAAATTCTTGTTCTTCTGGGATTGAACAATTCCATAAATATTGATGAAGTTGCAATTAACGAAAAAATCAAACAAATTCGTTCACGAGTCAATACGATGGAAGATAAGGAAAAATTAATTTTATTACAAAAAGCTATTACTTTTCTCGATTTGACATCTCTTAATACTGATGACACACAAGAAGTTATTCAAACATTATGTCTAAAGGTAATAAATTAAAAAAAATATAATAAAATTATCATTAAATGTATGCTTGAACTTATTTTAATGTAAAAAATATTGTAGGCAATGAAACCGATCGAATCACAAGACAAAACAAAGGAATGTTTACATACAGCAGCTGTATGTGTATATCCCGACAGAGCACAAGATGCAATTGATATTTTGATCGATCATGTTGGTCGTTTTATATCTGTCGCTAGCGGTAAATGTTCTATCAATAATTCAATAATAAATCAATCTCACAAATATATGAATTAATTGTAATAATTTCATTCAAAATCGAGTATAGTAGCTGGAGATTTTCCGTCTGGAAAACGACCTTTTGAAGAAAGGTTACAAGAAGTAGTCGATGTTGTCAAGCTTGGGGTAGATGAAGTTGATGTAGTAATTGACAGATCTCTCGTTCTTACCCATGACTGGGATGAATTATTTAATCAATTATCATCAATGAAAGATGCATGTGATGCCAAACATATGAAAACTATATTATCTGTTGGCGATTTACCAAGTCTAAATCATATTTATAAGGTTTCGATGGTCGCAATGGCAGCTGGTAGTGATTTTATTAAAACATCGACAGGAAAAGAAGTGGTAAATGCCAATCTGCCTGCAGGAATGGTTATGTGTCAAGCTATCAGGGAGTATAAGAAAATAACCGGCAGAAAGGTTATTATAAGGATTTTTATTTATCTCAAAAATATTTTCATAAAGTTAATAAAAGGTGTGTAATATGTTTGAATAATTAGGTGGGTCTCAAACCAGCTGGTGGAATAAAAACTGCTGTTCAAGCATTGGAATGGCTAATTCTCGTCAAGGAAGAGTTAGGAGAAGAATGGCTAAATAAAACTTTTTTTAGAATTGGAGCATCTAGTTTACTTGATGATATTGTGGCTACGATTCACGATTTGTCAAAATAAATTTTTGATAAATTGTGAAAATAATTATGATATGATTTTTTACATTTATATTTTCGCATTTAATGCATTTGGTACATATCTTTTATAACATATGACCTTTTAAAAGATTTCTATCGTTCACAGTGAAAAAATTACTTAAATTAATTATAATGACATTCAGAAATTTATTTTTATATTGACTTTTTTAAATGATAACTAGTTTTAAAATTTTATAAAATATCTATTTATTCGATAAAAACTTGAAAAATCTTAAAATTAAAAATTTTATGAATGAATTAATTTTATATGATACTATTTTCGAATTTGTATTTGTTAAAATACATTATTATTATTAATATATACATTCATGCTGTGAAATTTTTTTTTGATGAAATTTTTATGCTAAATTTAAATTTGCTATTGGTAAATGTATTATTTTCATCTAGATATCATTTTTTTAAATTGAGTTAAAAATGTATCCAATCATGTTCGATAATCAGGTAATGACATAGAAACAATTCGATCCAATTGACTTTTCCTCAGTAAAATTTAGAGAATAAAATTTTATTATTAGGTTAGATATTCTAATTAAGCATAAATTTAATTCTTTTAAGTAATTGTATATTTCATGAGAAAATTAAAAAATACCTTATCCATTCTATCCAGAGTTATTCGTTGTAGCTACAAGTATGACATTTGCCTAATGCTGTATCAGCTATACATGGAAAATATAATATATTTATATTATATTCTCCATGCTGCTATATTATCACTTCATCAAGCTCCGAAAAGCAGTTTTGAAAATTCTAAATTTCTATTGGACCATAGCACATAAATATTAGCGAATCAGAGATCGGTATTTTTGTGACCCGGACGGTAACGTAGAGTCGGTAATTCAAAACATGCTGCTAGCGCTGCTCGCGGACAATTATGAACTAAGTCCAAAAACTGTGGACTCGATGAACCACTTCTTTATCTTACGCCGTGGTTAATTCTTTTCGTTTGGACAACATCCAACATGGTAAGTTATAGTAGTTTTTTACATTATTTTATCCATTAACATCTTCTTTATTATGTAAGTATAATTTTAAATAATGTCTAAATATGATTTATAACCGTACACAAGATAAATTTATAAAAATATTTTTGTCATATTCATAACAGTATTAAATATAGTACCGAAACTTTAGGTTAGTGTATTTACGTGTCATTGGTGAAATTGTTTAATTAACTTGACATTAAATTACTTAAATCAGTTTTGATTATTATTTATTTTGAAGATTAGCAATGCTTAATATTTTATTTACTAAATTGACTCCATAAATATTAATTTATTGATCAACAATAAATACCAAACAACAGCCTAGTGAAATTTTTATTAAAAGGTTATACACATATTTAGATGTATTTATGATCATTTCTTCTAGTAATTAAAATTTATATTTTCAGGCTCGAGGTCCAAAGAAGCATTTGAAGCGTTTAAATGCACCAAAAGCATGGATGTTGGACAAGTTGGGCGGTGTATACGCTCCCCGTCCATCCACTGGACCACACAAACTTCGAGAGTGTCTTCCATTGGTTATTTTCCTCCGAAATCGGTTGAAGTATGCGTTGACAAACTCCGAAGTAACAAAAATTGTCATGCAACGTTTAATCAAAGTTGACGGAAAAGTTCGTACAGATCCTAACTATCCTGCTGGTTATATGGGTAATTCTAAATTTAATTTTTTTATCACTTTATATCAATTAAAAAATCACTAACGATTACTTGTTTGGCCTTATCGAAGCTATAATTTTTTTTTAAATAAAATATTGTAGTCAAATGTAGGCCAAAATTAAATCCTCTATTATGGTCACTGATATAATTTTATGTAGTATTACTTCAGTATTACCCAAGGAGGAAACAATCTTCTATCAAACTACCATTTAAGCTGCAGAAAATAAAGCTAAATCTAAATTCAGAATGATAAGAATTATCCCACTAATAATTCAATTTTTTCAGATGTTATTACAATTGAAAAAACCGGTGAATATTTCCGACTGATATACGATGTCAAGGGTCGTTTTACCGTTCATAGGATTACCGGTGAAGAAGCAAAATATAAATTATGCAAAGTTAAACGAGTGCAAACAGGACCCAAAGGTATTCCATTTTTGGTTACCCACGATGGTAGAACAATTCGGTATCCTGACCCACTTATCAAAGTTAACGACACCATTCAATTGGACATCAATTCCGGCAAAATCATCGATTCTATTCGATTTGATTCCGGTAATTTGTGTATGATTACTGGAGGTAGAAATTTGGGTCGTGTTGGTACTGTTGTGAACCGTGAACGTCATCCTGGATCTTTCGATATTTGCCACATCAAAGATTCGCAAGGACATACTTTTGCAACCAGGTAAATATTGATTCTTTCTATATTTATAATATTTTTTAAAAATCTTTACCATGATAGTTAATTATTTATTTTTTATTAAAGGTTGAACAACGTTTTTATTATCGGCAAAGGGGCTAAAGCATACATTAGTTTGCCGAGAGGCAAAGGTGTTAAGCTTACCATTGCTGAAGAACGTGACAAGAGGTTAGCGGCTAAAGGTGTTAATTGAGTCTAATGGTATGGACAATTATTTAATAAACCATATAACATCTTTGGTAAATACATGTGTTTTATTTTTTCATCAACATTCATTTCTGAAAACTTTTGCTATATTCATACATATGCGTATAATAAAAAATAAAGAGAAATTTTTCTTTTAATTATAAAGAATGAAAATGAGATTTTATGATTTAATTATAATTAGGTTTAGCTTAAATATTTATAGGTTTTAAATGATCTCTTTTTACTAGGGTGATATAATAAATGAATACTTTTCTTTTATTTGTTTATCAATTTTGAATGAAGATAATTGATGGTTTTGAATTTATTGTTCTCAGACTAATATACATAAATTATTTATCTGGCAGCCATATTTCAGTACTCAAATTTAATTCTTGCCGTAGAAGTTCATTACAACGTTTATCTCCATATTTTCCAAATTCTCGATTGATGTCTTTTGCAACTTTAATGAATCTATAAATGATATTCAAAACTACAGATTAAAATTTTACTTTATCAGTATCATTTGATTAGTATAATAAAAAATTAGTTAATTACTTTTGAATTGATAATACACTATTTCTAATTTCTTTATCATGAGCTTTAACATCATTTAAATAAATAGATTGATCATCATCAATATTTTCTAGCAATTGATAATCAATAATTGGATAGATTCTAATCCATCCACCTTCTCGAGTTTTAGGATCATTCCAATTCTTTCCATTATCCCAAATTGTTTTTTCTGAATTATTATTGCTAGTAATTACGCTGTTAACTTTATGATTGAGTTGATTGTATCGTCGAAGTTTTTTCTCGAAACCAGCAGAATGGCAACAAGAGTATGAATTAACATAATTTTGAGTTGGCGATTGTTGAAACTACATCATAAATATATAATTTGAATTAATTTAGTTTCATCAATTTGAAAATCATCAGTCAGTTTTAAGTTAATACTAAAAATTAAATGAATATTTTAGAATACAATATTACTCTTACCGTTTCTGAATTGATATTTAAAAAATTAACCGAACTGTTTGAATTAAATTTACATCGTTGTTTAGAACACCGTGGTTTATTATATTTGGAAGCACAACAATTATACTCAGCACAATATGTAGTATTGTTATTATTATTAATATTGTTATGATGATTATTTTTTTTACTATTAGACGTTGACCAAATTTTGAATAATGAAAGACCTGTATTACATACTGGTAGGCCCAGTAAATCAAAAAGATCATGAAGTAATGGCTTCTTTACTTCAGAGTCCACTTCACAATCATTCCCTAAAGCAGGGCTTAAATTGACCTATTTGAAAGATCAAATTTAAAATTATATTTATTTATAAAAATTGTGGAAGTGTAATTTCGTCTTGATAAATGTTAACCAACCTCTAAAAGCCAAGGTTTAAGATTGACGTCAATTAAAACATCGAATCCAAAAAATTCAAAGCAATTTAATGATTTAGGTATCCCAGCTGTTTGGCTGAGAATCGTTAAAGTAACAAGACAAGCAATTCGCTGCCAAAGAAACCAATCTTGTAAGCCTGATTGATTCATGTATCTCCTTAATTGTCGAAAGCTCCACTTGGATCCTAATAATATGAGCAAACATTTTTGATCATTATAATAATGATAACTAAAATAATTTACCTGCACCAATTCTTTCTTTCTTCTGAGAATATCCAGGTCCTAATTTATTGAGTGCAAAATTAGTAAGATGTCGATAAGGGTCATTGAGATTATCAAGTGAAAATTTTTGTGTCGCAAAACGTGTCAATCCTTCATTATAAAGATAAATAACCAAAGGTCTATAAGATGGAACACATACGTATAGTCTTAAATCAAATTTATAACCACCAATAAGGAGTGGCTTTTCAATATATCTCTGAACGACAGCAGATCCATCATAAATCAAATCACTTAGTTTCTGTAATAATTCAGTTATTTATAATTTCACTAAAATTGATCCTGTATTAAATTTATGTGTTCTATTTTTACAATACCCGAAAAAGAAATATACCGCGTCCTTGGCTCTGTCCAACGGGTTTGCATATCCAGACTCTATTATCGTTCTCTAAACGACTAAAGTCTGCTGCTAGTTTTGTGTACTCTGATGGAAGGTTATATCCTATTGGACTAATATATTTGATGTAATAATAATCAAACTACATCAAAATATTTAATAATTGAAGTTTTTAATTCATTAATTTAATTTATTTTTTGATTATAAACATTGAAAGGAAAACACAAAAGTCTATATGAGAATATTTTATTGATAAAGTGAATGAAATGAAACAAAAAGTAAATAAATAAATGAGGAATTTGTTTATTAACCTGATATCATAAATTGAACCGTAAACTTGTCTCATACATTTCAGATGTCGTATAAGATTGTCTTTTCTACATATCGAGCTACCCTTAGGAATCCGATTTATAAACTGCCAGGGTAATAAACTTTTGTAAAGGGATGTAGCAAATCCTCCTGATTTCCACCACAAATTCCAGTGATCTTTAAAAGCATGATTGGTATCACCAGTATATTCTCTCCACCCACGTTCTATGCACACCTATCATGTAATAACACTTGGTTAACTTTTACTATTCAATGTTCTAGAATTAGAATAGTAATCACCTGGACAAGAAGATGTGGTGCAACACCGTTATCATTAAGACGAAAAATAAATGGTCCGTCCAATTTCTTTCCATTCATCTTAAGTATTGATCTAAGAAATTTCCATTTTCTAGGAGAAATAATTGAAATAGTTATAAAAGTACATTAAAAAATGATAAATAGTGAATTCAAACTTGGCAAAATTAGGAGTTCAATAATTGTAGCACCTATCATACTATCATCTTTAATTTTACTTAATGAGATCACAACATGAACATGCAATGCTCTTATTTTATTTGGATTTTTTGTATTTTTTTTCCACAAGGTCTACTTGCTGTCTTTCAGTGAAATTAAATTGGCTGCAGGTTTCTTTGCTATTTATAAATTATCATTTCTAATCATAAATATCAATGAAACATTTAAAATAAAATTAGAAGTTTATCATTCAATATTGAACTCCAATTTTAAATTTCTTATTTATGTAAACATTTATAGCTATGATGATTGAGCTATGATCTGGATAATATCTATTAATTTATTGATTTGTAATAAAAATTGAAATTAAAGGAAAAAAATAATTTTAAAAGGAATCTAGTCAGAGTAATAACAAATATATACAATATGCAATTAATAGATAGACAAAAAGAAAATTTTAAAAAAAGTATCAATAGGATTATTTACCTTGCAATATTTAAATGTGCATATCAATTTCATTTAAAAAATCGTAACTTTGCGTATTTTTGGTGATAAAAAAAGGCAAGGTTGAAATGAAGCTTAAGTTAAAGTTTACGACTGATCGATGTATTGTTTCTATCCTAAAGTAAAGCCTCGCGGAAATATACCCGCGGACTTGCTTCCTCGAACGCAATGTAATGTAGACTACTGCTTAGCTCTAGGGTGACGTTCGTGGTTCTAGTTCTTATAGACATTCGTGCCGCCAACTCTATACACGCATTACTATCAACTGTAATGGCCACAACTTCATGACAAACATCGTTTATAAGTTACTGACGTTCCTGACATTCTCGACATACTCCACAACATTCTTTTGTTGATTTACCCGTAGTTATGTGTAGTTATTGTGTTTCAAATTATCCCTCTTTGTTGACTTTAATTATTTCTAGCTGCATTAAAAAGTTTTCAACTTATCAACGACAAAAGGAAATTATTTGTTATTTTAGTCTGTAAAGGGCATTTATTTTTTTGTCATATTTTATATGATACCCAGTAGCAGAAGTTGATGGTAAAATTCAGCATATCATGAGTTCACTCTTTCAACTTGCTTTTAATTAGCATGGAAGAATATTGAATAGTTAGAATTCTTCTTTTTTAATTAATATCTTTTTAATTCAATAGACTTTAAAATTAAGTAAATAATATTTTATACAGTTTTATAGCTGCCAATAATTTTTAAATATCATGAGCATTAAAATTCTATACATATTTATAGATATTGTTATCTCAAGGAGTTGGCTGTATATAACTTTACCCTCCTTGACCTGTCGCAACCATTATTTTGGTTATTACTTTGGTATGAATCACGCGATTACCAGACTCTTTGATACAAAGTTTTTTTTTTTTTTTTTACCTAAACATTTATTTAATTTGTCTGATTTGATTAATGCAACTATAAAAGAAACTGTCCATCTGATATCTTTTCATTGTTCAAATAACAAAGTAAGTATGGTTAAGCAATTAAGCATTGAAAAATTTGTCATAACATCTAATTATGGCAATAAACTTTGCGTGCAAACCCGCTAGTTTAAAATTATTGTTAACTTATTGGGGTACACAACACGCCCAATTGTGTAATCAACCTCGAAATAACTTTCAACTAAAATATATAAAATTTATAAATCATTATACATGCTTTGTTTGATCTACAAATTATACTTGTAATTAATAGAAAGGTTGAAGATATTTTAAGAATTTTTTTTTTTTTTTAGACTGATTAAACATAAATACTGATAATTTTAAAAATTATTTTTATATAATTATATTTATTGTTTATTATTATATTTATAATATTATTTCCTTTATAATCGAAAATATAAGTACACATATTTTTTACATAGATATGATAAATGTTAAAACCAAAATATTACACCAAATAATAAAATGTGTAATGTTTTTTATGCACTCTTTTATAGAAGCTTTGTTTAATTTTATTGCATAAACTGTTTTGTTATTTTTTTCTCGAATAACTCATATCAGATAAAATTATCTACGGAAAATTACCCTTCGATTCACAGTCAATTTGAAACATGAATTAACTTTTCTCTTTTTTGAGGCCATTGTCCGCATTATAATAAAAATTCATTTCTCTTTCAATCCGTTTTATGTTGAACTCATTTAGTAGAATTATTTTCAGTAAATAATTTTCCAGTATATTCTCAAGTGCTATTTCAATCAGTATATTATTAAACTAAACTCTTATTTATAATATATTATTATTAGTTACAACGGATTATTGTTTCGTTATTTAATCGATTTTTTCTTTCGTTATATTATTTTATTTCATAATTATTTTCTTTAGTTTATTTCGTTATTTTAGCGTGCATGATTTTTGCAGAAGGGACGACCACCTTTGGCGTAGAAACTTTGTCCTTCGAGATTTTTCTTGCACATCTAAAAAGAAAGAACAAATAGTTTATTTTAGTTGATTTAAATAAAAATAATACAACTATTACATCGAAAACTAATAAAAACCTGGTATTTATTTTATTCAAAAACACTTACTGTACAATTAAAGCATTGACTATGATAATTATTATTAAGAGCTTCTACCCAACGATCTCCAGCTTCTACTGGGAATCCGCAAGCAAAGCATTTCGTTGTAAAAAGTTCGTTCCAATCTGTAAAAAAAGGTAGAAACAATTGTATCGACTTATTGATAAAACATATAATGACAATATTCATAAAGAAAAAAAAAATTATTATTGATTCCTTACCAGCCTCGCAGTATGGTAATCCATCCTCAAGGAAAAATGGACTGTTACCAAAGAGTTTACCACAGTAAGCACAGCTAAAGCACTCCGGATGGAAGTGTTTTCCGATAGCATTTAAACAATCGCCTTTGATCTTATTGTTACACTTGTTGCATGGAGGAGCAATAAAACGTTCAAAGCAATATTCACAATAAAGTTGTCCTTTCTCTTCAACAAATCCAATATCATGAAGTGATTTTCGACATTGTGGGTTTACACATACAAAGTGTTCTGGACACCAGATCTGACCAAGGGCAGTAATGAATGGACCTCTGTAAATTAAATACAACAATTCTTATTAAATTAATATATTAATTACTAATTAAATTGTTAAAATGTGTTTAAAAAACAGTAATTGATTCTGTTCAGTGAACATTAAATATTTTTATTCAGCATGAATTAATTTTGGATTTAAAAATAAACAGCTTTTCAGTTAGAATTTTTTTAATCTTCTCTAATGATATTGAAAGAATTAATGTTTTAAACAATACCTGACATATGAATGGCAATGTCCGCATAGTGGTTGTCGACCGCCAGCAGCGATAGCTTGATTAAGAATACCTCGTCCACGTTTTGGTGCAGAACTTCCAGCGAATTTACCACTTTTATCACCTGCAGGCCCTATACCGCTACCTAAATCAGGATAGGATGACAAATTCGGTGGGTCTGAGTTTCGGGGTTTATCAATTAGTTTGGGAATATAATTATTAGGTTGGTTGTTTACAGCCGCAGAGGCTGAGTTACGAAAATCCGATTCACCACAGTGCAAACCATCTGAGCATTGTGAGGATTGAGCTTGTGGTTTGAATAGCTGAACAACGTGCTTATCACGTTTAAGCGTCAAGCGCGTTAGCTGATTACTTAAATTAGTTTGCGGCTGACCATTGATTGGTTTAAAGCTACAGCTTGATTCTGTCATGCTCTCGGTAATACATTGTTGTTTTTTCATGGGACAGGAGTCGCAGGAAGATTTATCTTCTTGACCGGGAAGAGGAATGTGAGGGAATGGAAGTGGTTTAGGTGGTGGACATGGTTGAGGTTTGGATTGATTACAAGGTAACTTGCATGGCGCAACGCAAACTGATCCATCTTTACATGTGGCAACTTTTACACCAGATGCTGGACAGTTTCCAATATCTATTTCGCAGCCTCCAGATCTAGCACCACCTTGTCCTGAACATTTACTTGATGATTTACCATGCACCACTGGAGATACACACAATCCTCGATCAGGAGTTGGTGTTACTCTCACTCCTCCTTGTGGACAATAATTTTCACCTTCACAAGGGACTATCACAATACCTGCACGACTTCCTGAATCAGATATTGCTCTACAAGGTAGAACAGTTACTCCAGAATTAGAACAAGTACTCTCCGAGTAATAATTGTTATTGCTAGTATTTATAGAACGCTCTTCATGACAAATTCTTCGTGATTCACATACTTGAGATGATGAATTGATGGTTGTTTCTGGAGTAGGAAGTACTCGAACACCAGTCCGTTGGATTCTTTCAGAAATAGCAGATTGTGAAGATGCCACTGGACATTGTAGAGATGGTGGTGTATGTGACACTTTAGCTATTTCACAAGAATTATCCATCACTGGTTCATTATTCCCCTGGTACGGTTGAACAGCTTGATTTTTTTCTATTTTCTCATATTGCGCGGAATACATTTGACGTTTGTAATCATTTTCAGAATAATTATCACTCTTATAGCTTTTTGTTTCAACATAATTCATAGAGTGAGATTTTTGAGGGGTTTGTTCTTCCATACAATAACTTCGTGTTTGTTTTTGCTCTGGATAAGCAGAATAAGAAGAAGAAGAAGAATAAGGACAATAAGTGTTACAAGATTGTTCTTGTTTTACAGCTGGAGATTTAGATCGACAAGGAGTTGGAGATCTACTAGGAACATATGGATGTGATTCAACAGGCTCATGTTCCATTGCTACAAGGTTCTTTTGATAAAATGGTATCGTATCGGGTTTCTTCAATGGTGTCGTTCGTCCAAGAGATCGATCTCTAGGTGTATCGCATCGAGATAATGAACGTGCTGGTGATGCTGAACTCTCACGGAATTTATAGTCCGTTGGTGGTGGTGGCAACGGCTGTGGTCCTTGAATTTTAGTTAATTTACGTTCTCGAGATCTTGATTCACGAGTTTTTGTGTCAGTGTAAAGAATCTCGGCTGGATGACAATAACCTTGAGGAGTTGTTTGATTAACTGGTGTATCTGATCGATCAACACACATCACATTTCCATATTTTCTATCATTTTCATCACCAAGAGGTGTGTAAGGACGATCTGGAGCAATTGTCAAAGCACTTGTAAATGGCGAATCGGGTCTTGGATAATCAGCAGGTTGAGGATAAGAACTGCAAGTTTCCTCATATCTTACTTGACTAGAGTACATTTGTTTTGTTGAACCATATTGCTCATGAATTTCTTGTTGACCTGACATATTTGAAGACATCTGGAACGGTGAATATGACCTTTCAGGTGCAGTAGTAAGAGCATTTACCATTTCTGACTTCCATTCTTTTGGCGTACTATTTTTAACTGGTGCTGTTTGTAAAGGACGAGCTCCTTCAGTTGTATCTGTCACAAACTGCACATGTTTTCGTTGACAAGAAGCTGTCTCTTGACGAGGTGGAGATTGAGGTCTGAATCTATTAGCTAATCTACGTTCCTGAAGAGTTGGTTGACGTTTTTCTGGAGCTTGCTGTTCTCTCAAACACTTATGAACTTCTACCTGCTGACGCAAACTCTTTCGACATTCTTGATCAACTTCTTCAACATTATTTTGAATTTTCATCTCTTTCTTATAGTAACGTTCTTCAGAAGCTTGTTGAGATTGACCATAATTTCTTTCATTTGTTGAATAACTAGCCTGACTATTACATCTTTCTTGTTCTTCTTGACGACATCTTAAATCTGTTTGTCTCCTTTGCTCAGCTATACGACGTTCTTTTTCTTCTTTTTCAGCTTGAATCAATCTCAAACGATTCGCTTCTCTCTGTTCTTCTGCTTCTTTTTCTCTCCTTATTCTTTCCTGTTCTCGTCTACATTCCTCTTCATACATTTCCTGACGTTTACAATTTTCTTGTTTTGCTTCTTCTATCATTCGATTAGTCTCAATTCTTGAGGAAATAAATTCAGCAGAGTCTACGTACTCTTTACGGTTAGACAAATGTTCAACTTCTCCATCCATTGCTGAAGACGTTCTTGTATCAGTAACTGGAGAACCTGCTCGGTTTGGTGACAATATTTCCACAGTTTTTTCATAAACTGTAGTCTTTTTAATATGAAGGTTTCCTTCATCTTTCTCCATCGTTTCAGTATACATATTGTGCTGGTTTTCAACTCCTTTTGGACACACTGCAACATCTTCAGGAACTACTTTAGACAAATCAATAACTTCATTATCTGTTTCTTGTTCAACAATTTCCTCAGCTTCTACTTGTTGCATTTCATAACTTTCTTCACAAACTTGTGGTGGTGGTGGTGTTGGTGGTGGTGGATTACACAATTCACATTTCACTTCATGATAAGTATGCTCTTGCTCGTGTTCAGGACCAGCTGGACCAGAAGTTCTCTCACAAATGATTTGACAAGTACAAACTTTTCGACAGACAGGTGGTTCTGGAGGAACAGGAGCTTGTACATGACCATATGTACCATCAATTGATGAACTTCCTGTCCAGGGTTTTGGTATCGGTTGATTTATTCTCGTTGGTGTCAAAGACCTTCTGACACCTTCAGCCGAGTCCGGACGTGAAACACTAGAACGTCGATATTGTCTTTGTGTCTCTAGAGTCTCAGTCTTCCGATAAAATGGTGCATTACATGATTGATCCATTGCTTGAGTTTCTTGCTCTTGTTCTTCCTGATAACAATGACTGAATATTTCTTTTTTAAATTCTTCTTTTCTCTGATTTATTATTTCACTTTTTTTCTTAATAACCTCCTGAATTTCTTTACGCTTATCTGGTACGTTATGCTTGGGAAGACGATCTAAAACTGGATTTGGATCAATCCAAATTGGACTAGCTGTAGGATAAGTTATGTCTTCTATATTTTTCACTGGAGGCCACTGTAAACTTTTGCTTTTTACTGAAGATGGTGGTCTTGAGTTTTCACCAACACTTGATTGTGTTTCAACTATGTCTACCTCTTCCGAAAAATTGCATTCCAAGTGATGAGATTCTTTTTTTTTTATTTATTGAGATTTTTCAAGGAGTTTACAATAATCGAGGAGGAATTGGAAGAATATATTAAATAAAAATATTAACCACATAAATTTGTTAGTAGCAATAGAGGTAGTAAGTGTTACATATAGAAAAAAAGAAAAAGAAAAAAAATTATAAGCAATTTTCTAGAATATTGAAAGCATAACTAATAAATAATATTGCACATTATTTATTGCTAAAAAGCTAACAAATAAATTAAAAGTAAATATAATCTAATATTTCATTTTAAAATAATATTTATATTTATTTTAGTTAATAAATGAATATTTCCAATTTAAATTACATTGCGCATAATTATGAATATTTAAAATATAATAAAATGACAACGCAGACGACGTTATCACGTTGAGAGCTACCTCCTTGTTGTTCACAAGGTTAAGCAAGAGTGAGGGAAAATGGTCTAGGTTTTGGATTGAAAGATGGATGAGTCGCTGAAAAAAAGAATAAGAAAAAGAAAGTGCAAGTGTGTTGAAGATGTTAAGTTTTCTTTCAATAGGAATTAACGTTTCTTAATTCACATCATATACATATGTATGTACATCTGTAATAACTTTTCTTTCTAATTGATTTTGTTGACTTTTATTCTGCAATTGTGGACTACCAGGATGGTAGCTCACAACGCCTCCGTTGTCACTATTATTTTTACAATAAAATCATTTGTTTAGAATATTTTAATTGTAAATTATTTATTCTTAAAGAAATAATCAACAAGCCCTAGGCTTATATAACAAATATTTATCAAGCCGTGAATATTTATTAAAAAATATTGATGTATAACAACTGACACACATGAAAGCGAAAAAGGCTAATAGATTTTTAGTATAGAAATTAATTTAATTATTATTCTAATTTATATTGTGTAGGATTATATATTCTTATTCATAATCCATATGTATACGGATACGTATTATTACAAGTAATTATACTATATAATCATTAATTAAATTTATATAAATTATTATGAAATATTTGATAAATACTTACCAGTAACTGTTTGACTTGGTGGTCGACCAAAATTACTACCAATTGAATTGGAGATTGGAGCTGAATGAGGTGTTGAAACTGTGTTGTTAATACCACCAAAAGGTTTTGGACCACTGATGTTAGTAGGGTGTGCCTGTAATATAATTATTTAATGAGATTATGTCACTGATATATTTTTATATTTATTTCAAATTTAACTTTATCGGTAATTTTTCAAAATATATTTTTTTTAAAATTATTTTTTGAATAATCAAGAAAATAAAAATATTCTTTTCCACACCGATAGTAAAAATTGTTGGTGAGGGCGAGTGAATTAGGATAATAGTCAGTCGCGAGTACAAGTTACCTGTACGAGTCGAGAACTGAGCAATTTATCGGTGGGCTAACTGCCAAAATAAGCGAACTATAATTCGGTACGACATAACAATCACGTGTTTAGCCACGTAACATACAATTAAATGATTACAAAAGACATAGTGTTAATGAGTCAAGTGATGAAAATAAATTCTATTCAATTGTACTATTGTATTGATATTGTCAATGTTATTTTGTTCAAATTTTTAAGTCTAATCTATAGTAGTGACTAAGAGAGCAAGAATGATAAGGACAGTGCAGAAAGATTAATAAAGTATTGGCAAACTAAAAAAAATAGCTAGCAGATAAGTTTTTAATTTTATTTAAATTTCCGGAATAAAATATTAAAACCCAATAGTTTTTATTCCTAGCTGTTGATCAGAGTTTTTTCTTGTGAATTGTTTAGAAAATTTTTAACATGAATTAATGTTAAGAATCAATTTTGTTGCTATTATAAAGAAAGCAAACTAATAACTATTTTAAAATAATCCTTATTTTCAAACCTCAACCTCATTTCTGGTCCTTATTGTAATGGTACTCGTGTACATTCTTTCATTATAGTTGTTTCGATTATCGTTGATATTATTTCTCAACATATTGCCATTTGCATGTGATGACAGCTCGTTGATATTGACACTGTCATATTCATCTGTCGTATTTCCATAATCATTGTTTGATGATGAATGAAAGCTGTTGCGTTTCTGTAATGTGATTAGTAGCAAAAGCAAAAACACACAAATTTGTTAACTTAAACGCTTTAAATATATGTTTATCATATTAAGAAATAATTAATTCATAACAATAATTATATCAAATAATAATTACAATTAACGATTCATTTATAAAGTTAATTCATGTTATTATTTTTAGAGAAAAGTTGTTTTTAGATAAGCAAGTTATCTTAAAAAATTATTTGAAAAAGTTAAAATGTTGTTAACTTACCGAAAATGGGGGTGGAATACTAGTACCATTAGTAGGAGGAGGAGGTGATATAGGTGAGTGGCTTTGAAGATTGCCAAGGGCACTTGAGATTGTACTAGCTGGTGCTTTCCCACTGCTATTATTATGTAAAATAAGACAGTTTATAAATAACTTGGAAAAAAATAAAGGAATAATTATAGCATCATTATGAAATGAGCATGAAGACTTATCTTCAAATGAAATTTACTCACGGAGGAACAGTAACTGGAATATATCCACTATTAGATGCTTGCTGTCTTGCCACAAGTTTTGCGTGAATGTCACAGTAGAGCTTATTGTTTATGTTATAGTAGCCAACGTTTTTGAGAGATGTACCGCATGTTGAACACTTAAAGCACTCGACATGAAGATTTTTTTCCTTGATCCTCACAAAGACTCCACTAAATTACAAATCCCAAAGTTAATCTTATTACAAACATTTTTTTTTTTTGATTAATTATATAAAAGAACAACGTCATATTTATCTACATGTTAGCATATTTTTCTTAATAGACTAAGAAAAATTTATCTACACAGATAATAGTAACAAAAATTACAACATCGATAGCATAAATAGTAATGAAAGTATAAATTTTTTTAATTAAAAATTGCAAATTTAAGTTTTTTTCTGTTTAATAAAATTATCAACTAACTGGATGATTTGTTTATAATATTGTCTGTCTTTAACATCTTTTATTTATTTAAAAAAAAAACTTAGTTTTGCAAATAATCCTGGAAGAGTAGAAATAGCTACATTTAGAAGGCTAATAAGATTCCAACAATATTAGCAATAGATTGATGACCATGCTCTAAATAAAAAGTAGAAAAGACAATGAAACTTAGAATAATGAGAAAAAAAAAATAAACCGTTGAAAATGTGAATAAGCTGGTTGACGAACAACATTGATATAATAGAGAGTATTAAAAGAACTGATTAATTACACGATCACGTGATCGCACTTGTGACAAGTGATTTCGTTGTTTTGGTTGCCAGATATGCAAGTAGACTTTGATGATTGATGACTGCCTTGCAGTTGATTATTTACTATCCAATCAGAGTGATCTTGAATTGAATTACAGTAAGTAGCTCCGTAATGTTTTAACGATTGACTTTGATAAAAATCATTACCCGGAAATGATGGCGATTTTAAGTGATTACTTCGTTCATTAATTGCATAGCCTAATAAACAATCAGATGTTAATATTAATTCAAAATGCAGTTATAGTTAATTATTACAGAATAATAATTATAATAATTAGTATGATAATCTAATGAATAATTATTGGGTTTTCTTGAAAAAAAATTGCCTTCTAAAACGCAGTTTAAACTCAAAGTTCAAAAATATTAATTAATTTCATTGCAATTTTTATTACTGGCGTTGTTCAGTTGTTGATTCTTTATGTAAATTCTTACACAATAAGCCTCTCGCATTCAGCACAAATGTTTTGACCAGGCGGTAGACTTGATTGTGGTGATGTTGATGGAGGTTTCGTTTCAGGTGCAGATACTGATTTAAGTCCACTGAGGGCTGGCGATGATGATGTAACCACTCCACAGTGTACTGCAGGTTCAGCTAATTTTTTTCGTTTTTTTTTTCTCATTGCATCCGATTAATTAACACAATTATGTGCACACATACTTTGCTTGGTTTGTGAACCAGGTATTTAAATTAAAAAAATAAATTAAATGCAAATTCAACTTACTAGGTTCTGGAGTTTTTGGTTCTTTATCAGCTTCTTGAACCATTTTAAAGACTTGACTATTTTCGGCATTATAGTTTTTCTCGTTCTTTTTAAAATTAACACTAAAAATGAACAATAATATTTTTCAAACACTTATATATTATGTTTAATGCTAAATAATATATTAACATTGTCATAAAGTTGGATCTTACCCTAAAACTCCTCCGGCTAGAACTTCAGCTTGTGCTGAAAGGGTTTCAGCTATCGTTTGTTCGCTGTAGATTCCCACTGGACTGTTGTACTGTTTGTTAACGATAGACTTAATTGTTGATGAATCACTTGTTCCATTAGGCTGATTAAGGATGAGTATAAAAAAATATAAATAAATAATGGATGATGTTGATGATTTTTAGAATAAAAATTGATAAACTTACATAAGGTTTTGCAGTAAAATTGTGACCACTTCCTATTAGAGGTCCATCGTGCTTTTTGTTAGCAGCTAATGAAGTTTTAGTGACAGGAGAAATACTGCTAGCTGAAAGAGCTGGTTGAGGTGATGGAATTGATGGAGTAACTGGTGAAATACTTGGACGCCATGTATTTCCTCCTCTGAACAATTAACATAACTATTTATCTTAAAGTTCTTTATTTAATCATTAAAAAATTTCTATAGTTTTTGATTGAAAAAAATGACCTCAGCTAAGTTTAATTAAATAATTCAATCCTTTCTCTTTAAAAGTAGATTAGTGAAAATTTCATTTATTCTTCAAGTAGCTAACAAATTGACTGAAGAATGAAAGGATCGTTTTGTAGACTTTAATTCAATGAGTGTAGCTAATTAATTTATTGAGACGCCGCCAGACATTTGATAACATCAAGTTAAATCCATCTCAAGACTTGAATGATTTGTTTTGATTTGAAAAGATGAATGAAATAATTTTTTTCTTTTCATTGTACCGGAAGTATTTTTTTATTAGCAAACAAAATTACTAATTATTATGTTAAATATAATATTATAAATACCGAGCATCTATCACTATTGAGAAAAATTCGAAACGACTATAAATAATGAATGATTACTAATTTAAACCTGAAGAATTAAAAATAAAAATTTTGACACCTATTTATTTTTATTATCCTTGAAAGTTACTAACTTTAAAGAATTCATTCTATAAATATCACACACTGTCAAAAATCAAGGTAAATTAGTGTCCACATCGAGCTTGATAATAAACACAGATTTAACTCTGTTTTTAATGGCAGTCTGTAAAAATTTTTCTACGAATATTTTTAGTTTTTAACATTTTATGAATTAGTATAACGGTAATGATAATAATGAAGTCTTAAAATTTGAGAATAAAAGGAATTAATATGAGACACCATTTAACTTACCGCTGAATAGTCATTTCGAAATTATTCCCAGCTCGTACAATCACATCTTGAGCGTCTTTATGACGCAAATTAAACATCTCCGTACTATTTACTTTAATTACCGCGTCACCAGCTCTTAAACCTGCTGCTTCAGCTGGAGATCCATTATTTACCTATATTTAAAATCATATGAAGAATATCATTACGGTACTAAATATGCGTTGAAAAATTAATTATGAAGATTCTTTAATATTAAATATTTTTAAAGCTTGAAGGTGGTCTCCATTTATAGTCGATGGTAGTAATAAATAGTGGGTGATGCTGATGACTGATAAATTTTGAACCGTCTATTTTTGTATCACTTAAAAACACCAGCTTCCGTTCCACGAATATTCTCATTTCATCATATAACATATCGCGATATAAAATAGATGAACTATTGGAATTAAATATTTGTTTTATTAATTATTTCATAAATATTTCCACAAAAATTAAGAAAAAAAAAAAAAACGGTTTTGTTTTTTTGTATGAAGATAAAAAATTTACCTTTATTAACTAATAAAAATTCGCAAAATAGATAAGATATGAGTTTGTCGAAATAATGGAATTATTTAAATAATTTACATATTTATCATCAAATATGGCGGTTATAATTAAACATGAATTTTGATGAAAGTTCCATTAACTCTGTGATTTATTGAATATATTAAGATCAATGAAATACCGGATTAGAATCATGTCAAGATAATATTTATGTACACATAAATAAAAATAACTAAAAATAATTAGGGGCTAATCTAAAAATATTAAATATTCTCTCTCCAGTATGTCCTTTTCATGACACCTTTTTCATTAAAACCATCTAAGTTTATCGTTTAAAATTTTTCATTGAATATCTAAGATAACATTATCGAAATAACATTCTACTTAAATTATAAAGATTAAATTCCATTCAAGATAAATGTTTCATACTTTATTATAACCTTAAAAATATTTCAAACTCATCTACGTATGTATATAATTTTATCATAAAATCTTGTGTTATTGTGTTTGACAGTAATAAGGTGATAAGAAATCAAATAATTGAAAAATGTAATCAAAAAAAATTATTTTATTCTTTGAATAAATAATTTGATCAGTTATCTACTAAAGATATTAGATAATATAAAGTAACAGTGAAAGATGACAGTTATGTGAAATAATGTTTGTGAAAATTTTACGTTAATAAAATGGAATCGTTGAAAAATATTGTATTCACACGATTACGAATAAGATGAAAAATAAAAGTGATATTTTTATCACTACACAAGAGTGAGCTTTGCGGGTGTGGAACCCGTGCGGGAATCAGGCCTTGGATTTCTATTAATATCAACTGAGCTCTGACTCGATTACTTGTCCTTTTGGACACTATAGTGAGGTCTTGTTAATAAGTATCTTCAAAAATTATCAATAATTGAAAAAACAATGAACGAAGATTTTTAATGCAGATTGTTTAATTAAATAAAAAAAATTTCATTTCATTAAAATATTTATTCAAATCAAATTAATGTGATTTTAATGTTCAAAATGAAAGCAGGCAGTTACAAAATAATTTATTTTTCAAATAAAATAGATTGTTGATATGTTGAAAAAAAATTTATCATCAATAACTGTACAGTTATAATGATTTATTTAGTTTTTATCAATTGGAGTTTTGATTTTACTGTTTTGATAAATAATACATGGCCTAATTAAACCATTAAAATTAATAGAAAACAAAATTTATTTTGATGATTTTACACGTTTTACAATCTGATATTTAATGTACAGTATTGTATTGAAAATGATCATTCATCATGAATAATATAATTACCTAGAATGTGTTTAGATAAGTCTAGACAATCTTGCATAATAACTTATACATATTTACTAATCAAAGAGAAATAGTCCATTTTTTATTTCATAAATTTTAACTTTTTCTACATCACATATATTGAGGATTTTTCATGGATAATAATAAACAAATTATTTTGAAATAATTGTATGTTTAATTTTTGATGTTTGATAAGTATTGAAAATCACAAAATCTTTAGTAAAAATTATAGACATAGTCCAAAACTTCTTCAAGTAACATGATGTGTTTCACAAAGGCACCTTCTCAAAATAGAACATCCAAATAATTTGCATCGGATTACCAACGACAACGTTTGTAGACATTGGGCATTCTAATTGTTTATAATAATCATATTCATCAACAATCATCTAGACATGAGAATAGCTATCACCAGCAATATCAACAAAGTAAAATTATATCATTCAAGATATTATCAAATTAGCAATGTATCTATTTAATTTATTACTTGGAGTGATAAAAAAAATTAGTAAATTTAGAAGAATAAACTTGAGATTCAGGTGCTGTTTTTATACCCATCTAAAGTTACCAGATTGATATATTGATGTCCAAAAGTAGATGCCAAAACTTGAATTGACGACTAGACGTTTGATTTAAACTGGTAAAAATTTTTATTGACACTTTCTCTGTTTCAATATTTATTTAATTTAATCCTTTTTATTCATTACAATCTTTTTTTTTATAATTTATCTTTTTTTTTTTTATTCTCTTTAGATACAATCAACTCACTAAGACTATTGACGGATGTGATGGTAAAATATTCATTGTAAAAATTACAATAATTGGAATAATAAACAAACCTTTTGCACAATAAGTGGTGTTCCAAAATCCTTACCACCCTGAAGCCGAAAGCCCCAAGGAGATCCGTCAAACCTTGACAATTTGACGCTTATTAATTGCGCCATCACTCACAAAATATTTTTCCTTTTCAATGAAAAAATGAAAAACTGATAATTTAATATTACAACAATATCAAATTCAATGGAACACTTAAACTCAGTAATATAGCAACGTTTCTTCTTAAAAGTTGATAATTAAATTTCACACCAAACGAAATCTGTGTCTTAAAAAATACTTTTATCTTGCAGGTCTGCTTTTCGAGTGTTTAAAGTGAAATAAAATCAAATAAAAATTCCAAGATACGTAAAATTGAATAGATGTAACTTCTTTGCTAGCTTTTAGTCGTACTGTAATTTGTCTCTCGTCACATATAAACAAGTAGAATCCAAAAAGAAGTCATATCAATCTATTTTTGTAACATTTAGAAATATATATGTATGCTGTATATGACATACATATATTCTAGTAAAATACGTGCTTCAGTGTATAAGTGAATAGTGACGGTAATTTAATAAGTTTGTGATTTGATACACGAACAGTTCAGAATAAGTGCAAAAACCAAAATAAAATTTAACCGGCCGGTGTGTTAAGTAAATGAGAGCTTTGCGCGCAATTTGAGCTGCGTTGATCAGCCGAAAAAGCGCGTGCGTATGTTTCTACTTGTGGTAGTTGGTCCACTCACAATAATGTACAACGATTTGTTCGTGAAAAGGATATGTAATGGGATTTGTGATATACACGTAAGTATAAGCCAACAGCTCAAACGATTTCTATTCTATTAGCCACTACTGCTACTACTAACTTCGACCACTTGGCATTCCTAACATTGCACTCTTCACACATCCCTCTACTCTACCAATTCTACTTCCTCCAACTTTCTTACTCCCTCCTTCCTCTTACTGCTTCCTTCTTTAAGATATTCTCCATTTTCTCCGAACAAGCTTGATGCTGCAAAACTGGAAGAATTTTCAGCTAAATACTTTGATATGAATAAGACAGAAATTATACTTGTCTACATACTCATATCATTTATTTCATTCAGTATCACAATGAACTATGAATCAGTTCAGAGCTAGGAATCATCATTAGAGGAAAAATCAAAGTCCTGAATTTTTTTCTATCAAAATATGATTGGTTTATCAATTAACATTTGGCCAAGTATTTTTTTTAATTTATACAATCATTTTTTTTTTAATTTATTGTAATAAATTGATTTTATGTATTCTATATGCATGGACTATGAATGCAAGTTTTGAATAAGTTACTGAAGTAAATGAATAGGCAATAGAGTTGAAAAAAAATGTCATTTTAGTGTTATCTGCATTTAAGTAGATAGTGGACAATATGCTTAACTTGTGCAGACACATAATCGTATTATGCGGTTATATTATATAGCACACATTGTGACGATCACGAGTGAGCAAACTAGTTTGTGAATCATGCTTAGAATACTTTACGTAAATTGTTTCAGATCGACGTCATGCTTGAATTCAGACTAGACGGTAAAACTGTATGTGTGATTCAGCTGATTTCTGGACATGCGGTTGCACGTCACTGACACATTCATTGCTATGTATCATAATTTTTAGTAATAATTGTCAGTCGTTACTTAAAATATTCATACAAATATGCTTTGGAGTCATTTTATTTATTGTAAACACAGGATATTTTATTTTTTTTTTTACACATTATTTATATCAAGTGTTGGCATAAATATATACTTTGTTGTTTTACAATTTACACTTTTTGTGTACATTTAAATGCAGCTAATCATAAGTTTGAAATTATTGCAGGTCTTTATCAATTTAATATATAACATCAATTTTTATGTAGGGTAGATGTTTCTGCAGTTGGTTAATTAAATTAAATAATTAACCGTAAATATTTCACAAATGTTAATAATTATTTTATACGAATGCAGTGAATTAACTGAGAAATTATTAATGCATCGTTGACTATTGGTACACCTTACCCTGATGAAGTTTTTGAATTTTCATTTGATGGTTTGTCGCAGCTGCAATTCTTTAAGCTGGGGTATTCTAATAAAAACAATTAATTCATCAGAATGCTATTATATACACACAAAAAATAATAATTTACAATAAAATAAGGAAAATTAAAACAGAACAAAAGATGTAGAAAAAACATTTAATTATTTTTATAAGTTTAACTTCTTATAAAAATTCATTAACTGTTTTTACAGAATGTTAAAAAATTTTGTTCTGTTTAGTTTAAATCAGATAAATAATGAATATGCAAAAAATAAAGTTATTATGCTTACCACTCGTTCAATTATGTCTTCAGCAGCAGGAACTTTAGGCGGTCTTGCTGGAATTCCTGACTTTGGTTCTTTTTCCATTTTATGAAGCATCTTATAGACACTTGAGTTCATCAAATGATCATAATTTGGTAACCATTCTTTTTCATATTTTTTGAAGTTAACTCTGCATTGATTATTAGGAATAATGTTATTATTTTATATATTCAACAATAAAGGTGTAAAATATAATTTATAGTTGAATAAATACCCAAGTGCTCGTCCTCGAATGACTTCAGCTTGTCCTGATAGAACCTCAGCAATCATTTCATCATTGAAAAAATCATTTGGACATCTCCATCGTCGTCCATAAGTAAGTTCTAATTGTTTAGCTTGAGGCCAAAGATCATGAGATCGTTTTCTCACTCCTCGGTGCTATTAAAAAAATTACCAAAATTAATGAAATTAAATATAACTGATCAATTTTAATGTCTAGAATTATTTAAAGTTTGACTTACTTTTAATTCCTGTATAACTTGATCCTTTGGAGATAAATTGGGGTCTGGTTCATAACTGCCTAAAATTGATCAAAAAGATTAGTTAGTGATAATTGTTCATTTTTCAATTTTTTAAATTCGAAACATTATATACCGTGAGAAGTGGCTGGGCTTGGATCTCTGGAACGAAACACTCTAGTTTCATATGAAGCGATACATTTTTTAACACGATTGTCATCACTTTTGACAGTAACTTCTAGTTCTTTTACTTCTGGTGGCTCAATCTCCTCCTGATCTTCTTCAAGAATAATTTGAGGTTGTTGATAACTCATTGCTGATGATGATCTTTCTGCTGTTGAAGTCTCGTCTTTATCACTTTCACAATGATTTTCTTCAATTTCTTCAGAAGGTGGATTTTCCTCTTCTGGTGAAGGTGGTGATGGTTCACATTCGGTTTTACTCTCTTGTTGATCTAAATGTTTGAACAAAAAAAAATTGATCAATATTGGAATAATATTCATAAAAGAAAATATGAAATCAATTAATCAAATATTTCATTTTTATTATTCTTCTTTAAATAATCATCAAAAAGTGTAAATTTATCTGTCTCTAAAATTAATTGTAAAAAAATCTTATGACGTACAGGATAAAAGAATCTCTTAAATATACACTATTGTGATCATTATTTTTTCTAATTATCATGAGAATCATCTTAATTGCTTTTATAACCACAATTATCTACCTGATGACCCTCGACGTGAATTTACACCACTAAGTTCCATAATTTTAAATAATTGCTCAGACACTATTTTCAAGTGATTTTCAATCTCAGCAGGCAGTTGTTTTAAAGCTAATAATTGGTTTTGAACATTTTCTAATTGTTTTTCCAGACTTATCTCAGTTGAAACAAGCTCCTGAATTTTCTGTTTGTCAAAAACCAAGGATTCTGATGTCAGTTTGCAAGTCTGTGGTTGCGTTGGTGATTCACATTCTATTGACTTTTTTTCTGACTCATCAATGTCACCATTTACTGATGTATTATTCTCAACAACACATTCTCCATTCATAATCCTTTCTTCTTCTTCACTTTCTTTTTTTTCTTCATTTTTTTGTTCTTCCTCTTGATGCTCTTGATTTACTGCTTTATTCTCTTCTTCATAATCATTATTCTCCCGATCAACATGAATAATGGTTGTTTTGGGTTCTGATTGAACAGGTTCTGGAGTTATGGATGGTGAATTTTGTTCTGATTTTTGATTCTTAAGAGCTTCAGGATCTAATAGACCTTTTTGTAAAAGCCGTTCAGTCACACTCTTTTTCATTTGTTTCTTAATTACAACTTTATAGCCTCCATTTTGCTCAGGTGTTTCATTTTGAAGCTTTTTAGGTGTTGGAATCGGTCTTGATGGTTTTTGTAGAAAAGTTGATTGATGTTTTAATTCTTGTACTTTAGGAGGATCTTCAAGTGCAATTGACTGGAGTTCCTCCAGAACTTTAGATTCTTTAAGAAGAGGTGCTCGTGGCCGTAACTTCTTGAAATTAACTCTGAATATATCAGAGAAAGTACGTATTGAAACTAATGAATAAACATTAACTTATATGCAGAGTTTCAAGATTAATAAAAAAAAGAATATAATGGAATTATATTAAGAAAAATTTTCATTAAAAGAACTCTGCACGTGTATTCACTCATAGAATGAAACAATACTTACCCAAGAACTGCTTGATCACCTTTAGCTAATAACAGTTCTTCTTCTTCAAGAATTAATTGTGCTATTTCATCATCTGTCAAATTTTTATTCGGTACTACTTCACTATTAGCATCAACAGGTTTTTCTTCTAATACTTCTTGTTCAGGTTCTGGATTTTCTTGTTCAACTTTTGATTCGGTTATTTCTTCATAAAATTCTTCTACAACTAATTTATTTCTGTTATCTTCATCACCTGAATTACAAATCATCGAAGACAGGTCGTCGAGAGGAATCACTGGCTTAAGCTCTTCGAGCTTTATAAAATAACTCAATATATATTCAGAAATAAATTTTTAAAAAATTTTGGAATTAAGTGAAATAATTGATAAAAACTTACAGGAATTTGATATGGTTCAAGGGTTTCTTCTGGAAGATTGGTGGTGGTGGTAATTTCCTCCTCTTCTTTTTTCCTAGTAATATTTCAATATTAATAGAAACTTTGTTAATTAAATACTTCAAGATTAAATAAAAAATAATAGAATGAACTTTATATGACTAGCAACCTGACCAGCTTTATAACAAAGAATGATTGGCACAAAGATGATTTGACATTAAAATATAGATGTCCGAGGTCGGACATTTCAAGGTGCAAATACCAATAAAAATACAATTATAGCTCTTGATTAGCTCAATCATCAATTAATTATATCAATGAAATGTTATTTATATGACGGTTGTTTTGATACATCATTGATTAATTAGTCAATGATTTTTTATTGATTTAGAAAGATTTATTTTTTACCTGAAAACTCCTAATGTAAAGTTGTTACCCGCAAGCTTAAGAGCTTCATGTGCCTGTCCATGTGTCAAACTAGAGACAGTATTATCATTAAGCCTTACTACAACATCTCCAACTTTCAAACCCATACATTCTGCTAAACTTCCTTCAACCACCTAAAACAATAACACTAGCAAGCTCACGTGTGTGGCCTTGAAATTTACATATAGTAAACTATTTTTTATCAAAGTTTGAATATTAATATTTGAAAATAATTATAAAGTAATACATCCTTCACCCTTTACTTTGATAAAAAATATTTTTAGTCTAAAAGCAAAGTATGATATTATTAAAGAAAAAAATTTTAATGATTGAAAAGTCAGTTCACTTACTTTAATGACTGTTAATGGTTGTGGAAAATCACTTCCACCCACTAATCGAAATCCCCATGGTGTGTTATCAAATTTTGTAAACTTAATGTCAATGACTGACATTATTTTAAGATCCTGACTCGATCTACATACATAAAAATATTTTTAAAAAATATTTATTTTACAAAAGCCCAAATAATTAATTAATTAACTTATTGACTTATTATGTAATCTTGTCAAGTTGTAGATAAGTAGTCAATTGAGTTAGACAATTAACTAGAATTAATCCAAAAAAGAATCTACACTAACTTCATTGAGCTATCATGTTCTTAACATAGTTGCATAAGATCATTGATCTCACTATGCAATGAATTCATTAAAGTAAATAAGCTTATATATAAAATATATTGAAACTAAAAATAAAATAACTTTATTTATATTTTTTTGAAACTTTATATCTCACTATCGTACCATCTATCAATTAAGATATGTGTAAATTATGATACATCTCATTAGAACAAAGTCTGATAGATCATTTCCAAACATTGATAGAACCATGTATTGATAATTTTTATTATCAAATACACATATATGTGCATGATTAACTATATTAATTCATCAATCCAGTAATTGATTTACTAAAAAAAAAATATATATATACTTGCCAATGATTAGCTTGGAATATTGACATTGAAAGTAAAATAAAAAAAAAGTATTAATTAAGCATTGATTGATGTAAAGATTGTATAATAAGTAAAGCACACTAAACGAAATAGAATAATGGACTGAAGAAATACAACGAGGTTTAACTTTTGTGGTGCTTAACTCGTGAAAAACGGTGTCACGATAAGCTAAGCCTTGCCAAAGATAATCAACCCTTTCACTAGGGATCGCGGAAGAAGAAACGCAAGAGGAGAGAAAATACGCTCCGCCTTTTCTTCGGTTGACTTGATCTATTTACTGATTGATTCTATTTCGATCATGTTGAGATCTCGTTATTTTAAATCGTCCCATTACTTATTCTCTTATCGCCACAGGTAGGCTTGAAATTTTTTCACCATGTAGTATTTCATTTGTAATTCAGATAAAATTTAAATAAGAAAAGATTTATTTCAATTCTGTCATCTTGAATGATATCATCATATCTATTGTTGGATTTTGGAATTTATGTTGAATAATTTATCACCAGAATTTTTAAGTAGTCGACAAGAATTCCATTTTTGTAGTCCAAATATATGCATTACGAATCATATATTAATAATAAATAATGTCATTGGTATGTATCATTCCCATATTTCATGATATAGAATAGTATGAGTTAAATCATAAAAGGTACACTAAAGTTTTTAATTCCGTTGCCTACATAAAGACATCCATGATTTAGTGAATTAATTTGTTGGTAAAATGTCATCCCTGGCCAATACATACTTCGTATAATAACCATATTATGTCTTAGATGTGGTTGTATAATCCAGCATCCTGTTAAATAATTAACCAAGCTTAAATCTATTTCTTGATAAATATTAACTCTAATGAATAATAAACCATCATTTAATTACCTTTAGGTACATCTCCTTCTAAATTATCTAAGAAATCGAAAGCATATTCATGGAAGCTGCTACTCATCACATTATAAGTTTTACTTTTTTGGGAAAGTCTAGTATGAAGATAGTATTTGGTTTGTAATGCTTTGTTTAAATCTAAACCTTCAAAAGCCTCATTTTCAGTGATATCACCGTTTGGTCTTTTAATCCAACTTCCACGAGGTATAATCATTGCTTCGTCAGTCACTAATTTAACTGTTGCTGCTAACCGATTTTCTTCTTTCAAATTATACAGCAATCCACCAGTCTGATAGACCTTAATTATTTTTTCGTCATTGTTGTAACTCAATAATTCATCTACATGAACAGTAGATATAAATGTTGGATCTCCTTGAAATGGAGCTGATACCAAAGGGGTTATTAATTCTTCTGATTCATTTACTTTAAGAAGTAACCACCAATCATTGCAATTCATGCTATAACCGTATAAAATTATTTTTAACATTTGTTTATAATGTTTGATTAGAGTCATTTATTATTTACCTATAAAAGTAAACTCGATTTTTCAAACAATCTTTTGAATATCCATAAGCAATATAATAATCATTTTTTACTCCATTTATTTTTCCCCAGTAATATGTTTTGTCGAAATGATTTTCATGAGTTAGAAGAGATAATGAATTTTTTAATAATTGAGCCTTTTCAGGTGCAATACATATTCCTGAATGACCAAAAATCTCCAGCGTTTGAAATAAATTTACTCCATTTATCTCCATTTGATCAACGAATATGCACTTTTTTATCAATTGTAGATAACCCTTTCTGTTTGAGCAATTGAAGATGTGTGAGTTCTGCGTAATGTGTACACAATTTAGATAGGTATTGCATGTAAACATCAAAAGAGAAACTCACCTAACCTCGTAAATAGCTTTAGAACTTGCCAGAATTTCCAGTTATAGGAAGTGCTGTATAGCGGTAAATAAAGTTGGAATAATTCAACAAATTTTATATCAAATAATTTATCTAAAATGTCTTCTGATGAAGAAAACGATGAAATTCAAGATCTCGAAGCAATTCGTGATAAAATTTTAAGTATGCCGGCGAGTGAATGCATGCAAGTGAGTGCATGGGAAGATGACAATGATGGAATAGAATCTCAACGAAATCCTGATGGTAAAGTTTCCTTTTCTATTGATATTTTATTACTATTGAATCTTTCAAATTCATTAATAATAAAAAATCAAATATTTTTTGGCCATTTTAATACAGATCGCGATGCTAAAGCAATACTGACAGCAGCAGAGAATGGCAGATATGAAGTAGTTCGTATCCTTCTTGAAAAGAATCCTGCTCTTGTTGATGCAGTTGATAAAGATGGATATACTCCACTTCATAGAGCTTGTTACAGTAATAATGTCAATATACTCGAGGTAAATTTAATTAATATTAAATACTAAATTTTTGTTTTGAGATAAGAGAGTTTGAATTATTGTCAATAATCATTTTTAATATCTATCAATAAAAACATTTCTCTACAGCTTCTTTTGCAAAAAGGGGCAAAAATAGATGCCAAAACCATAGATGGTTGGGAACCATTACATTCAGCATGTTGTTGGAATAATATCGATTGCATTGCTATGCTAGTTGCTAATGGTGCAAATATTAATGCATTAAGCAATGGTGATCAAACTCCATTGCATTTAGCATGTGCAAGTTCTCATAACTCTCCAGCATTACAGCTTTTATTACTTCATCCAGATACAAAACCAACATTAGTTAACTCTAGTGGTGACACACCTCAAATGATAGCTACAAGAACGGGGAAATATTATCCCATTTTTGAAGTAATTGAGCCATGTTTGAATGAAATATAAAATAATTTAAGTAAATTTACATTAACGTTACATTATTAAGTATCTTAACAGCTAAGTACTACTTTCCATCATTATTGTCCTTAAATTTTATTTAGAAAAAATACATGACATTGTAAATATTAAAATATGATTTTTATTCAATGTATTTTATATAAATGTTTATAGAAAAAATACTACAATTCTTATAACATATATGTATACAATAATTTATTTTCTACAATAATAAATAATATGTTATCAATTTTAAGGAAATTTTAATAATAAATTTCCCCTACTTTTATAAAGTAATAACAAATTGTAAAAATTTAATTACCTATCTTTTAAATACTAATTAACTTTTTATTATTTAAATGTATTTATAGTAATGCCAATATCGTAATGAAAAATAATCATCTTGTTCATTCTCAGTCATGTTTAGAAATAAATTAAGCTCATCATAAAATCTATAAAGCTTAGAGTTCAAATCATTTTGAAGCTAGAAATTAAATAAATAAGATTCTAAATATATACTTTTATATATGATTAATGTATATATAACTTGAATTAACCACGAGTATAATGAGTATTTAGATATAAGATAACTCTTGGTAATTAGTAAAATGAATTTTTAAGATTTGTCTTTTCAAATCGTAAATTAAAAATATTAAAGTGTAGTTAAATTAACAAATTTTGGTGTATCATTACTCAGTCGTCGTATTCCTTCCCATATCAAAACAATAGACTCATCAGTAGCTGCATATAGGTGATGTTGATCTTGAGACCATGTTATTGAAATTATTGCTCCACAATCTTTCCCACCATTTACTATTTCTCTAATTAATCTCAAATCCCAACTGCTCCATAATCTAATGTTTACAAAATTAAATTAAATATTTTTTATTTCGATAAAATAAATAAAAATATTTATTAACTACCTTATTACTCCATTATCAAGTCCCGTTGCAATAACATTCACAGAAGCACCTTCAGGAGCATTACTATAACACAAAGCTGTTATCTTTCTTCGGGATAAAACTGAACCAACGATTTTGGTATTGATAGTAAATACTTTAAGCTGAGACTGATGGTCAGCATTATTTTCATTATTTTGTGACGTAATTGAAGCTACTTGACAAGCAACGGCAATATCACCCAGAGTATTACTAATAGATATACTATGTATTGAGTAAATCGGATCACACACTATTGATCTGACATACAATAAACTGAAATAATAAACATGTGATTATATATCATTTTTAATTAGTATAACTTATTGATAATCGTCAATAAATTAAAACGGAAGTAAAGAGATAAAGTATTTTTATAATACCTATTTAAATCCCAAATAACAATAATTCCCTTATTGTCACCAGAAACAACAATGCTGAAAGCTCTTGATAAAACAATAATAGTAATAGTACTTCTATGAGCAAGTAAAACAGAAGCTGGTGTTAATTTAAAATCAATTTTTCCAGTAGATTTAATATTGTATTCGTATACAATAATTTTTCCTGAATGATGTCCAAACCAAAGTTGACCACAGTCAGGTGCAGATGCTATTACCGTAATAGGGTCTAATCCCGATGATTTAATTAGGGGTTTAGGGGGCTGCTCTTTCTTGAGCTTCAGTCTAATAATGCTATCATTATTATTCCAAGACACTAAAGCAGCTCCTAATACACTGGTGTTGTTTAGCATATTACTTCCTTTTTCATTGTTATACCCAATTAACAAAGCTGTGTAAATTGGCAAACCGAAAACATCTCCTATAATTTAAAAAGTTTTAATAAAAATTAATAAATCTGAATGAATATTATTAGATTTATAGTCATTCGTCATTTTTACCTGTAATAAGAGGAATAAGTGATGCCATAGGTACTCTGTGTTTATGTTTCCAACAAAGAACTGGTTCATTTCCAGGTGCTCCAACATAATTTCCCCATTTAATTCCGTTTACATTTTCAATTACTTGAGGAATATTATTATAAGTGATGGGATTAATAGCATTTACAATCGGTAATGGATGGGATGTCGTGAATAGTTGAGCTGGAGTTTGACCGTACGTTTTTACCATAGTTTCCCAAGCATCTCTTTCCAATGGATCAGCTATTTGATCAACATTGAATCCATAATAAGTTGCAGGATGGAATACATTTATAGCTTCTATTGCAGGTTTTCCAGTTTGACGAAAACCAAACACAAGATCAATCCAATATGACAAATTTTCTCTAACATAATCAGCTTCTAATGCAGCTCTGTGCACTAGAATGAAAAGTCTTGCATCTCCTTTACACCAGCTTGGTAATTCTACATCACCAACTCGACTTCCGTTTTGTCGTAAACCAAAATTAAAGCCTCCTGAATTTAATAAAAATTCAGGAAGATAGAAGAATTCGGGTATTAATTCTTTGACATCCGTGGTTGAATCACAACTAGTCAATCTCCAAGTTGTGGCCAACGAATGGAAAGTTCTATCAGGAATATCAAAATTATTATCCTGGTAATTCAGAAACATGCTTGTGAATGGTGGCAAGCGAACTAAAAAGTGTAAAACAGTGCCAGAATTACTGTAATGTGAGCCATAATGAAAAGGTTCTTGATTTAAAGCTACACGATTAATTCCATCAGCAAGATCTTGTTTCAGATAATTATAATTATTGATATAATGTTGTTCATTCTTCTTGTCTTGAACAGCCATAGGTCTTTCGAAGTTTCGATATATTTTATGATTATTAAGATCAATTTTATTACTTATATAATCAGCAAGAACAAATGGAAACACTGGATATTGCATTAAATCGTTATAAGATCTTCCAGCTAATTTATTTAAACATGTGATGTATTCCCAATTTGTAAGAGTTCCATTGCGCCAAGCAACCAGAGCTTCTCCTAAATCATCACCAGGAATACGATGAGGTAAATTACAATGCAGTAATTGACTGGCAAAATCATCTCGATCTTTAGATGAGTTGAATGCTAACAAATATGTTCTTCCAGTTGTCAGGAAAAATTCTATTGCTGTTTCTTTCAATTGATAACGTCTTTTATGCAATTCTCGAATATCCTGGAGTTTCCAAGCCATTCCTCCAGCTATCGCAAAATCTAAACCACCTAAACTAATGTCTTGAGTGTACAGCGAAATTTCTGGATTATCAGGAATAAAATATAGACATGTTTCTCCAATAAGAGCTTCTCCTGGAAGCTCTGCTTGAGGAGTTACAACTTTTACTTGAGACATTTTATGAATTGATTCTGTTGTATGAAGTCTTTCAATTAATGCTGAAGCGTTAACATCTTGTTTAACTGTTTTAAATAAATATGATAGAGGACTTTCAATATTTTCTATATTATTCATATTTTGGTATTCAGGCATAAAGAATTTATTGTCGATATTCAAATGACATCTTTGCATTTTTATTCTCACTCTGGCAGGTCCTTCTGTTGGATCTAATTCCCAATTTTGAGGATAAGACTTTGAAAAATACCAGGGACCTCTTTCATGAGTTAATCGTCGTATTATATCTTTCCATCTTGCCATAGTTTGTGCTTGTAATCCTCTTGTATATTTTAATTTCTCCATCAGTGCTTTTCTTTCCCGATTTTGTTCTTCTATCACAGTTCTTGTAATCATCATTGCACTTTCTGTTAGCTGCTTAACTAAACCATTGAATCTATTTTCAATTCGATGAATCACTGATAAATTATTCTTTATAAAGATTTCTCCATTTTTTGTAAATTCATGACGTAATGATGTTAGTTCTTGATTCCACATTTCTGGAATAACATTGTCAATACCTTTTATTAACTGCCAGATATTTAAAGCTTCTTTAAACTCCATACAAATTCTTGCATCTGCACTTGGCATATCATTTTTTCTTCCCAACAAATCCCATAAGAGTATACTTAATTTTTTTTCAATATGACAATCAGTCTCTAAAAGTGATGATAATATTTCTTTACCTCTTGGCTCTTCCATCAATGATCTAATTACAAAAATTCTTATATTAACATTTTGATGTGGACTCAACATCCAAATCATCATTTTAGCAGCATTTTTTCTAAATGTCGGTCTAGATGACCAGGAGCTACTCCAATTACTCTTCTTATCAAATTCACTTGATAAGCCATACAGCAAAATAATAAATAATTTTCTAGTTAATTCTAATTCATTATTCGAAGATATATAATCAAATGCCGTGATAAATTCAATAGCTTTAAATAAAATAATTCGAAAACGTTGATTTATTTCTCCTTTGCCGTATTCTTTGAAACCATAAAGATTACTGTAGCTTGATGAATGTGATTCATGATCACTTTGTTCACTTGACGTCATTAGAACATTAGTCAAGTGAGAAGTAGAAGCAAAGTAAGAAGCAGTGCTACGTAATTTAAAGCCGGTCTGTGATGATATTTTTGACATTACAACATCAAGCTCGCTATCGAATAGAATAACTTGAGCAATCCGAACTGCCGAAGTACAATTTGCATTTGTTCCACACTGGAATTTCTCATGTAGCTCTATATAACTCAATATTGAGTGTAAATCTAAAACCATTGGGATTTGGTTATTTCCTGGTATTTCCAACAATTTAGTTGCTATTGTCACTAGAAGAATGTAAATATCATTAAATAATGATGTGGAGTTATTTTTGTGAGCTCCTAAAGCAAGGGCTTGTGCTACAGACTCTATTATTCCTTGCTCAAAAAGTACTTTTAAATTATTAGGATTTTTATTAATAATATCTGTAAGAAAAACCACAATTTGTCTCACAGTATTTGTTCCAGTTAATGAAGTTTTAGTTAAAATAGCTAGAAGTGGTGGAATAGCTGCTAAAGTTGAATTTCTTGATGCTTCCAAAGCTTCCAAAGTAGATGCAAGAGATTCACTTCCAGGATAAATAGTGATTTGATTAGCAAGATGGTAAAAATATTTATGTTTTATAAATTTATTAACTTCTTCATCAGTGGCTCGTTGAATAAAAGTTTGTAAAACTTTAATCACAGCAGCTCGAACTCTTGTGTCTGGATTATTAGCCATTACCAAAAGAAGTTCTGCACGAATTACATACTTGATTACTGATTCAACTTGACAGTCTGGTAAAACTCTCAAGGCATCTCGCAAAAGAATGAACAATCCTCCAGTAACAAGACCCTGACAAACACGTTTTTCATCCGATGATGATAAATAATTATCATTCTTCATTTTAGAATTAGACCCATCACTTGCAGCAATTCCAGAATCTTCTCCTGCACTATTCTCTAATGTATCATCATTTTCATTAGTACTATTATTACTGTGATTATTATTATAACATTTGTCACGTTTTTTTTTAGATCTATCTTTTTGATGCTGCTTATTTATGAATGCTTTGTTTGACTTATTTATTTCACAGACACCGATAGATTCATCCGAGGAACTTGTCCCATTAGAAATATTTAAAAATTGTGTTTTATTTATCATATCAGCTGTATTTTTATCCTCTTCAGCCAATGAGGGAAGTAAGAAATACATATTGTGACGAGAATGAGTAACATAAGTATCAGAAGCTTGATGAACCAAAAGAAGATAATCCATTATTGCGACCAAGTGAGAAAATTCTGGTGGTGCTCCCATTAATGACCGTATCAATTCTATTATAATATTTGCCGTAGTTCCATCCCAAGGAACTCCCGAATCTTCATACATAAAATGTTCTTTACAAATCAGTAAAATTGTTTCAACAATTCCCACCCGATTTAATTGAGTTGCGTTAAATTCTCTTTGTTCATGTTGATCTCGAAGAAGAGTAAACAATGCCTGGAGGAAAATATTAAATGTCTCGAATTTTATCCAAGTTCTCCAGGCACTCAGGGCTTCTTTTATGAGTTCAGGATCTATCACAACTGCCTCACAATTTTGTAAAATTGTATAAGTATCATTAGATACGTCATTCACGATGATAGAATTATCACAAGCACAATCTAAAATTGCTTTTAAAACTTGTTTACCAGCATGACATCTTGGTGTTTCTATAATACGCATAAGTAAAGCATGTCCACCCTCTAGTTTATATTGAGTCATTAATTCTGAATCACTTCTTATTAAATTAATAACTATTGATAATGCACGAGCTTGTTCTTCTTCGGTGGAATTCAATTCAACAACTCTGGCAAATAAGTATAGAAATATTGGTACACCACCAATTAAGCTTGCTGAAGAAATAAAACCACGATATTGTTGACATTCTATATGATCAGGAGTCTTGATTGTAATTGATAAAGGTGGTTGTTGAGATATTCTATGTTCTGGTATTGATATCACACGAAATCCTGATTGACCAGGTAATATATTTCGTACGACAGCATTTGGACTTGTGATAGCTTGAGGATATAAATTAGCTATTTCCGGGCACTTCGCTTCGTATGATAATAAAATATTATCTTGTAATTCACCTAACTGTGAGTTTGAATCATCCATCAAACTTTCCCAATTAATATCGGAATTGATGATCTTTGTTTCTATCACTTGACGTAGATAAGTTCCACCATAAGATTTTCTTCGATGTAAATCGAACTTTCCTTTCTCTAATTTCACTTGTTTTACTCCACTTAAAGCTCCAGAAGCTATTAAAGATGCAAAATCAGACTTTATTGGATTTAAAATACAATCCGCAAGATTTGTATAATTTGGTCCGAGGCTTGTCATGTATAAAGCTCTTTCTTTGGTGAAAACAGGACATCTAAAAAGCATTAGATTGCCTAAATACCAAGCTCCATTGCTGCTAGGACCAATTTGACCCAACATAATACAAGTATTCCCTGGTTTTCTCATCAATAACCCATCAAATGGTAGATGTACACTCGCTTGACGCCAACCATCTATCCAAATGATAACTTCTACGACGGCACTTTTTCTATTGAGAATCGTATCTTTAATATTTAGAGCTAAATGGTGCCAATGACCTGACGGTAAAATTCCGCTGATAGAAGCTTCAGAAATTGTACGATTTGTTTTGTCGTCCGGTCTACTCAAACGAAAGATAATTTTATCGCTGTGTAAATCAAGCCAAGTTTCAAGAACGAGCGATTCAAAACCAATAGAAATAAAATGAACAATTGTTGCTGGTGATGGTGGAGATAGAGATCCTGCACAAACATCTCGACTCCAATTATCCGATAAAAGTCCCCAATCAGAGCAACTATCACTTTCAGTGTTGAATAAATTTATTGGAGAGTTTAAATATGTTCCTCGGCTCGTTAATAAGTTACCTCTCTCTACTCGGATCCACATAGAAATTGAGCAGCCATGAAGCCACACAGACCACGATAATTCAGAGCCAATTGGTAAATAGAGAGCATGGATAGACCATGGACTACATATTCCTAAATTTAAATGCTTTTTTTTGAAGTTATATACAACACTCGAAGCTTTCTCCATTATTTCATATCCTCCTTTTTCAATATTTGAATATATTTTCAATGAAGATGGTACGGGAAATGAAAGGATATAATTAGGCTGAGGTTTTAAATTGGCAATGAGTCGGTAAAGTGACTGTAAAAGAGCTAATAGTGGTGGCGAGTCAGCTTTGAAGAGTGAAAAATAAAATAATAATTCTTCAGAAGATATTGACTGCATAGCAAGTAGTGTAAAAACTTCGAGAATGGCATATTGTAAATCTAAAAAATATAATTTCTTTTTAAAGTGTCTACTTTTTTTATAAATTTAAAGCAAAATTCCAATACCTTTATATTTAGGATCTTTATGTATTAATATTGTTTCAAATCCATTTAATAATTTAGAAATGACTCCTGATCCTGCAAGATTAGCACACGTATATATACTTTCTCTACATGTTGTAGCTATTTTTTTCAGTCCTTGGGTTACGATGCCACATCTGTCATCATTTAAACTCCTATAAAATAAAATAGCATGTCATAAACATCTATCTTTCTATAATTATCCATGTTTATTTAGATAGATCTCCTTTTACTTACTGTTCACTGAAATGGATTAATAAATCAATAGCTAATGTACACAAAGCTGGATCAGCAGTAACATTACTGTGAATTTCAATCATTGGTGTAACATTATTAATATTTTTTGACAAATTTTCTTCAACATTTTTGCTCTGGTTTTCAATATCAGCTTCATATCCATCATCAGCGGTTACATATTCACCCGTGCTGCTGTCGTCATCGCCGTAATCCGGTGATGAAGTGTCCGACATTATATTCGGTATCTTAAAATAAATTGAGAAATTTTTATATCAAAGAATTTTTTTCTCGTATAAAATAAAGCTATTAAATAATTATATAGATCAATAATAGTTTGATAAATTGTTAATTTTAAAAATAACTTTCTTACTCTTGGACGATTTGGCTGCAGTGCGGTTTGTTCTTGACACGGTTTAAGCATAGCAACTCTTAGCAGTACCTCTACTAATGCTGTAATTCCTCGTCCCAATTGAATTCCAGTGTTTATTAGCACATCACGAACCATCGTTATAACATCGTAATCACCTGAATCATGTCCCATTTTAATTAAAAACCAAATGTAAAAAAAAAAAGCAAACTACTTAATAAGAGAATCAATCTGGTGTTAAACAGATAGCTGATAAAATTTTTTTTAAAAATAAATTATTATAAAAAATACACATATCAAATATGACTAATTATTTCTACGCTAAGAATTTATTTTAAATTGTATTGTTCAGAATTCTTTATCACACTGATTGACTTCTATCAGTCAGGCAAATAATTATTTTAATCCTCATCTGTACTTTATCAGAATAAAATACCTTTAAATCGTTATTATTTTTATCAGACTAATATTTGCATTGTAACATTTTATCCTATACATTATTTTCTATTTGAATATTTTTTTTTTTACTTACTTTTTTGCCATGTTAAACAACAAGTAATCAGAGCTTCAATTAATTTATTCGCATGCTTATTTTTATCTATAAAAAATAAAAATATTAAATTAAAAATCTTATGAATATAAAATAATAAATAAAATGAGTTATATAAAGATTTTTTACCTATAATACGATCTTGGATGATAAATACTGACAGAGTTATTATAAGATTTAAAGCTTTATCAGTTATTAGATTATGTAAGAGCTTAGTTCGAAATTTCGGACAATACAAAGACACCACAGCAGCTGCTCTCCATATAGAACTGGCTTGAAATAAATTTTTTAACAATAGTTTATCATAGTTTATGGCAATGTCTAATTCTTTAGACTCAGTCTTAATTTGAAAATTTTTTAATGATTCATTAATATTAGAATCCTTATAGCTTGTATTGAAAGCTGTTATTATATCTGATTTTTTTATATTTTCAATAATTGAACAAAGATTATTGGTTTCTTGTTCAATAATATCAAAAAATATTTTGATTGTTGATCCTGCTAGTAGATTGAACTCTCCAAAATCATCATATTGATCAACTTTAATAATTTTCCAAATCTCTGTAATTACTGATACTTGGAGTAAATTACAGATTGATTTAGTAAATGTAGATGTTGAAAATAATGGTATGACTTCTTGCAAGCCATTAATTTCTATGAACTTTTCATACATATGACTATTAACAATCAGACTAGATATCATTGAAAGACACGTTTGAATAATAAATTCAACATTCGAGTAATTACTTGCTTGTTTATTTATATTTTTCATTTGTAAGAAAGTAGGATAAAAAACTCGAAATAACATTTCATTCTTCACGTGCAAGTTCGAGTTAGGAATAACTTTAAACAAATGTGCCATGGTGATATAACATAATTGAAGATTATCTGGAGATAGTAGAGTTTTATAAATTTCCAGAAACTCCCATGAATAGCTTAATTTACTGCAAACATTGCAATCTTCAGCTTTATAATCACATGAAAAAATACAAAATTCTTCAAATAAACAACGTTCAAGTAACGTTACACATACAGCATATATTTTCTTATTATTTTGATGGTTTTTCATAAAATTAACCACACTTGTAAGCAATATTTGTGGTGGAAAACAACAACAAGTTCCAGCATGTATCATTATTTTAACAAGTCTTACTTGAACTTCCCATTTAAATTTCGTGGATTGTTCCAATAATGTTAATAATATTTTAAAAAGCGATGAAATATAACAAACTTGTGGAGAAACATCACTTACAAGTGGTTGAGAATAAGTACATCCAAATAAACTATTATGATGATAAATTCGTTGCAATCGATTCATCTTAATTTTGTTTATATCTTCAAGTCTCATACATTTAAAACCGTTTATCAGTACTCCGACTACATGAATAATTTTTTTTATCCAAGTCATTGACCGCGCTAAATCATTATTGGGTGAATCCACAATGATTCCGATTGCTTTCTGAATTAATTTTCCATCTTGGCTTTCAATAACAAGTTGAAAAATTTGCAAAAATTCTCGTATTTTATCAGATGTTTTTCTTTGATGAAGAAGATAATTAAGAAATACTATTATACTGTAAATCATAGCAAAAACATATTCTTGAAGTAAAGAGCCTTCTTCTAAACTACATCGAGTCAATGGTTTACTACAAATATCTTCTAATAATTTTAATGTCATTGGAATCAATCCATTATGTATTACAGCTGTTATTGTCTCATCTGCTTTTAAAACTTGCTCCAGTGAAATCAACATTAATCGTCCTGTCGTTGTTTTCAATGTAATACATTGATTGGTTGATAAATGCATAGTTTCAGCATTGAATTGCAATGACCACAAAGTATCCAACGAAAATTTCAGTACTTTAACAGCTAATGCTTGTTCGGCTAGAGAATCATGATTTTTCATATTCTGTATCAAATTTAAAATCATCAAGCTTATTTCAAAATGATTAACTCTAGAATTTAAAACTTTTTTCATGTGATCATCTATAAAACTCTCTAGATTTTCATGGTCTAACGAACACGGATTTCGGTAGTGGCATGAATTGTGTTCATTAGAATCTTTATCAGTGCGAACTATTGATGTAAAATAATCAAAATCCATTGGATTATGATGGATTTTTAAAATTGAAGAACATGTCTGATTAGTATCATCAGTTATTATATCAGATTCAGTACTTAATTCTGCATCAGATTCTAATTTATCTTTACTTGATCGACTATGCTTCATTACACGTGCAACTCTGTTATTAAAACCATTTGTATAATATTTCTTAGATTTTTTTCTTGAACACTGATTATTAATTTTATTCACTACGCTGTAAGTATCTTTCAATTTCTTGTGATTGTGCTTCTTTTTTATTTGGTGAACGAGATTCACTGTATCGAGAATGTTATTATTTAAATTCAATTTCAAGTATGGATTTTGAAATGGTGTAGTTGAATTCGTCAATTCGTTCGCAGTATTCTGATTATCTGATGAATTGTATTTCTCCAGTGATTTATGATATGGAACCGGGTAAAGAGCCATGAGAAGTGCGATCAGTTTATGACCACAAGAAAGACCTTGAACACCAAGTAAATTAAGTACTGCCAATAATCGCCATCCACGTCCTTCCATAAGATACTTGTAGAGCTCAATGGGTTGATCAGCTTCATTTTTTGTTGCGCACAAGTCATTGATATCTGATGATAACTCACAAGCTAATAATGATGCTATGCTTCCTTCAGAGCTGCCATTCATTGAACTGCAAATAAAAGATTCCTGAATAAATTATGATTTTTATAATTTGAATTCTCTAATTATTATGATTAATTTGGAATCGATTTGAGAAGAAACAACCTGTATATCTAGTAGGTTTTAAAAAATCCATAATAATGGCATAAAAATATTAATGATTATCAAATATTTTTATTTATTTTACTACTGCAATAACAAGCATACCATAATAACATTAAGATACGGTGAAGTCAAACAAACAGACTATTATTCTTTTACTATCTTTGATTATAAATAATACTGCGGAAAGTTACACTGGACTTCTTATCACCCTAGTAAATTAACGTTTATGTATTATCGTTTATAGACTTTTTATATCATTCCTGTGCAATTATACTTGAATTTGTGCGAAATGCACATGTGCATATTAAATATTTTATTTGATTATAATTCTCAATACTTTAATGAATCATTTTCATAATTCATTAATTTATTATGGATAAATAAAAATAATTTACTCACCAAAAATTCTGAATATCATGAGTATTTACTCCATTATGAATTTGACTGAGAAATTCAGAAAGAAATAAATCCAGCCAAAGGGATTTCTGAAATAATTTTTTAAAGTTATGAATATTGTTATTCAATTAATTAAATAATCTAGTTTAAAGTTTATTTACCTTAGAACTTTGAGACTGAGCATTGATAAAATGACCACAGAGTAATTGAAGTTTATTAAGTTTTGTTGAAGTCATAATAACTATTTTAATTTTAACTTTCTGTTTAAAGTTATTTCCTGACACAAAAAAATATTATTTTATTACACAAAAGATGTATAAAAAAGTGATATTCTGTTAATTAAATAATAAGTATGTTTCTTGATTTTATAAAATATTAAGTTAAGATTCTTCTGTAGCCTTGGATATGCTAGAGATTACCTTTGCTGAAATTTGAAACCGTGTATTAGTATATGTAATAATATCAGATTTCTTCGATTTCTCACTCTTTCCAGTGCATTTTTTTATTTAGTTTATTTACTTGTTATTAATTCTCGTTTTTCCTTTTGTGTTAGTTTTTACCTTTTATATCACATAATAAGAAAACTATAACAATTTGTCCGGTATTAGGTACTTCTCCGGTGCGGGTAGTAGACGTGAATTCTTAGTTGTGATGCAGTGATGAGGAAGCCCCAGAGAATTAAACCAAGATAACAAGAAAAAGAGAGGTAGAAAGATTAAAAAAGAAAGAGATAGAAAATATGTTTTACAATGACAATAATTGTATCATTCATTAATAACAACAATAATAAGTACATAATAACAACATTATATTTTATTAACTGTTCAAAGTTATTAAATTATCAACATATTTAATTATTTTTATTGGATAAAATATATGTCATAAGATTATATTTTTCTTACATTTAACGTTTTTTTGATATAAATTTTGCACTGACTGCACAATACAGAAGATCATCGTGTACACTTATATATTAATATATGTCTATATATTTATATATTAATACATATAATGCACAAACAGATAAAAACAAACAAGTACAGTATATTTTCAAACACACATGACACTTGACAAGATCACAAATGACAAATAAGAGGTAAATCTAACCTTTAAATAGTTGTAAAATAGCGCTATGTCGTTCGTGGTGACAGAAATGGGAACTATAATCGAAAATATTATTAAAAAAATAATACAATTATTTTAGTTCACACTTACCCAATAAATTTATCAATTTAATCGTAATTATTAATTAATTAAAAGATAAAGACGTACGAACTTTGTAAGTACTAATGATGGTTTATGTATGTAAGTAGTCATTGTTTACATATGGAGTTTAACTTCTGTAGATACTCATTCTTGTTTGCAACAAAAACAAAGAATTATAAATAATATATCGATGCATGTAAAATAATAATTAAATAAAGAAAGCAGATAAAAAGTTCATGATGATTAGTGTTTGGAGCAAACTGAGAAATTGGTGTGGTTGGCGGATTGGAGTAAAACAAATATCAATTGATGCAGTTATTCCATTATTACTTCCAGCAATAACAATCATTGCTGCTCAATCAGTATTTTTAACTGTCATTGTTTTTATATTAACTCCAATTGTAGTCTATCATCTAGATCATAATTTTTTAAGATTCTTACCACGTTCAAGATTTTTTCTAATGTGGACAATCACAAGTGTAGTGATGCTCATGTTAGTGTTTGAAATGTGTGTTGTACCATTGTTGGAAATACTTCCAGAAGAGAATTATGTTTTCATTACTGGAGTAATAGGAGGAATATACTGTGGACATAAAACTAGAGCTAAAGCGGATGCTACAAATCAAGATGATGCTGAAAACCAAAATATAAGCTTAGAGTCAGAAAAAGGAAGTGGTGAACTGTGTATTACATGTAGAAAAAAAATATCTCCTCGTACATATCATTGTCGAATTTGTCAAACTTGTATACTAGGTCGAGAATATCACTGTAAATGGTAATAGGTTTTTTTTTAAATCATTATTATCAAGTCTAATACAAGAATGTTTTTTATTAACAATATATTAAATTTTTATTTCAGGCTTGATTGTTGTATAGGTACAAATAATCTAAAATGGTATCTTGGTTGTCTATGTTGCTCATCAGTGGCATTTATTTATGGCTCTAATCTCACAATGACTAGTGTTTGTCATCCCTTCATTCTCATTGGAACCATTCTCTTACCAGACGATTGCAGTGATGTGTACCATCAATTGGAGTAAGTAAATTATATTAAATTATATTTATACTTTTTTAATACTTTCATCATAATTTGTTTATAGCCTTGCTGTTTGTTTTGTATCCGGCGTCTACAGTCTTTTTATTGGACTTATTGTTCTTTATTACCTTATTTATCACCTGTGGTTATTATATATGGGTACAACTACACATGAACGACTTACTTTAAATGATATACAATCAAATACTTTATTAACTCGTATAAGACAATCAAGTTGTTGTAGATGGTGAATGTCATTTTTTGTTTAGTATTTATTGATCGAAAATTGTAAAAAATAATTAAGTTTCACTGAATTGATATATATTCGTTGAAACAAATGTACGCTTAAATATTGATGTAAAATCTTTAGTACTGAAAGGTATTTTTATTTAAGTAATATGATGTTTAGAAACGTATTTTGTGATTTTTTAGTAAGAAATTTTTAAAAGTAATAAAATATACCAAATGTAACTAGTCATACAATAATCAAACATTATGAAAAAATGGTAATTTATTTATATTTCTGATGATGATATATATAAAAAAATGTTCTTTGTGTAATATTTACAATATTAATAGTGAAAATTCTTACAATAAATAGAAGTAATCAAATAGATAAATATTTTTTATCTAATCATCAATACAAACACCTCTCACTTCAGGAGCAAAATCTGGAATAACTGTTAACACAAGTTGTCTTAGTAAACTTTTCCTTTTATCACTATCTTTAATTTTATCTAAAACTTGTATATATTTTCTCCAAAGTTTGAAATATCTAGACATTGTTTTGTTGTTATCGAAATTTTCAGCCTTACGATAGTTTTCAATATTGACAATTTTCAGTGATACTGTCACAGATATCCATTTACTAAAAAAGTATTTTTGAAGACGAGAACTGTAATGCTTTTCGATTGTTCTCCTCCTTTCAATCCTATTTATCGTTAATATTCGCCACGACTGGAAATTATTTTTCAATAATTTCTGCTCATAAATATTTTCATAAAAATTTGATTTCTCATTTATTTGTTTATCAGTGTTATATTTCCAACATAAAAACATTTTTTTCATTATTCTATTATTGTACTGTTTTTTCATCAGTTGTAAATATTGAATAAAAGGTCTTATCCCAAAGCTTTTCAATAAATATCTCCTATAAAAATTATCAGCTAATTCATTTTGAACTCTAATTTTTTCAAGTCTTTTCCTCTTTGCCTCCTCTTGTTGTGCCTTTAATTGTTTAGCCTTCTCTCTGCTTTCTTTTTCAAATTTTTTACGTCTTTTCTCTTCATCTATTTTCATGGCTTGTTCAAGTTTTAACTGCTGTTCGACTTTCGTTTTACGTTCTTCATTTCTTCTTTGAATTTGCTCTCTTCTCATTGCAGCTCTAGCTTCCATTCTGATTAAAAAATGGGGAGTATTTACAGTATTTTCAACCAAATCTTCAGTCTTATTTTCTTTGCGAGCTTTTATTAAATTACTTAAAATTTTTCGTGATCGTCCATTACAATTTGTGATTGCACCATTAACTGCATTCAAAGTTTCTATTTCAGCTAACTTTGATTCAGCTTGAATTTTTTTCAATTTCATTTCTTCAATTATACGATTTTGTTCTGCTAACTTCATTCTTTGCTCAGCAATTATTTTTTTATTAGCTTCTAAGTAATTCTGAAATACAGAAGAATTTGAGTTTACAACAGAACGATTTTTAAAATGCTTATTACTAACACTTTGTTGATGATTTTTTTTATTTATGTGATCATTTTCAGCATTATCAGTTGATGAATTACCAAAGTTTTTGCTTTTGTATTCTTGTTTTAAACATTTCTGACGATTGTTGATGGCTTCTATAAATGATTCAATTTTTTTCATATCTTGTAATTTGTATTCATCCTTTTTTTTAAGAGTCAATAGTTTGGCACGATTAGTAAATTGTTTCCATCGATGAAAAACTTCCTTCATGCACCTTTTTTGTGTATTTTTTTGAATTTCTTGATGTAACAATCGTAGACGTTTCTGTTGCTTAGTGTAAATCAACAAAGCATCAAAAGTTTGTTTCAGTAATTGAAGACTGTCTTGATTAATTTGTGGATTAGCTTTGTCTTTAATAGTAATCTTCATATTGCCCGTATAACATTGCAACTGATCATATATTTTACTTTGTTGTATACTGTAGACTTGTAAAATTTCATTACAATCATCATAAGTCAAATTTTTTGACAGATCATTTCGAGAATAAAAGGTAATCTTTTTAGTAATACTATAATCAGAAGATAGAGATTCGTCTTCACATATTTCTTTATCAATTGTTCGAGAAAAATTAAGTTTCGGCATTTTATATACAATTGTTTAATATTTATAAAGATTGTTTTTAATCACAAAATACTGAGATATGTACAAAGAACTCCAAAGGAATCGGATTCCGGTTTTCCAAACCCTTTAGTACACTTGACTTCCTCAACGCCGGGTTTGTATCTCCAAAACTGAGGCTTTATCTGATGAGCAATTACCGACCGTAAAAATGATCAACAATAGATCTTATCATCAGCTGTTGGTAAGTTCGATCTAGATGTAGCGACGTGTCCCCATATGTCAAAATGTTTGCTTTTTGTTGTCTTCTCCATTATTGCCTAGTGTGACTATAGCTCATACATTCATGAACTTTCGTGTAATTGGTGATGTCTAATATTGGATAGTAATGCAATTAAACGTGACAGTACTGTTGTTGCAAAAAAAATATGCCACGATTTAAAATAAAGAGTAAAGGTTAAGTTACGTAGTTGAATATATGGATTTCTACGACGTTTGTGTATGAATTGTCAGAATTTAAATCCAAACATGAAGTCTTCAATAACATTACGCTATTTTAAGTTATTTGCTATTCTTGGTACTGGTGGCATACTTACCTGTTGTCTAATGACATATCTTTTACTTGATTTAACATTCACACCAAAGAAACAAACGACTAAGGATACTATTGAAAACGTAAATGCATTTCTAAAATTTTCATCCATTACTTAATAATATAATTATCTAATTGAATTTTATATTTTTTAGAATCAATGGTTACATCTACAAAACAGATTATCGAAGTTAGAAGAAGATTTAAATAATCATCATAAAGTTATTAATTCCATTAAAAAATCATCTTTGTCTGTTGACAATTTGGATCTCTTAGCTATTAAAAAAACATTGAATGAATCTTCGACTGATTCTAAAAAGTTTATATGTAATGTCAACTCCCAAAATGTACCTGAAGTTGATATTCAAATGCTAGAATTGTATAAACAGATGGAATTTGATAATCCAGATGGTGGAGTATGGAAACAAGGCTGGTCTATCAAATATGACGTAACGCAATGGAATCGCGATAAGAAACTTGAAGTATTTGTTGTTCCTCACTCACACAATGATCCTGGCTGGTTAGAAACTTTTGAAAAATATTACATTCAGAAAACACAGAGGATCTTGAACAATATGGTATCAAAACTAGGTGAAGATAAACGAAGAAAGTTTATCTGGGCTGAAATATCATTTTTCAAACTTTGGTGGGATGAACAACCGCAAACAACGAAAGAAGCAGTTAAACGTTTGCTAATTGATCGTCAACTGGAGATAGTTGCTGGTGGTTGGGTGATGCCTGATGAAGCAGTGTCACATTGGATGGCACAACTCACTCAATTGACAGTGGGTCATCAATGGTTAAAAGAAAATTTAGATTATGTTCCTACTACTGGCTGGGCTATTGATCCTTTTGGTTTGTCACCAACGATGCCATTTCTACTTAAGAAATCGGGTTTGAAGAATTTAGTCATTCAACGAGTACACTATGCTGTGAAAAAAAGATTGGCGAGAGAAAAAAATTTAGAATTCTTATGGCGACAAATTTGGGATAATGATGGTGAGACAGAACTTTTAACTCATATGATGCCATTTTATAGTTATGACGTACCACACACTTGTGGTCCAGACCCGAAAATTTGTTGCCAATTTGATTTCTTTCGGCTTCCAAACTTTGGATTGACGTGTCCCTGGAGAGTAGCACCTCAACCTATTTCTCTAAAAAATGTTGCTAAACGTGCATATTTACTGTTAGACCAATATCGAAAAAAATCCCAACTATTTAGATCAAATGTTGTGCTAGCACCTCTTGGTGATGATTTTCGTTATGCACAAAGCGCTGAATGGGATGCTCAATACGGGAATTATCAAAAGCTTTTTGATTACATGAATACTAATGAACAATTGAATGTTCATATTCAGTTTGGTACACTTACAGACTATTTTGATGCAGTCAGACGTGAGCTGAATATTAATGAGCTACCCAGTTTATCTGGTGATTTTTTTACCTACGCTGATGAAGGTGAAGATTATTGGAGTGGTTATTACACCTCTAGACCTTTCCATAAACGTCTTGATCGTGTGCTTTTGGGAACACTTCGAGCATCTGAAATTATATCATCTATAGCATGGGCTAGAGGTCATCATAATTTAGCAGAAGGTAATCTCGAAAAGCGTATGATGGAAGCACGACAATGGCATTCTATTTTCCAACATCATGATGGAGTTACTGGAACTGCCAGAGATGAGGTTGTTCTAGATTACGCTAACAAAATGATATCTGCATTGAATAATTCTGCTCATGTTATTCAACAAGCAACAGCGCATTTATTGAGAAATTTCCCGAATCAACCTCTTGATTCTGAATCTCTATTCTTTTCTTTTGATGAAATCAGATCTCATCAAACAAGTATTGGTGAAAGGCACGTTCTTAACTTTGAAAACGATGCTTCGAAAAAAATTGTCATATTCAATTCATTGCCACGACAAAGAACTAAAGTCATCACTATTATTGTGTCGACACCTTTTGTCAGAGTGACAGATCGAATGGGCCAACCTGTAGAGTGTCAGATATCACCTGTTTGGCTTGGACAAGTGACACTTTCATCAAGCAAATATGAACTATCATTTGTAGTAACAGTTCCTGGTTTTGGAATTAATACCTACTTAATACGTGCTGTTTATGGAACATATTTACCAGAAAATGTTCATTTAGCAAATATAACAATTTATAATACCATGACGTCCACCATAGATATTCCTACATTCCGTAATGTACAAATTGTACCCACAACTCAAGAATTTTCTTTAGGATATCGTCCAAACTTTTCCGTGACATTTGGAAAATTCGGGCTTTTAAAAGCTGTCTCTGTAGATAATAGTATATTTCCAGTTCATTTAGAATTTGTTAAATATAGCACCAATAATGGTGGAAATCACAGAAGTGGTGCCTACCTATTCATTCCAGAAAAACCTGAACCTGATTTAATTGAAATTTCTCCAAATAGAGCAGTTCATTTAATAAGTGGACCAATATTATCACATGTTTTTGTTGATCTTCCACATGTGCGACATACTTATACACTTTATAATTCATCAGACAGTGATGGATTAGGACTTCACATAGTGAATGAAGTCGACATAAGTGAAACACAGAATTTTGAATTAGCAATGCGTCTCAATACAGACATCGTTTCAAATGAGCACTTTTTCACGGATTTAAATGGTCTAAATGTACATATTATTGAGTTAAAATAATTCTTTTATATATTCAAATTACTTTACTATAATAGAATGTATATTATTACAGATGATTAGACGTCAAAGATTTCAAAAACTACCAACACAAGGAAATTATTATCCTCTACCTGCTGCTGCTTATATTGAAGATGACAGAGTACGGTTGACGATTTTAACTGGCCAACCATTGGGAGTAGCATCTATGAATTCTGGTCAACTCGAGGTGAGTTTAATACATGATTATATTTAAGAAACTAAGTAGAATAAATTAATATTTTTAACTTGTAAATTCTAGATCATGCAAGATCGTAGATTATTGCAAGATGATCGTCGAGGATTAGGACAAGGAGTAACAGACAATTTGTTGACAAATCATGTTTTCACTCTGATTATGGAGAAAAAGAAGCTGATGTGTAATTTTTTACCTACTAGCCATCCAGGAGGATTATTATCCATTGGTGGAATTTTAGCAAAAGAGGATTTACTACATCCTTTATACACAATGCATCTCAAACCGTCATCATTGCCCGATTTTAATGGCTATTATTCACCTTTACGGTTTGATCTTCCTATAAATTTTGAAATTGCTAATCTTAGAATCCTTCCAGTACCTGATGGTGTTGGAAAGGGTATTGGAATGATACTTCATCGTCAAGATGTTGATTTTTGTTGGAGTGATAAATATACCTCAAATTTTAACATTTCGGAGACTGGTGAACTCTATTTAAATAAGTTCTTTAATTTTATGGAGGATTGGATAATTAGTGAAGCATCATTAACATTTTTGAATGTTGGACCTTCATTAAAATTATCAAAAATTCAATTATGTCCACATCAATTAATGGCAATTTTATTTCATAAAAATAGTAATAATTAATAAGAATAGTATTTTTCAAAATATTCAAATACATAAATCATAGTGATTGAAATAGTATTCACAGTATCATTTATTTTCTTTACTTAAAATTTCATAATCGAGATTCTCCCAATCAGGAGGATTTGTCTTGTCCACTTTATAACTGAAACAGTATTAATTAATTGTGAAGTTATATGTGAACAATACTTTTCAATACAGAATCAACCCACAAAAATAATTTTCTTCATATTAAGTCAGTTTGTTAAATTTTTACTGTGGATTGAAAGTGTATTGTTTAATATAGTCCATGTATAGTTATATGTATATTTGATAATGATTGAAAATTTGTGAATAAGAGCGCACAGTCAAAATTTCTTACCCCAAGTGTTTGAAAAATTCTCTGGCGTTAGGATTATGTTTTAAAACTGTGAGAACAACTTTTTTCATAAGACTTTGATTCGCTAAAGCTGCAAGAGTATCCATCATAAATCGCCCAAGGCCTTGCTTTACTACTCTTGGTTCTAGTTGCAGCTCATAACTGTGATGAACATTAGAAAAAAGTTAATTGAATAATGTTTTTTGTAAAGTAGTTACTACGTTATTTATTTTAACAGTGTACTATTAAACAGTGATGAATTTACCAGTAAAGAACTTGTATTTTATCATCTAAATCAAAACGAAAATGTGAAAATCCAACTGGTTCATTAGAATGAAATGCTATTAAATAACGAGCTGTGGGTTCTGTTAATTCATTGTGCTTCGCATTTTCATTCCAACCCCAACTAGATCGTTGATAAAATGATTTCATATTACGCTCCATAAGATCAAAAATCCAAGATAATAATTCAGGAGCTAAGTCTTGAACTTTTTGACATTTTAAATCATATGTCACACCATTTTTTGCAGTATATGAATGATAGTTTGGTAAAGTTTCAAGTGGATTTTGAATCGAATTAGCTTTTTCTACTAAACTTTGAGCTTCAGCTTCTTTTACTGCAATTTTTTGACGTCGTGTTTGATGTCCTTTTTTATTCTAGGATAATAAACAAATAATTTAATATAATCATAATCGTAAAATCAATGAAAAATTATTATATATTTCATAAATTGTAAATATTCATTACCTTCATTGTGGATAGTACATTTCAAATCCAATTCTGTTATTAAACAAACACAAACAATACAGAATAACATTGAGTTGAATGCAGTTTATAAACCTTCCTATACTACTCCAATTTTATTCCCTAGATAATGTGCCTAGGGGCCCTAACCTAAGTATGGTGGAATCAACATGAGAATTTGAGATTGATGGTTATGTTTTTGTTAGAAAAAGAATAAAAATATTAAATTGAGGAATGAAATAGAAATAATAATAGTATTATGGTACATAAACAGGATAATTAAGACGTAACTAACGTTATTTATATCACTCGATTGTTGCTATGTTATTATTGAATGAGAAAAAGACTGACATGAATGAAAAAGTGTTGTGACTGAAACTATTATTAGAACTCAAATAAAAATAACAAGTAATTTGAATAATATCCATTGTCATGTAAAGAAATATGAAGCTCATATGTTATTATATTATTTTAATAATTACATTACTATCATTCGCTGATGGAATAGATGAACTTTATGAAATCGACTGCGATAACCTACGCATTGGACAGTATATTTGTCCACGTCCAGATTATGATTTAATTGATCCAAAGACCCAACAAATTAGAGGCTGTACCAAGGAAAATAAAGCCAAAGGTAAACTTGTTGTTATAATTCTTTTTTTATAGGTTATTAATTTTTTATTATTATTCCAGTTGAATGTTTAGCTGCAGATGGTTTGAAATGTATTGAAACTAAAAATAATACCTTTAAAAAAGATATACCCTGCAAGTGGACGTAAGTATCGTTTAATATTTTATTCAAAAACTGCAAAAAGAATAAAATTTATTCGAATTCTAGAAATGGATATTCATTTGAAACTGCTGTCTTGTTATCAATATTTCTGGGAATGTTCGGCATTGATCGGTTTTATCTTGGATATCCAGCGATTGGATTATTAAAATTATGCACCCTTGGTTTCTTGTTCATTGGACAGTTCTGTGATGTTATACTTATAGCAACTCAAATAGTTGGTCCTGCTGATGGATCGCATTATGTTATGCCCTATTACGGAGCAGGAGTAACTATAATAACAAGTGATGAATCTACGTACAGGATACCACAACAAGATTGGTGAAAAAATGATTATAGTATTTTGTATTTCTTTAAAATGGCTTTATTCCCTTTAAATTATAAAATAAGTTTTATATGGATTCTTCTTTATCATTGATTATAAAAACAATTTTCATGATTTTTCAGTAAATATCATAAATTCTAAAAAAAAATTAAATAAAATAAAGTTATGGAACTGAACAATACAAAAAGACTTTAAAAATAATTAACTATTATATTTTATACGAAATTAACAAATATATAAAATGGTGGAAAATGGATTCTTTGCAGAATGTTTTAAAAAAAAAACTAGCAGATTAAAAATAATAGTCAACATAAAAAAATATGTAGTTTAGATGACCAAAGAATCAACATTTATATTCACTTTAGCCATCAGTTTCTCTGAAGTTTAAAGACTTTACAATTTTAGTAAAGGAGCTATTTAATTAATCTAGATGTTGATCTTGTTGTCACTCAAACTATAGTAGCTTAACATTGCGGTTAAAACATTACTCATTAGCTGCGTAGTTTAAAATATAACTCATTGGCTATATTTTCTTTCACTTATAACTAGAACTTCCTTGGATCTTATCAAAAAAATGAATACACCACTGCAATTAGTAAGAATGATTAAAGATATTTACAAGTAAGTTCACATACACATAACATTCGTAAATACAGGAAAATTGAATGGATCTCATTAAGCTTTTTTTATAAACTCTATATCGATAAACATGTAAGAAAAGAAAACAGTTGATATGATATATTTTAGAAGGATAAAATTTACAAGGAATAAATTTTGAATTCTAAATTTTAATGACTCCAAAATATTGCTCCAAAATGCATTAATAAAATGTTTTTTATTAATAAATTGATACTATTATATGAAAGTAATGAAAAGAATATACTAATGGAATTAATAATGATTACTATTTTTAATATATTTCAAAAAATGTTAATGGCCAATTGTATTTAAAAATTTCATAAAAAGCACCACATACGGATATTTTGAATGTGATCATTTGATTGGTCATTGATAACTTAATTTATTATAAAGACATATCACATTGAGGCATAATCTAACTGAATGGTTAGATATTTGACTCCAATCGTTTGGAATATCATTTCAGTATGAGCCACAACATATTTTGGATCAGCTGTCCTTGCTACTTCTAACTTTACTGTACCAACATAAACATCTGAGCATAACGTCCAAAAATGAGTTTCTTGAATACCGTACACTCCAGTTAACTGAATCACTTTATTATAACATTGTTTTAAAACATGATCTAATCCTGTAGGCTGTCTTTGCATAAGAATTATCGCCGATTCTTTGATAAGAGACAATACACTTAACATTATCATTAACGCTATAAACATAGAGCAGATTGGATCCGCAATCATCCATCCAAATAATTGCATCAATACTGCTGAAATAATTACACCCACTGAACCAAGAGTATCAGCCAAAATATGTAAAAATACTCCTTTCATTATTTGGGAATTTTTTCCAGTTGATACATCTAGTTCCATTTCACTGTGATCATGATCATGAGAATGATTGTGGTTGTGTAAATACTGATAGCTATTATGATTATGGCCATGAGAATGTCCATGTTCATGATTTCCACCTAGTAAAGGAGCTCCTCCGTGACTATGTCCATGTCCTCCGTGTCCATGTCCATGTCCATGTTGGAATGCATAAATTCCAACTAAATTTACTAAAAGTCCTAATACAGACACCACGAATAATCTTTCGTGTTTGACTTCTGGAGGTTCGATAGCTCTTTCTACAGCTTCAGACATGATGAAAAATGCAATAAATAATAAAAATAGTCCATTAACAAATCCAGCCAAAACTTCCGCTCGCACATATCCATATGAATATCGTTCATTAGCTCTCCATTTTGTTATTACTGATGCAACTAATCCAGCTAATAATCCAGTACAATCGAAAAACATGTGAAAACTATCAGATATTAATCCCAAACTGTTCGTCCATATTCCATACATCAATTCGACAAATGCAAAAGAGAGATTGAGAAGTAGGAATAAAAATAAATTACGGGTATTTTTGTCAGCAAAAATTAGCCTTCTCCAATCGTAAAGTTTTTCTCCGATTTTATTGCAAATCCCTTTTGAATCTTTATGTGATAATGGAAGCATTATATATGGTGGATTTTTTTCTGTAATCAAATAGAAAAATTTGTTATATAACACTGTTTTACAGAGCTGTTTAGCAACTATTATATTTGATAGGGTTATTAAAAAAACTTATGAGATAAATTGAAAAAATAAAAATTAATGAAAAACAATTTTTTATTCAAATATTATTTAAAGTACAGGTGTGTATTGTGACGTTAACGGCCACGTGTATAAAATTAAAGAATTATTAGTCATTGAATTTTAATTTTTTTTCAGAAAATATATTAGATAAATTCTTAATTGATTGCATAATTACACTTAATAAATCATATTATTTCAATTAAAATCATGTGACAATCATAATAGATGAGTTGTCAAGAGATCTTTTGCAAAAGCTGTCAAGATGAGTCGGTAATATTCAAGAAAATCCAAATAATTGTAGAAATTTTTTTTTGTTTTCTATTAATTAATTATATTATCTTAGATTATTAAATTTATGTACTTTCATATTATTTTTAATATTAAAAACATTTTAAGGCTGTGAAATAATCATGAAGGTTAGACGGTATGGTACTTACCTTAAAGGAAAGTTTAATTGTTAATAAATAACTATAAAGGTTAGAATTGATAATAAAATTTAATAAACAATTCTTTCATTGTTAATTTATCATTTTTATGATTTTTAAACTTTGGTTATAAAAATAAACAAGACAAAAATACCATATTGAAATACAGGCCGTTTTGATTAAATGTTACCACAAAATTTTTTTGATGACGCGGGATATAAGGTTGTTTTCAATCAAGAGCATGGCGCAACAATCGCACATTGTACGAACTATAGATGTTTTTTAAGATGGATGCTCAACGCGTAGTAAACTTTGAAAATTTTCGTTTGTTATAAATCATCATTTATAAATTATTATTTGAATCTCGCGTGTTAGGAAACACACTTTAATCAAGTATATTTATTAGTCTGATCATGTTTATACTTGAGAATGTCGGTTTAACTTTTAAAATTATGAATCTAATAAAATAATTGACAATGTTGGATGCGTCTCCAGCCACTAGTACCTGATATGAGATTTTATATGAGCTAAATGTTTTTGTTTAAGTTTTATGAACATTGATTAATTACAGGAATTGTTATTATAAACAACTATGTCATTTAGTAAGTCAGGTATTATGAAATATTTATCTTTAAAATCGAAAATTATTAATTAACATCGTAAGGTAAATAATGGTAGAATGGAACAAAACATTTTTCATCTCCCAATGAGCTTTTGAAGCATTTATTGTGCATGGACCTACATGGTAGCAATGAATAATAGACCAATATTTAATCAAAGCTTCTTCATGTTCTTTTTTAGGTGTTTTGTACCAGCTTGAAAAAAAAATAATGCTGCTAATATTTCTTCCTATAAGTACTGTGAGTTTATTTATCTGTTTTTTTCTTATCAAAATAATCTTAAATTAGAATTACATGTATGATATTATAATCTATTATAAAATTTCAATTGAAAACCTCTCTATGCGAAAGCTCTAGAAAATAACGATCGAAAAAATATTGAAAAATATTTTTCAAATATGAAATACTTTTATTAGTTAAGAAGAACTATGAACAATGATATAATTGGTTCATAAAATATTTGTTTGTCTCTTTAAATAATTAATTTTTATCAAAAGCTCACGTTGTCAATCACTACATTAATTTTTCATTAAGCTCTAATTATGAATGGTAACAGAGAAAAAATCCAAAATATCTGTTATCTTTTATGCACTAAAAAAAGAAAATTAAGTATAACTTCAAGATGATCTTTCTTTCACATCTGATATTTTAACGTAGCTTGCGGGAACAATATGATTTGTGAAGGTTCAGATTCTGGACTCTCTCTGCTTGAAACGTGCACCTACGCTTTCCGAGAATTTCCAGTGGTTGTTCTTCCATTCTCTTCCTACTCATACTCGCAGAAGAATGATAACTCGAATGGAATAGGTATATAAAGATGGAGTGTACAATTAAGTAGCAGCCGTCGGGTAGATCAAGCAACACGATTGCACTAAAAAAAATGAAAGTATAATAGCACAACTAATTTCTAAAATTTACATTCCAACCTTGACATTGTTACTACCAATTACATCTGTGCATCTTTTAAGCTTTTCTAATCTTTTTATATCATTTTTTCGCAGGAAAAAGGATCCAATTTTTGATACGTCTCTGAAACAAGACAAACAAAGACAAAGAGAAAAGACAACAAATCTTTTGTTTATATTGTTGGAAATTATTTATTCATTTTTGCAAAGAGTTAATATTAATTTTTAGTTATTGGAATAATTAATTGTTGAAGAACAGTAGAAGCAGCTTTATTGTAGTTTTCGGAGTAATAGCAAAAAAATTATTGCAAAATACAAAAAACATTTATGAGTCAATCTCGTAAAGACTGCTTTTCATTGTTGAATCTATTGTTATTCACATAATACGGTTATGATTTAGTTTAGGATGCAAGAATATAGGTAAATACGACAGTAACGGGAAGGTTGGACCATCTTGGCATACACTCGTGATAGAAGGAAGACAAAAAAAATTCGGGTGTTGAATTACACGCTAGGGCCCCTCAGTTCTAACTTGCTTTTGTGCGTCTTCGTCTCATCCCTCGTTTTTCGATTGTCCTGGTTTAAGCAAATCGGTTCATATATATATCAAAATCATTGAAAAACATCGCTCAAAGAAAGTTTGATTAAATTTTTGTCTCTACACAATACCCCTGTAAAATGTCTAGGAAAAGAGCATCGAAAAAAATCGATTTAACATCAAGAAAATTTGATACCCCTAAATAATTCATGCTCCAATAAACAGTCATGATTATTACAGTTCAAAGAAATCAGCAATAAATAAAATGTAAACAGCAATTATTACAACGATTTTTTTTTATTAATGTTTATTTTTTTAAATTTAAAAACACCTGTTAACTAAAATTGTTACTCCATTACCAATAATTGTTGTAATTAAATCAAGTTATGAGTTGTTCTAAAAAAATTCGTTACTTTGATTAAAATAAAACTATTTATAATATTTTATAGGTCTAGAATATTCCAAATGATAAGAATAAATCAATTTCAGATGGTTAAATAAAAAATAATCTAAAAAATGCTGATTCTAATCATAGCAAAAAAATTATTCTTGTACATTTTGACAAATTTTTAAACATAGATCTAATGGTTATTTTAGATGAGATATTAGTCTGGTTAGATAGTTATTAATGAATATACTAGGTGGTTCATTTTGCCCCATTTTTCTTTTGCATGGTTAATGAGTCTGACTCGTAGTATTAGCCGTCGGATAACTACTTGAACTGCTCGAAAAATATCTCTGAATGAGTTGGCTTCAATTAGCGTGACACTGTGAGAATTTCATATTATATATGTGAATAGCATCAATTATGTTTATTATTGTATTACACGTATGAGACTATGTAATTCGCGTTTATTGTTAGTTAGTATAAATTGTGACAGTTAATGTGTAATACGAATTACTCATACTTGCTTTTTAAATATATTATTATATATATTTAATTTTATTATCAATAGCAATATATTTTTTAATCAAAAATTACTGCAAAAATAATCTATCAAATTTTATAAAATTTTTCTTAGATATATTAATCATTAATCAAATCAATTTCTAACAAAATTATTATTTAAAATAATCAATGCAAAAATGATTATAATAATTCAACAATTATTTTCATTGAGGTGTCAAGAATTGGAAAATAATAAAAAAACAAAATAACACTTATGATAAATATCCTTAAATATACTTCACGTAGACGTCAATTATGATTAATTATAACGTAGACTAACAACGAACGGAACAGCTACTTAATAGTTAAACTCGTGTTAACCTCTTTCCTGTATGATATGCTCTTCCTTCGTCCAGCATACGTAATTAACTTTTTTTATTTCTTTATTTTCAATAGTCAAACTTTAGCCAAAGATAAAATTATGCTTAACCAAGATGATAATTCAACCAAAATAACATTTTACCATTTCATATTGCAAAAAAAAGCTAGAATGTTGTATAGAATGGAATAACTTATAAAGAATAATTCATTCACCTTATTATATTTTATGAAATATATGCTCAAACATTAATATACCGTAATAGCTACGCTTCCATCTGAAGTACGTTCTATAGACCATCTGGTTCTGTCTATAATGATGCGCCTGATTAATCAAAGTAGATCGATATCGATTATTCAATATCATAAAGTAACGAATACCAAGTGGTAGTCATTTGTGAGGTGTATAATTTACTAAATTCTAATTTTAATTCAGTATTCCGCAGGTTAGTTCCCTTTTTTATTTACATATTAAACTATTTTATTTTCATATACTTTCATGAATACAATGCTGTAGCCGTTCAAGTTTTATTATCCTAGCATCAATTTTGTGTTAAATGTCTGTTCATTTTTTTATTACGTAATATCACCAAACTGGCGGGGTTTTTTCATTTTTTTTTGGAGCAAACATTTGAAAACTCATCATTCTTTAAACCAAAATTCTAAAAATCAACTTCAAAAAATTTTCAATGCAATCTAAAACACTTGAAAATTTATCTTGAAATATTTATAAATAAAATACATCTTATCATCCTAGACTTAAATACTCTGATTATTTTTATTTCCATCTCAATCTTCAGTTTGATTCCATGAACACAATCAGCTGATTGATTTTTAATCAACCCAAGGAAATAAAAATATTTAATCTTACCTTCTTTGTTGAGAAGTTGATTGTTGATAGAGAGCATTAAACTTTGATGATACCTATTGAAGAAAAACCTAACAGTAAAATCATATTGAATTGTTTGATTTTTTAAAAATATTCATTCATTAGAAATATTTTATTAAATCAATATCATATTACATAGCAAGCACATTGTCAATCTGCTCCAAAAAGTTCTGCTCCAATCAAGATCCAAATCCTAGAGCATTCTTTTAGCATCCAACTGCCCTTTTCAGGTGAGCTATCAGGCATTATAGGTTTTTAGAACCCTATAACTCTAAATTGAAAGCTCTAATCTTTAAATCTGTAAGTAATGCGTGTCATATAGACCTGTTGAGGATGAATTACACGCAAAATTTTTCCATAGTTCGTGACAATGACCCATATCTATGTCTATACATAGACTAAAGAACCAAGGAGTTTTCATCTCTATGAAGAAGAGAGGACTGTTCATTTTTTTTCCTTCCATTTACTTGGTTTTTAACTGTTACAAAATTTCAATGTAGTGAGCCAATAAGTAGTTTTTATGAATACTGTGTGTCAAGTACTTGACAGCAAGATCTATTCTGTTGAAAAAAAAAATAGGAAAAGTATCTTACTTTCTTGTACAGCGCTTCTCTATATCTTTTTCTACTTGAATGTGTCGCACAACGCAGGATCTAGTGAAAGGAAAGAAATCTGTGAGGTCCAAGGCGGCTTAACTTTACGATCTCTCTAAATCCCGCCCGAGGACCCACCCGACCAAGTGGAAAGGAAATTATAACACACCGATGAGCATGCGTCGACTGCTCTTATTCCGCCTCGTTGACAGAAAAAAAGAATGAAAGATCAGAGGTGCGTAAAGAATTTTGTTAAAAGTGTATTGATACGTCAATGATTTCACTAGGAACCATTTAAAAAAACAAAATATATATAACAGAAGATTTACACCTAATTATATAACTATTCAACTAAATATTAATAATAAATTACCAATTCACATTGAGTTGATTTGCCTTTTTGGTTGAATTTTTTTGCTTCATTTTGGAGAAAAAAAAACAACAAGTCTGATGGTTAGTTTGTAGAAGATTTAAATTAAAAATATTACCTCATTCAGATGCAGGTTGACAGAATTTTTTTTTTTGAAAAACTGGTTATGATTAAACAGAATTCTGACTGTTTTATGCACGAAGAAAATTTCTTGAGAAAAATAACCGTGATTGATTTAATCAAAATTAATTTATGAAATTGGACTTTTTATAATTTATTATATTTTTGATGTTACTGGGTAGCTTTTGATCTTGAAGATCATCATCAGTTTCATAGAAAAAATTAAAATAATTTATTAAAGTTCAATCTTCTCATTTGAATTATTATTTATCAATGAATTTGTCTGAGAAGCATGGTCATTTTTCCTAAGTAATTTTTTCCAAGTGTAAATTAAACAGCTAAATAAAAATGTGATAGTTATTGTAGAGTTGATTGGTGTAAGGCCAATTATTAAAAAAAAGATGGATAATATTTTTGATCAACTAAATAACCTATAGGTATAATAAACTAATGACGTATTGTTTATTAAACATGAAACTTGAAATTACATGAATTTTATTTTATAACATACACACAACATCTTAATACTTTTTCGCTTGTCCGAGTTTAAATAACACATATAGACGGTGGTTTTGAAACGACTATTGATAATAAAAATTATATGCATTATTGTTGTTGTTGTTGTTGTTTTTTTTTTAAATAGCTTGAAACACACGATGGATAGGTCAAGGTATAATTTATAATAAAGAAAAGCAATGACGCTAAATTTTCAATGAAATACTTATTGCAATTATTTTGCTGAATAAATTTTTGTGCAGTAATCTTTTGTGTAAAATAAGATTGTCAAAGTATACAAGAAATCTTATGTATTATATATTGCATCTAATTAGTTTTGTAGTTCACGGAATGTTGAAAGTAAATAATCAAGTTACTGAAATCATTCCATGAGAAATTTTTGTGCATTAATTATACGCTAGAAATTTTTACATCGTTTCTTTTCCTATCAGGAAAGAATTATTCCAGTAGAATAGTATGCATTAAATTATTATCTCTATCTTACAAAGTTATTCTTCTATTATTATTTAAGTTTTATTATTTTACCCTGTTCAGAAAGACGTCTATTCTAAATTAGAAATATACATTGCAACGAATGATATACCTAATGATAATTATCTATATTAATTATAATCATAAAATAGTGTAATCTTTTTTTTTTAACAAAGATACCAATCATGAAAATAAATGATAATACAATCAAATAACTAAAATTATAAATAAAAAATACATTTGACTCTTTTGATAACATACTGGTCCGCAAGATTACATTATTTACATATTTACATAAACATTCTGGAATTTTTAAGCTTGTAAATGAGTCAAGTATTATTAAATGATCATAAAACGGTTCAAGAGATAAGATGATGTTGAGAGGGAATTTGATTTTGGGTTAAGAAACATTTTTGATACAGTAGTATAATTGTAAGCAATGAACGTGCATATGAATAGAAAAAGCGTGCATAGGATTTCATCAATATGGATATATTTTAATGAGCATGGAGAAAATTTTTTTGGTGCTCCAGAAAGCTATTCCAGGTTCACAGCTTTTCATTGTTGACCTGATTCTAAATACATTATAAATAAGATAGAATTTTTTTTAACAATCATTACCAAGAAAATTTTATTATTATAATTTATAATAATTGTCAAATAAATATATGATTAATTTAATCATTAATTTAAAATAAAACAAAAATGGTAAAATGTCAGTAAGAATGCAGTAATTTTTGGTAGCATTTTCTCCATGCATGAAATGTGATCTGGATTATTTTTTCAGATAGACAGTTTAGAGTATAATCCTGCTTTTTTAACTCTGTAGCTTGAATGCTCCAAGAAAAATACTCAATTTATTTAATCAAAATTATGATAAAAAAATTTGCTAATTGGAAATTAGTTAGTTGGGTTAGCATTAAAGTATTTTGATTTCTACAAATAAGCAGACTTACACTCTTGGATGATAAAATGTTACTCATGACCAAATTAAAGCTCCACCAAAACATGATAGGTTGAAAAAATGTAATATATCATGGCTATTATGAATTTTAAATTTGTTGTTGCAATTTTATTCAATATAATCTAGCACTTAATAATACAGAGTATGATGAAGGTACTACTATTGAAACATTTTTTCATTTTGTCTTTCTATAATTTAGATTTGCAGCTATGTTGTTAACTAGATAGCATATTAGCATTTATATATCATCAAACTATTTATTGTTTATATTTCTCAAATTTTTTTTTAAATTTATCATTTAAAATGGAATCTTTTAAAACATTTTCACTTTAAATAAATACTCGTAATAAATGTTCGTTGCATATCGTTTGAATAATCATTGAAATGAAACATACTGTTGCAGTATATTGGATCCACAGGATGATATTTTACAAAGACACAAAGGAATAAAAAAAAATAATGAATTAACTTTGTTGGATTTAGTAACAATTAGTTGGTTTATGCTACGTAATTGGCATACTTACAACTCGGTGTAGTAGAAAAGAATATCCAAATACATTGATAAGAATTTATTAATATTTTTCGAAAGCAATTAGCTCTATGATTTATTTTTTACACTTAAAATTTGAATAAGGAAGCTAAAATGAATTACTAAGTTTTTTCTTGGCTATGCTTGCTATGATTGCCAGGAACCCAGGGTCACAATGAATGATAATCACCTAAAACAAGACCGCTGTGATAACTAGTATGAGATGTTGTCATTCCCATTGTGTTCATTCCTTGATAACCTCCCATACCCATTCCGACGTTCATGGACATCGCATTCATATTATTAACACTTTGCATTGTATTTGATAGCATTGTTGATGGATTTATGGGACTTAAACTTCCCATTGCTGGTGAAATAGTGCCCATCTGCATTGATGTGGCTGTGTGTGGCAGTGACTTTTGAATGTCAGTGGAAGTAGACGTACTTAACAGATAATCCTGAAATATATATGTAAATTTGTGGGTTTATATATTTACTAAAATATTTATATCGGTAATTACCTGAGAGCTATAGAATTGCATGTAATCAAGTTGTGATTTTTGTTGCGTACAATTAGAGGATGGTGTTGGTAAACTCACGGAATGCACTAAATTGTGATTTGTATTATGAACAGCTTGTAAATGATGTTGAAGTTGATGATGTACATTTCTTTTATCATCACCACTTTCACTGCTAGTGTCATGTTGCTGGACATGATGTGTATGAGAGTGACTTAGAGCAGTGGTTCCATGATTCGAATGATACGAATGAGGGCTAGAAACGGGTGCTGGTAGTTGATACATATTAGATGACTGCTGATGATCAACCATTCTTGACTGTTGCGTTTGTTGTTGAATTGCACATGATGGATGTTGTGATGTTTGATGCGTGGTATTTGTTGACTGTCGTTTTGTATCATCTCCACTTTCGCTACTCGAGTCTATTAACCCTGTACCTGGTCCTTTTTCTTCTCGTTGACCACTGTGAAAGAAATTTGTAACACAGTTGAAATATCCTATCTTTTAACATTACTGCAATTACATAAGCTAATACTTCATTATGTAGACACTAATATTGCTGTAATTATAGTGATCACTTGTGCTTTTTAAGTCTATTATTGCATACGATCACTTAGATATTACGTAATTAAAACCATTCTTATTCAATGTAACATAATTCATTTGATTGTTGATGAAGTTTCATCAAATCCTAGAATTCCTCAAAGGTTTTTGATAGAGTTGTTGATGACAATTTTCAAATTAATATTGGAAACTAGAAAAAAACTTAGTAAAGCTGATTGATTTGGATTTAGAAAATAATACTTGAAGAAATGTTTTGTAAAATAAACATCGTCTATAAAATACGAATGCTATACGATTTAAGAGAGAGTAATTTCATTACATTACTCTCTCTTAACGATAAGAAAATTACCATAAAAAAAAGATCGTAAATTTCAGTGAAAAAAAATCGCTAGTCAGTGAATAAAAGTGAAACCGTACTACAACTCCCCCTTATGTTGACATCTCATAAACTCAATTTAGCAGAGCAGACCTCCGAGAAAGACCTGCGGTGTTGCACGCGCAGCTATTCCCAGTCTGACAACAGGCTATCGTTAACCGCTTGTTTTACAAGTCGTTCTGACCCACGAGATTCTGACGTCTTGTGAATTTAATATATATACTACGTCTGATTTTCATCATAAACCCCCCTCCCCCCTAATGTAAATGCACACTAATCAGATTTATAAATATTATCAAGATAAAATGATTATTATTATTATTTAAAAGAGCATAAATAATTTAATACTTATGTCCTTAAAATAATTTAATTCAATGAACAAGAGCATTTGTGATAATTATATTAATTAACGAGGAGATATGGTATGGATGATGTCTATTTTGTTGAGTTTAAGTCTATGTAACTATTAAGGAGATAAATATTAAAAATAAATAGACAATAAAAAGAATGTAGGTAAAATAAAAAAAAAAAAAGTATTGTAGTATGATAGATATCTTAATGAAATATGATGGGGACAGAGAATCTCTTATGTTCAATTTTTCCTTGTCTGTATTTAAAAAAATAATGACGTGGAAAAAAAAATAGTGTTAAAAAAAATCTTTCTTGCCACCCGTTACATTCGGGAAAGAAAAAAGGGAGACAACGCGAATGAGGTGTCTACCAGGTATGTCTTATCGAAACATCTCAGTAGTAAATTTGTCGAGGTTCTTTTACTACAGGACATCCTAAGACTTGCGACTTAAGACTTCTTCCTCTTTTTTCCGATGTCACTTTTTATATTGCTTTTTGATTATAGTTTTTAATGTGCATGATATTTAATATTATTCTTATCATTGACTATGAAGTTTGACACTTTATTAGTGAAGTATTATTTCTTTTTTTCACCATCGTTTATATCAGCTGTAATCTCAATTGAGGGTATGTTGGAGCTATGTACTACTAGAGTATTTTATCCTTTCTCAATCATAATTAGCATTGATTAACTTTTTTTTCTGTTTTATTATAAATTGTTTTTTTTTTTTTTTAATTTTTTGAAGTTTATGTACATTAAAGTCCTTACATACGTGAGTATAGTGTCTATTGGAGCTAAGATTTTGATCTAGTCACTGTTGTGAATTTTATTAATCGTCCAGAACATAAATTAACCACTCGGGTCTATACGAATTCTTAGACCACCGGTGGATTGTTAGGATTTTGATTCGCTGACCGATAAGTCGATGGTCTTTTTTCCAAAGACAATATATGATAAATTTAAATAAAATTTACAAATATTTTATAATTGCAATTTTAGCTGGGAATGTAAGATTGATTTCAAAAATTAGGAAGTGCTAAAAACAAAAGCTTCCAGCAGTGAAAGAATTTAAAAAGACAAATTGTAAAGAAGTATTATTGAATTATACAAAACAGAATGTATTTATTGAATATAAAAAATATTCCAACTTGTTACTTACTGGATTTTAAAATTAGGAAGCTGTGTATATAAATGAGAAGTGATCAACTGGTTTGGATAATGTGAACACGCATGAGAAGAAATATTTTGGTAATTAAATATTTTTCGCAAATTATTCTGCACACCGAAAATGAATATTTCAAGACTTTATGTACAGTCATTTTCATTGTAACTTTATGTTATATGGTAGAAATAATTTGAAAGAATTTTAATATAAAGGGTTTACTTATGTTTAAATTATTACATTGCATTAATCAACACTAAGATATCCTATAAATAATATTTAGTATGATAACCGAAACATTCATAAAGATCTAATTATATTTGGCAAAGACACATCACTTTAATGATGACCTAAAATCTCAAGTTTTTCAAAGAAATGCATTTCTATGAAAATTGTCTATTTTTTGCTTGACACTGAAGAAGAAAAATTGTCTTCTCTACCAAAAAATTTAATAAAATCAATATGTTATTAAACATTCAGAAATGAACAAATAAATCATTTCAATTAATTATTTTATTACTTTAGCAAATAATTTTACTATTTTTGCTTTTTTGCAAGCATCAAAACTGTGTAAATTTTTAAATTATTTAATGGTGAATAGTTTTTATAAAAATTCAAGAACTAATAAAGTAAGTTTTTTGAATGATCTATTACATTTTTTTTTAAGTCAGTTAAATATTTTTTGAATTAATAAAATAATTTATTGTGAATTTTCAAATAAATATTTCACTGTTATTAATATATTGTCTAAAAATAATTCTGTGATTGTTAATGTTTCAGGTTGTTCATTGATAAATTATTCTCCAAAGAATATCTCATCGATCTATTTATATTTGAGAAAACTCAGTCTACATCCTCATCCACGATGTATTATGCAAATGTAAAATTTTATCGAAATCAGTAAAGCTGTTGAAGGAATAACAAATTAACTATCAGCCAACGTTTTGTTTTATATATCAGTTGGAATAGAGATTTATTGGAGATGATCATTATGATGAACTAAGTGTCAGAAACTATTACCAATTTTCTATTTTAAATTTTAATCATTTCTTGATCAATCTCCAAACCTGTGTGCTTCTTTGTATCAACAGCCAACTTTTAACTATTTCTTCTAAAAAAGGGAAAGAATTTTTTCCCACAATAGTTAGTGTATATTAAATGATAATTTTCTCAATAATAACAATAATATTGGGATTTTTATTTTAAATACCTATTGAAAGTAAGTCATGTTGAAGTAGCACGAGGCCTAAGATAATGTTAAAGTGTTTCCAATGTCTTACATTTTTTTTCTAATCCGGATTAAGATGAGACTGCTGATATACTCGATTTATTGTTCAATAATTTCATTCTTGATCCTAGCAATAGACATTCTAGTAGTAAAGCCCTTATTTAATTATTATTTTTTTCACTTTAGTTGACGTGAAATCATTAAGAAAATCATGAGAAACCTACATTTTTTTACGACACTTTACCCTTTTAGCTATGATTCTTATTATATACCTATGACGCTATGCATGCAAGCAATGTGTGCTCAGTATAAATAATCACTAAGTGCATTCGAGCCGACGCATGCTAACGAAAGCACTTTAGTTAGAAAATTGGGCCGTTTTTGTTCTATAATTCTTATTTAATTTCATTATTGTTTTTCTATAAATTTTATTTTATCATAACAACATTCAATCATTTTTTTTTCTCGATATTTATTTGATATTTTAAATCTAACGATAAATTCAGGTTCGAATCTACTATTCACATAATTTTTCGAGCAAATTAAATAGACAAATTGTATTAAAACTATGACAAAGAAGTTAATGAGATTCCTTTTAGATGATTATCAGAATACATTATTGCATGGTAATTATACTTAATGTATTAAAGAAATTTTTAATTAAAAAATTTGAAAAAAAAAATGAAAATTTATGCATCGCCGTCACTTACACAGTGTTTCTCATCCATTTTTACATGTATTTTTTAAATCCTATTTAAGATTCGTATAGACTTTGACAAGTATTAATACTTCAACCAAGAATTTATACCTGGGATTATAACCAGGGATTTGACCTGGGATATTCTATCGAAAATCAAAGTCTGTTTTTATTTGTAATACGGACAAAATCAAACTGAATTCAGGAAAGCAATATTCTGTTCTATTTCTTTGACACAGCAAAAAATAGCCCAGATTAAAGTATTTCCAAAGAGGAAAAAATTAAATGTCAATTGGATTTCAATTGATGATATTGGAGTAGTTTATAATCTAATTATTTCAAGAAGAACTGAATTGGTTTTTTTTTTAATATTCAAATTTGACGAGGGTTTGAATTATTGTTTTAATATTTTGACATAAATGGAATACTTAGAGTTATTATTACGTCAAGAAATAATAGATATATTTTGATTCATTGATTTTAATGCATTTTATCTATTCAAATCAAATCAATGATATATAGCAATTATCCAAAATATATGCTACTGAAAAATTTTATTTTTCCATCTTCAAATTCAATAATTGAGCAATAATTATAACGTTATGATAACAATAAATCATTGTGAATACTTCATAAAACTGTAAGTTTGATTTAACTAACTTGCAATTAAATTTATCATTAAAAATCATCAAAGAAATGTTCAAGTATTTGAACTGTATAAAGTACTTCTTCCTTTTCAAACTAATATTTACATATTTTACAGCTGGAAATGAATAAAGTAAATGGACTGAGTAGCCACTGGACCTACTGTTTGATGATTGAAACAATCAATAATTTTTAGTCTCCAATTTTGTTGAAATAATTTTAATTATTCTACTTACATGGTATAGATTAAATTGGAGCAATAAAATTTTTTAGGATTAAATAACATGGATTTATTTTTTAATAAATAAGAGTTAATAGCAGTTGAGAATAAAGACATCTATATACTTCATGATGATAGAGTGATGGAAAACAAATACATTATCTTGTACTTGACTAAACCATGACATAGGTTCATGCTCACGAAGAAAGAATAAAAATGGAGATCGTCAATGGGGTTAGGATGCCATTATCAATGTTTTGTTGACATATTGAGCAATGAAGAGGCCATTACTACCCCTACACATTTTGGTTTCTTTATCATACTAACACAAGTTGTAACCCTAGATGGTATTTAAAATAAAGATAAATTATATTTTAGAAAGAAGATTCATATTGCAAAATCAAAATATCAACAATTATTCTAATTACATCATTTTTGCTTTCAACATGAGCTGATGGAAAAGTCAAATTTTGTTTTTTTTTCTTCAAAGTTTCCATTTGTATAAACAAATCACAGAATTTTGGAGGAAGAAAGAATAGAAAGTACTCCAAAATGGTTTAGAAGAAGAATAAAACAAATAAAGATGTGAAAACCAGAAATAGAGAAAAAGAGAACAGAAAGTTGTTTTAAAGCAGGTATATGACTCTGTGTAGGAGTAAAAAAATAAAAAATGTTTATAGAAGGGTTTTGAAAATGATTTCTTAGTTTTCCAAATAAAATAAGAGCAGAACAAATATATTTCCATATGTGATTTTCAGAATTGTTAAAATATAACTTTTATTTTTTTTTTCGTCATCACTTTTCATTCATTTTGAAGTGTCTAATTGATTTATTATTTCACTAATTTCAACATTATCAGTTGATAAATTTTATGCACTCAAAGTGACAATTTAAGACGTAAGTACGTTAATAATGACACGAATTGACCGCAAACAATTGAATCATAAGCATGATAAATGTGCCAATGACCTTTATTTTTTTGTCGCTAATCTAGAACATTTAAATTCATGTCAACTCTGCTATGGGAAAGCACAAGAAAACTTTACTGTTCTTATTTAGAAAGCTAAAATATAATTTAAAAATTAAAAATCTACTATCATAAAATTAAAAATTAGTTTTAAAAAAGTTTTAAAATGAATCATATTAATATTTACTCTAACTCTTGCTCATAATATTATCTAATTTGCAAAGTCTGGCATTTTTTCTCCTTCGAAGTCTTCTGGTTCACTTTTTTCATTTAGTAAATTGGTAGTTGAGCAGTTAGAGTGTTTCTGAAGTCTGTCTTTCGTAGCTACCATAGGTAGAAATTTATTTCCAATAACCCAGGGTAGCTACCTATCCTAATCGATCACCAACTTATCAATAATTATTGAATCATCAAACACAAATTTCAACTTGGAAGAAAAAAATTAAATGAAAATATTATCAAAGGCAATATGTATGTCCATGGAATCATCATGAATTTCAGCATCATCAGCTCTTTATGTAATGGTAACAATATAGGAGTTCACTATAATCAAAGCTTTGATTAATGATACTTTAGACAATAAATCAGTAAAGATTGTATGTAGCCGGATACCTGATAAAATAATTATTTGTGTGATCCATTAATGCTGATGTAACGTTTGGTTTACCAAGTCATAATAGCTTGATAAAGAAGTGCTATGTTATTAACCTTTTAATTTCAAGAAATCTCAGCAGTCATAATATAACAAATCCGATAGAGATAAGTACTATCAAGAGCATTAATGAATTTATGATACAAATGGATAAACATTTTTTTCTTGTAGGCAGAAAAGCCTATCAGGAACGCCTTTTTCCCAGGAGAGTGATTCTATTTAATTTTTCAAACGTACTTAGATAAAACTTTTAATTTTAAAATTGATTCTGATACCATAGGCATGATAGTTTCAACTTTTTATTTGTTAAAGAAAGATATTTTTAATCGATATTGTTGAAACCATACAAGAAATCTTCATGATTCAGACATTTGCATGTGATTAAAACTAGCAAATGCTGCAGATTAGAAGATTAATCATTATCACTATCATTTTTATCTTTAAAAATTCTAAGATTCATCAAAATAATTGTTTACTTTGATTAACTTTAGAATAAATATAATTGGAGTCATTTTACACTGGAAAAATTAGCTGTTAATCGTTAAAAAAAAAATAATTAACAAGAATTATGAAGTAGAATGAATTTTTTTATAAATGAAAAGAGTGTATTTGATAATATATTCGATAAAATAATTCAATTATCCTGATGTAACGTGATTGTTATTATTTTTAATGAATAGTATGAGTTAACAAATTACAATAAATTTATTAACGTCATGAGCAGCTTGTTAAGTAGTGTAATTAGATTTTATTTTAATACTAATTCACTTGGATTCTGCCACTCTAGTAATAAATTTATACTGAGCTGTTTCACCAACGTTATCATCAAACGCTAATCACTAGAAATTAATTAATGACCCTTGGGTATTGATATGTATTCCAACAAATGAAATTAATGAGTCCCTATAAGAAGTTATCTTCCAGGTATGGAAAGAAAATTTAAATAAATTCAACTCTTAATAATTGTGACGATGTCTGTGTATCGTAGGATTTCATGCAATTAATTTACTCTGCTGTCGATATATAGAATATAAAATATTTGAAAATGGGCGCATTCGTGAAGGAGTGAAGACGGTGACCATATGCTACCATGGGAAAACACAGAAGCCCTGAGTAATTTGATATCGTTCCCTGATGCGATCAGGGGCATTTCACTGCGGTAGTGCTTCCCACTTCCTGTCGCTCCATTGTATACAAACCATTCTAGTAAACATACATCTCAGTGTGAGGATATGATATCTCATTGCAACTTTTGTGTTTTAATTGTCGCAAGTAAATCAGAAGGTCTATGTAATTATTTAAGAAAAACAATCAATTTTGTTTATATATTTTTTGAAGTACTAAAATTACTTCATAACTGAACCATTTTATTATGATGCTACCTAAGTGTGATGGTGGGTAATTCATCATCATCATCATCATCTCCACCTTTTTTCATCACTTTGATAAACCTTCAAGACAAAAAAGAAATTCTAGAGAAGAAGTTTGATGAATTAAACTGGTTTAGCTTTATATAAACAGACTTAGAATTTTTATTAGCTAAAAAAAATCGCAGGATGATGTAATAATCTAAATTTTACCTTTAACTTTGATTATTAGTGCACATTTTGAATGATTTATTCATAAAGTTGCTAAAGAAAATGGTTTAAATAAATTCATTTGAATTTTTAAGTTCACCAGCATGAGATATACCTGGTACAAAGCAAAAGTACCTTGATACTTTTTCTTTTAAATGAAATGGTAATTTAAAAAAACCTTTTAGAAGTTATAAAAAGTGATTATATACTTAGTTAAGTCTTAATCTCTTTCTATAATAAAACTTTCTTCAACTCAGTACTTAATATTCACACGAAAATAATGAATACGATGTACTAACCTTTGCTCTGCAGCTCTGTCTCGTTGTCTTCTATTTTTAAACCAGTTACTGACTTGGGTGGTAGTCAATCCTGTACTTTCAGCCAGCTCGCGTTTTTCTCTGGGTGACGGATATGGATTTGAAGCATACCATTCCCTCAATACACTTCTAGATTTTTCCTTAAAACAATAAGAGGTTTCTTCGCCATCCCATATTGTTCGTGGAAGTGGAAATTTACGTCTTACTCTATATTTTCCTGAAAATTATATTTTATTTATCATTAAAATTAATTAAATAGCTCCTAGTGCAGTGCAGAATATATCAAAACATTCTAATGATTGCCATTAACCAACTCTAATTCAATTATTTTGTTTTTCAATCATTATTTTAAGAGTGCTAGAATAGGGTGGAGTAGCTTTACATGAAGAGAATTAAAGTGTAGAAATGACCCTTCAATATAAAGGAGTAAAATTGACTCTGAAGTGGAGATAAAAGCTAGTCAATAGTGATAAATCTAGGGATGTCATGAGCTGATAAAAAATATTACTTTGCAAAGAAGGGTGATATTTATACTAAAACAGCTTAATTTTTTTCGATTAAAATGAATAATGGAGTAATTTATACTTAAAATATTTTTATAAACTTGTTAATACCACATTTGTCTAGCTTTGTACCTATAAGAACCTCCAAAAGCTCATCTTGCTTAAGCAATACTTATTTCAATTGCAATCCAATTAAATTCAATTGTTCAACACTTGGTAATGAAAAGCTTTGTTTTAAATGATCATCAAGTTTACTCAAAATATAAAAGAACAAGCACTTACCTACGGCTCCTAGAGCTCTACCACGAAGTCTTTCAGCCTCTATGTAGTGTGCTTTTAGCCATAGTGCCTGGAGTTTGGGATGATTGTGCGGACTAAATGTGTTGCTTTCAAGAATTTGGTAGAGTTGCTTAAAATTACATCGATGAAAAGCAACAATTGCCTTTGCTTTTAGGACACTTTCATGACGTTGTAATCGTGCACATTGTGGTAGTGACCAAAGAAACCTTCCCAGTCGTTCTACGGAGCCTGCTTGCTGAAGAACCTGAACAGATGACACCATCGCCTTGAAGACGATAGACAGGAGGGGTATTCTGTTAGTCGGTCAAATTTATCCCGGTTTCCACTTAGTTTAGTACATCTTGTATATCATCATCATCAATTTTACTATTTTTATCAATACTGATGCTACTTTCAATACAAAAATTGCTCTTTATTTGATCATATCTGGTCAAGAACCAGGTATAAACTTGGAGAAGAAGTGTGATACTTCATCTAGAGGAAAGTGGGGTATATTGGACCGATTCTTAAGTTGGAACATCATTGATTCTTTCAATGACCAGAGGAATTTGGTAAATTGGTATCACTAGCTAACTTGTTTCATCCATCAAGAATTTCAGTAGTTTTTGAATAATCAAAACTAAGATCAGTTTAGAAATATTATGTTTAAAGTCTCATTTCATTGTTTGGCTTATTTTTGTAATTTTATACATAGATGTATAAAAAAAATCTATAAATAAAATCTAATTTTGTGATCTTATAATTTTATAAATCATATCAGTTGACGGAATTGGATCAGATCTATAATCAAATTTAGTTGATTTGTAAGAGTTTATGAAAGTGATGAGCAATAAAATGTGTAATGAAACAATGATCGATAATTGATTTTTTTATTTCAATGAAATTTACTGAAAGTGGTCCAAATTACCCAATTTTCCTCACACACACAATGCATTAACTCCATTCAGACTGATTAAGACATTAAAATGTATATGGAAAATAAATAAATATTACTGATCATTCAAAGTTGAAATGTTTCAATTGATTAGAAAATTTAATTAAATAATTTTTTTTAATTGAATATTAAGATCAAGATGTTTTGTGATAATAAAAGATATAAAGTGGATGATATTTTTACCACCCGCATAATGTTGAACAATTCCATTCACAATCATGAAATAATTTTCCTTAATAATGTCGTCTGCAAAATACTGCTTAACCGTTGATGGGCCAAAATAAAAACAAAAAGTGAAAAAAATATCCTCTCATACGGGTAGAAAGACGTGTGAAGGAAAATTTGCACGCATAAAAGTACTATAATTTTTGGAATAAATCATTTTATGTGCTTTCCTCTACAAATTATAGAATCTGATTATTGAAGTGTATAAATATTTTCCAATGTTGTTTAATGCTTTCTAAGTATTTTTATAGTTGAAAATAAATTTTTTTAAATTAAAGTATATCTTTGAGGATATAACTTTTCTCAGTTGTTTGAAGACTTATAATATATAAGTTTAGCTGAGACCTTACAGTTTCAATTAACATTTTTGCAACATTTAATTTATCAAAAAAAAAAAAGAAATCTACTTTTCTTCAAAAAAAATTTTTAATGGATTTTTTTTTATAAATAATAATTAACTGCATAAATTAAATGAAAATAATTTAGTGATACTCAATTTTGAGTTAATGAAAAATAATGAGGTGTCAGCAGGTTTTATTACACTAAAAGCTCAACATATATAACAGCAACTCAGTGAAATTTGATTATTCAACATAAAATTTGACATAACTCATTTTAATAACATCAGTAAAACTGTAGTAATACATAAATTGATACTGTTTACATTCATCAACCCTTGTTTATTTAAATCCAACTGATAATTATGTAATTCCACGTAATTTTAATTACCAAAACATATTATCTAATTTAATTAATCAATATTATTAATCAAAAATATTTAAACATTTAAATTTAAAATATTCCTATTATTTATTTCAATGCCCCCTATTGAATCGTTTGAAAAAGAATGCGAAAGACAAAGAATAAATATTATTATACAAGCAAAACAAAAATAAAATGCACAACTTCAACATCAGGGAATATAAAATACCACTGAGAGCCCTTTTCAGTTGATGAAAACAACCATAATCACATGGATTTTAACAGCGGGACAGCTAGATGCTATGAGCAACACGCGCAAGGGAGCAGTATATCAAATTTTTAAAGATGAACGAGTTTGATCTGAACAGGCTAATGTGTTACTTGCTCCCTTGTTTTGTCAATGAATGATCATTTTTGCCATCCGTTTCGACATTAATCTATTTAAATAAATCTCTTCACTAAAAATAAACAATTATCTCTGCTTTTATTTCACTTTTAAACATACATTTTTTTATTAAATAAATAATCGAACATTTTGGCAACAAAAATCAGTTTAAATAATCATGATTTAAATGACTAGTAAACAAAGCAAGTATCAGGTAATTTTTTTTTATTGGTTTCAATACCTTTGTGATGATTCAAAAGAACCAAACATGTTCCAACATGTTCAATTTAAGTAATAAATTTTTTTTTTTAAAATAAATTACTATTGTATTGTGATATAATGCTTTATGTTAAGAATGATTTAATGAGAAGTTTATTATTTTAGAGAAATAATTAGTCATAATGCTTGATCAACAAAAAAGCAAACTTTTTTCCAACATCAACATCTATCTAAGTATGTTTGGAATAAGATAATAACCAAATATTTATATAATCTACACATTCTAATTATGTTTTACTTTATTTGACAAATAAATCAAGAAATGCATTCAAGTATGCATTTCTGTAGATATTTGATTTATAACTTGATCATATTTATCTTATTAACAAGTAAAATTTCTATTAAGAATTGATCATCTAGATCAGGAACTCTGGTATCTCTTACAAAGAAATCACCAGAGTCTCACTGTGTTCAGCTTCTATATCAAAGAATCTAGATCTCTCTACGTAATAAGAGAGATTAGGTGTTTGATTTAGAAAAAAAATACAATCACAAAGAAAGTGTCGATATTTGTACGTTGGAGAAACCGTGATCTTTGATGTTGATTCTGTTTAAGTTGTTTCTGGGAAAGGAATACTTATAGTCAATAATAAAAGTGTAATAATTATTTATCTTCCAATGTTAAAGCATAACATCAGCATTAAATATTTTATAAAAATTCCAGAGACTGTTAACTATTCTTATTTTTATCATTCATTCTTGCTAGGATATTCTAAAGTATTGTGAGAAATAATCTGCAGTAAAAGTCTTTGCAATGCTCACAGAAACTTCAGGAAGTTAATAGTCTTTATTTCAAGGATTGTGTTTGTATTTAAAATCAAGAGAAATATATAAAGAAAATTTTTTATTCACTATAATTGTTTGTAGTCTTTAAAATGATCTTGGAAGAACCAATTAAATTTATAGACCTAGGCTATATAGAATTTGTTTTTACAAATTGTTAAAAATTTTTTTTAAAACAATAATTGTTATTTATCTTGAGACTTGTTTGATATTTACATGTACTTGAGGTCACAAATAATTTTATTGCTCTTTAAGTTAAAGCCTTTGAAACGTCTTCACTTTTACTACAATCAGTAAAAACTAACAAGCTTTTCTTTATGTGACATTCAAAGCCCTGTAGCTTTTCTTGTATTTATAAAATCTAGGATTTAAAAATAATACAATTAAATTCAACATGTCTGCATGGAAAGTGGTGAGATAAATCACCAAACACATGGATTGATTAGTTATTGTCCCAAGATGTGGGAAAAATGATGAATTCAATACTTGAAAATTAGACATGTGGTACACAGATGAAAAATAGTTTCCTATTGGATTTGAAAAGCAAATAAAAATTCTAGCAAAAAAAGAGCAATAAGATGTTGTGTATAGAAATAAATGTGGTAAATAAATAAAGAGTTGAGGGCTGAAAGCAATAAAATTAAGCAAACCCACATAAGGTTCAATTGTGGTTAGATTTTAATGTTTATATTTTATTTCACATCTGAAACTTTTCCGGAAAAATAAGAAATCCAATCTTGAAATATAAAAAAAAAGTGTCTTTAGAACATAAATCATAAATACATGATTTATTTATTTAAATAAAAATTTCTCAGCTCAAAAGTAATCTTAACACTTTATCAGATTAATTTTATTTTTTTTATATTTTTGAAAGTAATAATTATTGATCAAGATCATGTACTGATGCGAAGTTTAAACGACCTTGAATATTTATAATAAAAAAAAATAAGAAACGACGTAACAATCACCCAGCCATCATTACATTATGAAACTGCAAGTGTTATTTTCCAGATGCTCTGATCGTGTTTCTGATAAATCATATTTATCTTTATCGAATATTCGCTTTTAAATAACGTCCAGAGTGAATTATTTGCTTCAGTAGCCAATTTAATTTAATCAACTGTAGGGTTTATAAACTTAATCAGAATTATAAATAACTTTTAGTCATTTTATCTTGTCTTGTGCTTTTTCTAGATGTTTATTTTGCATTTGATGATTCCTATAAATTTTTTAATGCTACTAGCACACCATAAGGTTAACTGAAGAAACAAAAAAGAACAAGTTAAAGATTGGACCACCTGAAAACTACAGCAGATCCCAATAATCCGAAAAAAATAAAATCAAAAAAAGCACCGTCTGTTTGAATCAAGGGATCTTATGGATTATGTTATGTAAAGTAAAATAAAAACTTTTTCTTTTTAATCAAAAAAATATTTATCATACAAAAAGTTGTTGGGATTAAATTGTTCACGTATTATTACACCCTCGAAACTGGGACATCCATTTTATTTCATATATTTTACCTTATTTTTGATTGCATTAATTCAATAGATCTGGTTTAAATTAAATAAATTAATAAAAAAAAAGGTATCTAATTGACAACTTGTTGCTGATATATAATATTTCATATGTTAATTTAATTGTTGATAAGAGTTTCTAATGAATAACATATCTGACAGCTAAATCAACAATTCAATCAACTGCTGCATATGATTTTCGATTAAAACGTTTCTCACATGATAATGTGTATTTTAGCCACTTAATATAAAAGCCTACAGTCTTCAAATTAAAAAGTCCGGAAGATTGTTTGGACAGCTTCCAGATCATTCTTTTTGGATGCATCCAAAAAGAATCGATAAGAAATGAAGGTTTAATTTTTTAGTAAAAAATAAAATCCCTTCATACTTTAATATTTCTTGTTCTTTTACTTTGATGAAATATGTATTCATAAGAATTATAAAATTTTCAAAATAGTTTGATGATTGAAAATATACCAAGTATGTAATAACGAATGGAACAACCATTTAAATCTGTTTGATTTGGTATAAAAGGTGATTTATAAAAATACAATGAGTCTAACATTACACTATGACTCTGAAGAATACACGAGGCGTCTGATTTCAAGACGGATTAAAACCATAAAAACCAAAAATCAAGTTTTATGGGTTTTAATTCTGTACATAGAGCATTAATACATCGTAATAGTAGATTCATTGCTTTGGGTATGTCAGTTAAAAAAAAACATTGGAATACATTGGTGAATCTTTCATGAATTTGTTATCAATTATTTACAATTTTAAAAAATTTTTGATTCATGGAGACAACTTGTTTTGAAATCAGATGCCTTATGTGATACCTGATCATCAGAACTACAAAATATACACTATTTTTTCATTTAATATTATTCTTTGTTTACATTAATTTAATGAATTTAACTTAATAAATGGCCTCTTGGCAATTAACTATTATTTTATACATCATGGATTGGTTTTTTAGTAACATGTGGTTGATGTAAAAATAGTAGACCAGTGTTCCTTCGTTATGGACACACAAAGAACAACATTCAGAAAAAATTACTTCATCATGAGCTTCCACATGGAACCTTATATGCTAGATGATCCAAATAATTCCAAGCTTGATAAATATTTTTCGTGATATCTAAGGTATTTTACATGATAATCAGCAAATAGTATTGATCTAGAAGCTTATTTAGATATTAAAATTTTCATAAATTGTCCAAGCATCATCAAGTTCCATGTGGATTCCTGATGTTCATTTGAACACAAGTTGATTCACTGTTTGTATGTGAACCTCTAGGTGATTTTGGTGATATCAATGTGTTAAAAAGGTAGCCAGTAGTTAACAAAACAAAGAAAAATTTAGATCATCAATGAAATTTTCTCTCTAAAAAGATCAATGTATTTTTTCCTCAATACTTATGCCCTAATCCTTTGTTTTGATTTTAGCAACTGTTCTATTTATTAGTCTTTGTAATTTTATTATAAAAACTTACTCTAACACAATGATAAAGCTTGAAAAATACTAACCTCACAAACACAAGCAACTTGTTCTTGTGTAAATCCAAAACTAGGTAATTTTCCATCACCACTGTTACCAGCACCAGCAGAACTAGCAGGACTATCCTGAGGGCTGTAAGTGGTGAGTCCAGTGTTACCACTGGGTGTGTTATAAGTTCCTGTAGCATCAGCAGGTCTAATACTATGACCACCCAATGAGTTTGGTGTACTCTGGGGACTATAATCACCCGTCGAGCCAAGAACATCAACTCCAGTTGTAGGTCCCATAGCGCTACTGGCTCCTACAGCACCACCGTAGCCCATCATCACCTCATTGGGGCTAACAATGCCCCCTGGTACTCCGTCACCACCACCCTCCACTGTGAACTTGACACCTTTTTCACTCACTACCCTCCGTTTACACTTGTTTTTATTAATTCTATATCAACTTGAGTTGATATTTTATACATAAAACACTACTTATTACCTCTTAGACAGTATTAAAATTTTTTCCTATCCATTTTCACACTTGGAAATCATGAAATTCTTATAACACTTGATGGTAAAAAAAATGAAAATAATAAATCAGAGGTTTTAACAGAGTATGGGATATTTTTAGGTGAGCTACTAGTAGTAACTCTGCTTGTGCTTCTCGTTTCTTTCTCAGTCGCACTCGCGTTACAGATATTTCTTAAATTACAACTTCTTCTAAGGTTTGTAACAATTATACTCTAATCCTTTAATCTCTTTTACTTGAAAATTCAGTTTCTTTAACATATTAATTATATCTTATATTACTTCCACAATATCCGATGATAAACATGAAACCGGAAGATTAATTTCACTTTTTAAAAGTCAACGATTAACTCATACATATAATATTCTTAAATGTTTCAAAAGCTGTAGCACGAATATCAATCCCATGTTTTAAGTGTGAATATTGCTATTAATAGATGTATTCTATATTTCATCATTCCTCTCTCTATATATATCTTTCTCAAGCAAAGCAGTATTCTATTATTAACTAAAGCCACTATAGAGATTTTTTTCAACTTAATATTGATAATTATTCCTATATCATCACACTTTTACACTACTTATTCAATTGATCCTTCAAAAATCCACTTATTGTATTATTCTGGTCATCAACACCCACCAAATGTAATCATAACAGCCACAAATTGTTTTTATGTTTGATATAACGAGAACAAAAAAAAAATATATTACATCATTAAAATAATTTTATTTTTATTTATAAATCCAACAAATGAAACTGTAAAGCATGTTATCACGTTTTTCTTGGTTTTTTTTTTTGTTTTACACAGTTTCACTGAGATAATGATGCTCACTAACTCACGCTTCGAAAACGACTGGTCCACACACTACATAATGTTTAGCTCTAACATTTCATACCTTTACTAGTTATGCATTGGTAGGGGCGTTTCAGTCTCTTCAGGACCCCAGCAAATCGACGTCTATTGGTGAGAAGGCGTGGTTTAAATTCTTTTGCCCCTATTTTATTGGTTACATACTGCATAACTGGTTAGCAAATCTATGGTAAATCCCCCATTTCTACCCTTACATAGAAATATAAAACTTGAGAGTATGAGAATTTTATTTATTATCATATATTGCTTGATAACTTGTGTTGAGTATACGTTACGCCTTTTATTATCAATTTTTAGCTTTCAATTATATAGTAGAATTATTCAGTTTATCACTGTTATTAATTACAAATTTAGATTTGTAATTATAAGGTTGATTTTTTTTTTTGAAGTGATTAAAGAGTTGAGGAAATTAAAATAGAAGTTTAGGTGGAGAGGATGCATTGTTTTTAGATATTTCTTAACATGATATGAGACCTTTAATGCAGGAAATTTATTTAAATTCAAAGATGACATTGAAATACTGATCCCTATAAGGGTATATCTATTATTTCCATGTTGGCCATTTATGATCTGTCGTTTTATTTTTGTTAAATGCTTGTTAAAGCATTGAGTTTGCTTTAAAATTTTCAATCGCTCTTATTAAATATTATTGACTACAATAAAATATTTTTAACAATAATATTTATTTTGCAATGCTATCATTTTTATTGCCTTTTAAAATATTTAATTGATTGCAATATTTTTTTACTTTCAATAAATGTTAAATAAATAAATTAAAAATCCCCTGCAGGATGTTTAGAATGATAATAAAGTTATCTAAGAGGACATTTAATTTCTGATAAGGTTCGATTCAATTTTGCAGTCTTAAATATAAGTTACATTTTTTTGTTTTAGAAAAAGAATATTATTTTCTGCGCTAATTAATTTTGTTACAACGAGATATGTTCTGGGGTTTAAATTGTATTTTCATCTTTTTATTGTAGAGATAAACTTCAAATGCATCATTGAGATTATTTTATTTATTTTACAGAAGATATCAATTTTTAAATGACGTTTAAAATAATTATAATAAATGTTTTATTTATAATTTTTTTTTTTTTTCGTAAGTAACAAGAGGTTTATGTAAGTTAATGTGAAAATTATTAGACAATTATCGCCTTAAGATTAATTCAAGATTAACACAAAATATATTAGATAATAAATTTGGACAATTTTTCTTTTTTATCTAGATTTTGGCCATAACGCTAGTTTTATAACATTAAAATGATAAAAAATATTAATAAAAATTTTTTTATTCATTTAAAATTGACATTAAACTCATCATTATCCAGTTGTAAATACATTAATCAACATTAATTAATCATTTAATGCTAAAATAATGCTAAATATTCTATTTTTATACTAAAATCAATCCTCTTCGTGAAATTGTTCATTTTTAATCAAACTCTGAACTTTGAATTTTTTTTAAAAAATATTTTTCACAATAAACCAGCTTTTACCACTTTCAATAAGATAATTATTAAACCAAAATATTATTAAATAATGTTTTGAAATAAAAAAATATTTATTGAGAGACTTTAATCTAAATAATTCAACTTTTTCTTCCAAGTCTGATAAAAATGAATTCAAAAATGATTTTAATACTGATGTAAATTAAAAAAATAATTAACCATTATTGTAATTTGATAACTAAAAAATTTAGATGAAAATATGAACGAGAAGAGACTCTACAACTAAATGTCTGGCAATGAAATTTGGTAAACATTTGCTGCTAGGTTGATCTACGGCTTTGACCATAGTCCTTTCCGCCGGCAAAAAAGGAAAAGGAAAAAACATCAATCCAAAAACAGACAAGTCGTTTGTTTTACACATCCAACCTTCTTTTTTCCTTTGAAGCAGCTTGATTGACACAGGGTGATGTAGATGTCTAGTAGCACTTAGTAAAACTTCCTCCATGTGTCTGAAAATTTTATTCCTTAGGTAGCTTCGCTAGAGTATTATGCTCAGAAGAGTTTGAGGAATAACATTTTCATGTTTTTTTAAACAAAACTGTGATACAGCATACAGATCTGGGTTAAGTTTTGGTATTATAAATAAATAACATTGAATTATCTGTTAAAAAAGACTTCAATAAACATCTAACAATCAATTTGCATCATCAAGTCAACATTAATTACCATTCCTATTAAATTAAAAATGAATCTTTGCTCAAAATGATCATTTTGAAATAGACAATTAATTATTTGAGGTGTCAAGATACTTTTAACTCCACAAATGCTGATAAAGCCATCTGATCAACTCAATTATATTTGATGAAATATTAATGATTGATCAAGTATTCATTCAAAACTGATCAACTTTTGAATCATTTAATTTATTCTCAATATATTGCAAGCTAGAATAATAATGAAGAGTGAATAATATAAAGAGCTAGATATTCTTTAAAATTCATGTCACTTGTCAAGTAAGATTTCAAGAAAATTAGTTTCCTCAACCAACACGTGTGTGTTTTGGGTCTTTTTTCTTCTCTGCATTTAGCGAAGACTGACCATGGGGTAACTAGACCAATAGATAAACACAACATCGAATATTCCAAGTCAACAACACATCTTTCCTTTTTCAAACCAAAGTCTAGTTAATTAAAAAAATATTCTTGATTTTTTAGCCATCTTTTGGATCCATCTGGTTTACATGTTTACTTCACACTTACTTTAGTTGTAAGTTAGTAGCACATTATGATCTTTAATCATTTTAATTGTGCTACTTTCTGCAATAATTATCAATCAACTAAGCATTTATATCCATTAAAAAATCATGGGAGCAATTTTGTATGCTTATCGGAATAATTACTGATCAGTCTTCATCCTTCATCTAGCTAATCTTGATTACTTTTAAAAATTAATATTCACTATTTGATGATCACTTCTAACTGGAACAGCAATTGAATAGTTTGAAATAAAAGCATCATTTAAATAATATTTTCTTGATAGAATTGATTAAAAGTTTGACAACTGTCTTGATTCAGAAATATAACAAAGATAATACTGATGTATTGGTGATATAATGATGAGGACATGTAGGAATGATCTAAAAACTCCAAATTGCAGATGTCCGTTTGTCAGGCATTAGGGTATAGTTATTCTTCACACTTGTACGTAAATTTAATCCAAGGTAGGTTTATTTATCGGTTAACAAGGCTCTCTCTATTGGTGGTAGTACTCCAACCTGGCTGAAATGCACTGACATGAATAGATTTCAAAATGTGACGCAATTACGTGAGTATTCAATCTCACCGTACATGTCTCTTTTAAAATCAGAGTGTATACCTGGCGCCGTTACATTGATTTTGTAAAGAAACGATCACAGATGACAAATGAATAATAGAAAAATATAATAAGATGGAAAATTGGTGCAACATCAATGTGCAGCACACAAATTAAATTAATCAACTGTCTAGGGTAAGTTCCTATTTTTCAAATAAAAAATGGATATTTTAAAAATATTAATGATTATGTATTGAATTACTAAATATTTATATGACATTAAAATGATGATTTAATTGTAAATATAAAATAATGAAATAGTTAAAGCTTTTGAAGTTATTAATCTCATGTTGCTTTCTAATCAGTATTTATTATTAGCTGGAGATTTATTTGAAGGATTTTACTATTACTTTTTTTTGTTTAATTTGTTATGCAGTAACTATAATTTTTATACACTTACTATCTTATACGACATTCTGACTAAGAAAAAAGAAAAAAAATAAAAAGTGCGCGGTGGTGGCCTGGTTAGTAGTGAGGGGATTCTCACGTTACCTTTGGTGCAACCAGGTGTCCAGTTACTGCGACCTCATCTTCCCTCTTGGTATCTTTACTTTGTAACTTCGCCTCTATTGCACGACGTCTTAGCAAAATTTTTTTTATTTTTTACCAAGTTTCTTGAGCCTTCAGTATTGGCAGTAGGGTCTTTGTTATTATTATTATCCTTAAAAGTATCCACCTATTTTTTTGTTTTGCTTATATTTATTTTGTCACATAGAAATGTTTAATTACATGACATGAATAAAGCATGATATTTAAAAATTTTAGCAAGTTAGTAGAGAATAATTCATTTAGAACATGGTATTGTTTGCTTTGAACAAAGGAGAGAAGGTACTGTTATATAGAAATTGTCAAGGATTTATGAAAATCGATGATGGAAAATAATACGAAGCTTTTCTTGATAGTGAATGGATATTGTTGGAATACTGATGATTACCAATTTTGATTTATTAGTATTTATTGTATAATTCTAAAGTATAAAGATATTTTTTGATTTTTAGTGTTTCATTTTTCTTGACGTCTACATGCTCTGCTACTTCAGGGTGGTATGGGCATCGTGATGCTTCCGGTATTATGTTACGCAGACTCATCTTCAGTTCTAAATTTATTTATTTTCTTTTTTTCTCAATGTGATAATAATGATGAAAGAAAGTTTTTAAATTTTCTTTAAAATTAAAAACAATTGCACTCTCATTGTCTGCTATCAGATTTTAATTAATTTTTATTTGATGTTATTAAAAATAATAAAAATTATTAGACAATTTGTTTTAGCAATGCTTTATTGCGTTGTTTTAAATTGCAAACTTGGATAAAAAAAATATTTCTTTAGGTAAATATTCCATGAAAAAAGAGAATTAATGAAAAAACACTACTTGTTATTTTGTACGAACAAGATGTCTTGTTCGCAGAATTCTAAATATTTTTTTACAGTATCTTGCCCACAAGCACTTTTAGTTTGGAGTTAACGTATACTGATGTTTTGTATGATGCAAAAAAAAATACTTCTACCAAGTATATTTTGAAAGTATTACTATAGAAAATAGTAATATCTAATTTAAAAATATTTTCTAAATATTTTTATCTAAAATTGTACAACAATGTTTCGAATTAGCCAATACTATAAAACTATGAGATTTTATAATATAATAAAATAACTCAACATTATAATCATTCACAACCAGTAAATTCCATAAGATGTTTTGTAAAAATATTTTGTAAATTTAAAAAAGGAGAAATACGTAGTTTTGTTCAGACACTCTACTTCTATAGTATCTATTTTTTGACAATATAAGACAATTGGGATTGTCATTATTTATTTAAGTAAACAAAGAAGATGGCTAAAAATGTCCAGTTATTTTATAAAATTAGTTACAGTTAGTAATAAATTATCAAAGCAAAAATTATGGTCAAACAATAGTTATGTAAATATCAACAAAAAGAACCGAGACTTGTAATTTTCACTGCATTAAATAAAAAAAGTCTTGTAGACTTCTACTGAGTAATATTTCTATACACTATTTATATCAATGAAAACTATCAAAACTTAACAATCAGTCATTTCAATTTAAATATCATCAATTATAAACATGATTGATTATACTGATAAATAAAAAGTAATTATAATCAATTGAAGTTTTCCTTTTATTTACAACTATTTATAGACATCAATGCTTTTTTGAAAGACTTTTGAGCATATGATAGTTAATACATAAAAAAACTCACTTGTTAGATATTTTATTACTATTTTTAATAGTAATTGTAATAATAACTGAAAGAAATAAAATATAAATATAATTAGATTATTTATTTCTTTGTATATGGCTGTTATTTCTCATCCGTAGAAAGTCAGCCAGCAAATCGATCGATTTTCACTCTGTAGTATGCATCCATGGAAACCAGGAACCAATACGAATTTTGCAATTGTTTTTGTAGGTCTATAATGATTTTATTTTGAAATTCATTAAAATGCAATAGCTTCAAATATAATAGTATTATCAGTTTCAATTGTAGAAATAATCTTTATTTATTGTCACACCCTTCAGTAATGAGATCATCTTGATTCCCAAGATACAGCACTTGTTGAAAACCGAGACCTCGAGTGGTAAGTGACTTCCGAGTTTTCTGTACTAAGTAACCACAGGGGACGTCAGCTCTCGACTGTTGCATTATGCTCTATAATAGTGTAATATTATTAAGATATAAAAGATATAATATTTATTTCTATGAATTACTTTGTAACAAACATACCTTTTTTGCAACATATTGTTGATTATATCCTCAACATGAATCCATAATCCATCAAAACTTTCCATCAAAATCAGATATAGTTACTAGAACAATCATCATGTTCATGAAATATATTGCAATCAATATTTATCAAAATTTTGTTTGTGTTAAAATATAAAAGTTTAAAAAATTATATTTTTTAATGATAGTTCAAGATAATTAAATAAATATATATAAGAATATGTATATCAGGTTTATGGTCTTCACTCCCTTCAAGGTATCTATTTAGAGTAGAATCCATCAGCAGGTTATGAATGTGACGTAGCCGATATATCAGATTACGAACATTATCGATTCTGTCGCCCACTGGTCTGGATTTGAATGTGCAAAAAAACATTTTTGGCTCTACTTAATTGTTTAAGATTGTTCTTTGTTTCTACTTTAATTTTAAATATTCTAAATAATTGAAATTATTTATTGAAAAATATTTTATTAAAAAATGTCCAATTTTTTTTTTTTTTTAATATATCAATTACTTAAAAACCAATTTTATCTCTTTGATTTATAAGTAATGAAGCTAATTCATCTTTTCTAGTCATTGTCATTATTTATTTTATAAATAATAATTACTTTGTAAATAAAATAGTACAGTTTTCTAAGTTTGTTGATTTTCTTTCAAATATCAAATTTTTTGTAAATGATACACCTACTTAAATAATTATTTCAAGTATTATTCAAAAAAAAAAAAAACAGAAAATTAGCTAACCACCTTGAAAGCTCAATATAGAGGTGGAGCTTAAAAAATATGGCGGACTGGAAGCTGCATTCTAGCTTTCGAAATATTCATCTCCAAGAATACTCCACAAATTCTATGGAAAAATCTAGATATTTGTGATTGTTACAATTTCTTCTTCGATGCTACCTTAACCTCCTTTTTATAATCATCAAAAAAATTTAGAATATAAATTAATATTTTTTTATAAACAATTTATTATAAAAAATGTTTAAGAGGGATATGATCTATTTTGATGATAATGTAACTGTTGGTTTGTTAAATAGAATTACCAAAAATGTATTCAGTGTCATCACTAATTTGCCCAGACAGGATAATGAGACTATTGTGATAATAATATATATACAAAGAGCCACGTGTCGAACCGTAATACTTTCCGCTTCATTATTCTGATTACTTTCAATTTAGGCTACATATAGTGTAATCTAAGATTTTGTGAGAAAACGAAATATCAAAACTTGTAATTCAAAAAGCCACGTGTTAACTTTAATGATATTTTTGCTAGTTACAGTCTATCAGTAAAAAAAAATGTCCTTTCAGCAGCTACAAATAATTTAATTAATAATTTAAAATAATTATTGGCAACATTATGATAAACATGGCTTAGCATTTTAGAAAATAATAATAAATCATCAGCAAATCTTGACAAGTTTTAACAAAATTTAAATTAAATAATTGAGATTTATAAAACTATATACCAATACCATACATCAATCAGAGTGCACTTCTTGAATTTTATTACGATTTGAAAATAAAAATTTTAGTTATAACTGAAATGAGTTTTATATCAATTTTTATAGCAGCATTGTTGATCAGCATTATCGATAAGCTGACTCTAAACAATGAAATTGAGACTTACAGAATGATTCAATAGCTCAATTCACTCTAGATTTTTACTCTTAAGCTTTAAAATTAAAATGTTAAGAGTACGAAAAAAATATTTTTTATGCTTCTTTGTGTCTTTAATATTACTCAGTGAAGCTAGTGAGGTTTATTCTTACTATGTAAAAAAATCTGGGACCAGGAAAGCACTGAAAACTAATACTCTAAGAACAAAATAATTCATTATTTTTTTCAGTCTATACATTTCATTTTTGTTCATTTTATATTACCCCAGATTTTTTTTCTCAATAATTTATGAATTCATTATCATTCAAAGATGATAAACACAAAATATTACAATAATTTTTTTTTTATTGATAGTTGATATTACTAAACATCCAAACTGGGCACTATTGGAGCATCAAAAATGTGGAATATCAAATTCTGATAGAATAATTGGTGGAAAAAATGCTTCACTTGGAATGTATCCATGGATTGTTAGAATTGGATACAGTAATTACGCAGATCCAACTGGTGGTATATCATACCGTTGTGGTGGAACTTTGATTAATAAACTTTATGTTGTAACAGCTGCTCATTGTGCATCCAATTTGCCTGGCAGGTAATTTTTTTGCTTCAATACAACTAATATTTTTTTCTAAAATCTTCAAAAATAAGTCAATTATAAGGAATAGTAATTGATACAGATAAATTAATTTCTCATCTTTGTTCCAGATTTAGAATATCAATAATAAGATTGGGTGAGCACAACAGCGAAACTAATCCTGATTGTGAGAATGGATATTGTGCTGATCCTGTTCAAGATATTGAACCTTCTAAAATAATCATTCATAAGCAATATAATAAACCACATTTCAAAAATGATATTGCTTTGATAAGATTAAATCGACCAGCAAAATTCCATGGTATGTATTTATCAGGTCCAAAAAGTGCTTTTATTTAAATATATAAGAACTAATTATTCTTTGTTTTGTTCTTGATGACTTCAAGTAAATAATTAATCTACTTCATATTCAATCTCAGTATGAGAAGTAAAGTAGCTGATATTATATTTAATTTTTAAAATTTGCAGATTATGTATCACCTATTTGTCTACCAAGTGGTCCTTTGTTAACAAAAAATCTCACTGGATCCATAGCTGAAACCGCTGGATGGGGGATATTTGATATAGGTAAGTAATTAAAAAATTGTCAATCACTTTGCTCATGATAATATGGATTTTTAAATTGCTAGACAATCCAAAGTCGAGTATTATTCTCCAAACAATCAAGTTACCTGTTTTAACAATCGATGATTGTATAAAACCGTTCAAAAATCATGCAAAACTTGATGACAGACAATTATGTGTTGGTGGTAAAATAGGTAAAGATTCTTGTACTGGTGATAGTGGAGGTCCATTGATGAAAGTTGAATTTTTAAACGACTCTCCCAAGTATTATTTAATTGGTATTGTGTCTTTTGGAGCTAAACATTGTGGACAAACATCCATGCCTGCTGTTTATAGTCGACTTTCGGAATATATGTATTGGATTTTAGAAAATATATCACCGTAAATATTCATTTTCTCTTCCAGGAAATATTTATTGAAGTACAATAAAACTCTGATCTTGAATAAATAATTTATCTGATCCTATGCTATGATTTTATAAAACGTTTTATTAATATTTACTTTTATTATATGAATATATAATTATTTTTTCATACATCACGTGATTTAAATCTGCGCGCCATGGTTAATTAGAGAAAAATCTTATACACCAGCATCAATTTTGAGATGCTCCAATATAGAATATCATTTTTAGCCAAAACAATTTTTTATTAGTAATGGTGAATATTTTTAAAAAATTAATCGATATTTACATCATTTTTGATAATAAAATTTATTTTCATGAAAATAATTTCACAAGACATCATTGTCGCCTTTATGGTTGTCTATACTCTGTGCAAAATTGTGCTATTCTCAGAAATAAGCCTACCAACTACTTCAAAACAAAATATTATTCTTCATCTTCAACATCAAGTTTTATTTATTTACGATTAACCTTCAAAAAAAAATAATTTTCTAGATTTTACTCAAAATATTTTAGCAATAATTTCATTATTAATTTATGAAAAGTTGTTATTTTATACTTAAAACTAATTGAAAAGAGAATTTTATTTGATTATTTAAAATATTTTTAATTTCAAAAGTTGGCAAGCTTGCAGTTTTATAGCCAAATTTTGCGGGTTCGTAAAACTATCCCTTAGAGATTCTACCTATGTGAGTCATTAGGTGTATGCGGGTATGCGGGTAGTCTCTGCAGGTCAAGTCTTGACATTAGGGTCTTCAGTGTTAAAACTTCCTCCAATACAACTGCACAGTACTTGTACAGTACCGAGAGTAAAAAGAAATTAAGTGTGTGAAGCATACGTTGTTCAACGATTTGGTATATATATCGTGTTAATTAATTGTTAAATAGTAAAAGAAATGAGCTATTGGCTATCTAATTGTAAATATATGCTCATATCAAACTTAAAGAGTATTTAAAAATACTTTACTTTGATTTTAAAAATAAAAATATACAAAAGTACAGTAATAGATGAGAGGTTGACACAATTTACTTGTACATGTATTCTCTTCGACAAAGACAACGTATTCAATATTAATACATCGTTAATCAATTATTGTTTTGGTATTTTTTATAAATGGATTAAGTTTCTTAACGCTGTAAGTACTATAATTTATTATATATATTTAATAGAGTAATAAAATATCTTTTGTTATAATAAAATAATTGTAGATCTTATAAAGAGAATGTTAAACTTCACGTGTAGGTTATTGTGAACATATATAAACTCAAGTATCACAATTGATAATTTTTATCTGGGTTAATCGTAAAAAATTGAATGCTATTAATATCATTGATGTCATGATGTATTGAGAATAATTTTAACATTTAAATTTACAGGAAACAGAAAATTATCAAAATGGCCGGAAACATAAGCAATGAAAGTGATGGAAGTAAATTGGATTTAATCATGAGCCAATGTTACGAAAATTATATACTTGTTGATGTTGGTGCTAATATGACCAATAAAAAATTTGTACGAGATTTAGATAGTGTAATTCAACGTGCAAAAGATGCTGGTGTTCAAAAGATCATGGTCATTGGAGCAAGTATACGTTCCAGTAAAGAAGCCCTTCGATTGACCCGGCTTTACCCAGGGACATTGTATTCTACAGCAGGTATACACCCTCATGATGCTAAATCTTGGGATAATACAAATACTTTAACAGAGTTGGAAAGTATTGCTAGCAATCCAGAATGTGTTGCCATAGGAGAATGTGGTCTTGATTATAGTCGAGATTTTTCTGATCCAGAAACACAACGTTTAGTTTTTCATAAGCAAATTGAACTTGCTTGTCGATTAAATAAACCTCTTATCATTCATGAACGTGGAGCACAATCTGATGTATTAGAAGTTTTGAATCATTATAGAAATCGATTACCACCAGTTATGATTCATTCTTTTGTTGGAATGGCTGAAGAAGCACAATTGTATCTTGATCATGGTTTTTATATTGGAATCACTGGATATTTATGTAAAGATAAATCTGACAGCGGAGTCAGACAAATATTGGAATCTGGAAATGTACCATTAGATAAAATTTTGGTAGAATCAGATGCACCATTTATGTATCCAAATTCAAGAGCAAGTAAACTTCCACTTTATGTAAAAGAAGGATTAACAGAAAGATCAGCGACATTTCTTCAACGATATTGTACTTTTCAACGAAATGAACCATGTTCATTACCAGCAATTGTAGAAATGGTTGCAACTTTTATGCGTAAGACTCCAGAAGAAGTAGCCTTGGCAACTGCTTTCAATGCTCTTAAGCTTTTTGGATTAAACCAATGATTATTATTCATTTTATTTAATCTTTATATTTTTTATTACTGGTGCTTATTTGTAATAAAAGATAGAAAACTCAATTTTTCATTATTTTACATTAAAAATATAGCGTATAATCATTACTGTGAAAATGTTTATAAGTTTTAATTGTTTATACAAATTTAATAGATCGTCATAGATCTATATGGTTCGTGATTAGAATAAATTTCATAAATGATTATAATTCAGTTTTTAATATTTTACTGTCAAGAGAAAATGTAACAAAGACCTATTGCATCATATTAACCTAGAATAATTTTGTAATGAATATTTCATTGTTATTATATACATATTTTCGTATAATAAATGATTCATATATGTAATACTACAATTGATTTTCGTTCACAAATTAAGAAATAAGGTTCACACTTACTCACAATTATAAAATCATTCGCTTAATTAGTAATAATTTATTATTACAAATTTTCAAGAAGTTACTTTATTTCTAACAACTTACACCCATTGACTCCTGATCAGTTTTAACCTTAATTGCATCTGAAAGATATTTTAATCTAGCTGCCTCTGATAAATCTGACCATTGATCATTCAATATATTAATTACTGTATAATTTGGATTTATTTCTAGTAATTTTTGAAATAATCGTAATGATGGAGCGAGGCAATGTGTATTGTTTGAATATGCTCCTGCAGGTATACACATAAAAATAAACCTGAAATTAGAAAAATAATTTTTAATACTCTGACAAATATTGTGGTATTCATTTGAAATTTTTTCAATATTTTAACAAATTTTAACCATATAAATAATTTACAAACAACTTTTAAATATCAAAACATCATGCAAAATATTTACAATTGACTGTCTTTTGGTAGTTCTATGTCTTTGAGACATTGTGGTTTTGGCTCTTCTAAGTTTTTAAGAGCAACAGGATATCCTCCTTTTCTCATTATTACAATAAAATCTAAAAAAATATCATCATTAAATATGTTATTCATTTAATTCAGAGAAATTTTACAAAAAATTTTCTTATTTACCTACGAATTCTCCATATTGACTTTGTATATTTGATAAAACATATTGCGGGCCACCAAAGATAGCCTCTAAAGCTTCTTTTAATAATGGATTTATATTTTTTGTTCCGTATAATGAAAAAAATAAATCAATATCTTCATCTAACATAAACGGACCATAAAACTGAGGGTAAAAATTTTTCACAACATGATGTAAAATAACCAATTTTTTTTTCATTGCTATATGCATGTTTGCCTCTTTATCGTACGAACTGAATACTTTTTCTATTAATTTTGGCCAGTAACAATCAAATGAAACTAATTTAATTGATAATTTTAGAAGTTCATCAAAATCTAAATCAATAAGACTATCATTTAGAATAGATTCTTTTAATAATTCCCATGAACTAAGTTTTTCATCATTTATGGATATTGCAGTGATCACATTCATCCTTTCTTTTATTTTAGTATTCTTCGAAAAATATTTAGTTTCAATCGATTTTTCCGCAACATAATCTAATATTTCCATATTTGAATGGTACATTACGTTTAAATGTCTTATTATGTTGATTGCATCTCCAATTTTTGGCTTTTCTGATACAATCTTTGATATACATCTATCTATGAACTGAGCATTGTAGAAAATATTTCTAAAATAATCACAAATAGTTTATAAATCAATCTGGTATAATTATTATTTAATTTTTGTTTTATAAATAAACCAATAAAATAAGATAAATCACCTGATTCCTGCTGGTTGACGTCTAGAAGCTATTTTATGCAGTATAATAGATAATAATTCTGTATGTTGAATCTCGTCCATTGATTTAGTAAGTATATCATAAGTTTTCGTTAATAAGTCAATTCTTATAAAACTTTGTTTCACTCGTAATAAAACAAATAATAATTTTAGGGAATTTGTAGCATTAAGTGATTGATCTTTAAGATCATTTATAGCATTTATTATATTTCTCAGTACATTGTCATCAACTTCCTCCTGACGAGAAAAATACTCTAATGAACTGATGAGAGCATGTAAATTCTCGGTATTTAATTTAGTTTTCACATTGGCATGCACCACTAGAGGTAATGCTATCATTAATGCTTCTACTAACGGCGTCTTTTGTAATTTAGGCAGTAAAGAAATCAAAAAAATTCCTTGATCCAATGATAATTCATTTATTGAATGCCGAATTAGTTGAAGAAGCATTTGAACAACTACAGTTGAAGTAGGAACTCTGAAATAGTTTAGGCATTTCACTGCAGTAATTATATGCTTGAGGTTTAAAGATCTCATGTCTTTTTTCAATACTTTACACAAAGTATTAAATTCATCTAATTTGATAATATCTTGTTTTATCTGATTCTCTTTGTCTAATCTAAATAAAGCACCAAGTGCCATTACTGCATCTTCAGCAGTCATATTTTTTTCTCGTCGTTTAATGATAGACAATATATCATAGTGATTTGTACACTTTTTCCACTCACCGAAAGAATCTTCAGAATCGAAAGGTGATGATGGTAATGTGTTAATCAGTGGAAATCGTTGTTTCTTTTTTTCTGTTGAATTTAAAAAAGCAATGATTATAACTTTCAGGTTAGAAAAACAAGTTTGATTTTATACAAACCATCATCTCGTAGATTATTTTCAGTTGTACGAATTAAACGTTGGACAGTCACATAACGAGACTGTTTAAATAAATGTTTCACATTCCATGTTATTTGTATTAAATTATTAATATTTCTATTCATCATGTTAATATTCATTCATATATCATTCTATGAAAGTGTAACAACAAATGAATTTTTTAAATATTTAATTAAATTATTAAATATTTTATCACACTAATTAAGTTAATTGTAATTTAAATATTTAATAGTTTTAACTAATTAAAAATATTATATCAAGAATGTTCTTTTAAACTAAACACATGGTCGAACTCATGTATAGTATATACATACCGATGCTGTATAGTATAGTTGACTAAAAAACAGACATTCGTAACTTTTAAAATACAAAAAAAATTTTTTTTTAATGATGAGTTACTAAGATTTTTAAAGTAGTTTATTTAAATAATAAAAATAATAAAATAAATAAAAATAAAAAAATTTTATAACATTAATATAATATTTAATTTTTATAAAAATACAATAAAGTATACAAGAGTAGTAATAAAACATACATTGGTGGCTAAACAATTAGAATAATACAAATGCTAAAATGAATTTAATTCATGATTGATTTTTTGAAATTTATTTAATACATATGTATTTTAGAATTATCAATTTTAAAACCACTATATATTTAGTACGAAATACTGATTGTTAAAAAGAATTATATTTACAATAATTTTACATACTTTCGAAGACTTTAAATGAGATTCTTACTGGTTTAAAACCTGAATTACAAATGTTTATATTTACAATTTTTGTTTGATAAACTGCTGGCATAAATGTAATGTAAGATACATTTTTAGTTTTCAAACATTTAGAATGTAACAATGTATTTTACAATATAAATACTCCCATGTTATCGATATTATTTGATTATAATTTATAAAAAGTTTTAAAAATGTGGTAAACAAACCTTACCAGCAAATAATTCGGATATAACTGTTATCCATAAAGCTAAAACAAAAAGAATATATGATATTCCCACTTGATGAGAGTTTGGTAATTGGTACGGTTGTCCTCCAATTTCATCTATATGAAATCCCATTGGGAATATAACTGCAGCTAGGCAAAATAGTACCACTAAAAAAGAATCGTTAATTAGGATCATTCATTACTTTGCTCATCAATTTGAACTTACTGGCAGTAAATCCAACCCATCTAGCATAAGGTATGACATGACGATCCCAATGAGAACAGCCCAATAGAATGATAGTAACAGTAATTAAAATACAGCCAACAAATATACAAGAGAGTGCTATCAACCATTCAGGTTGTAAATCTGGAGTATAGCACACTTGATGCCTGTTGTATAAAGTCATACATGACCACATCAAACCTAACCGTGTATCTCCTGGAAATAGGACACAATATATCCAAGACTTTTGTTGGAAATAAGAAAAATTGAATTATTTAATTTTAGTGGATAATACATACCACCAACATCAGTTATAATCCAATCTGGCATTGCTAAGCTAGCAACAGCAAATACATCTGCTGCTAGGAACAATGTTCCTGAGATTAAAGTTAATTTATCCATTCATTTGAAAATAATTTCAAATTTAAAATGACGTAATTTTAATGTTAATCGTTTTTAATTAAAACTTTTGATCAATTTGTTTTGCAGGGAAAAATTGGAGTAAAAAATGTAGAAATTTTTTGGAGTAAATAAAATTCTACTGACAAATACATGAAAGGGAATATTATTGGAATAAGAAAAAAAAGAAAATATTAATTAGATTTTTTTAAAATCCACACACATAAATCTGACAATTTTAAAACTTCTGGAAGAGGTTAAGGTACATCAAAATAATTTCTTTTTCAATTGGTACATAGTTTGAATGTGCAATAATTGAACAGGTGACGCTAGCGTTGACAAAACGATCAAAAGGCCCTCAATTCAATCTGCTCTTTTAGTTCAACCTCCATGACGCAAAATAAAGCGCGCAAAATGGTTAGCTGATGACTTTATTTTTATTTCATTCAATGGAAATTATCAACATCCAAGTATATATGTATCTCAGCTTGTTTTGTCTATCCATCTCTTGGAAGTTAGTAGATTTTATAAGATAAAGAATACATTTACTGATGTGGTAAGTGTTTATTTAACAATATATTTTCAAGTGTTGTTGATCTTGTGTAATCATTATTTAGAACAATATTTTTCAAGTGTGAAAACGTTAATACAAATCGTCGAGAAAATTATCAAAAATGTTATTATTTGTCTGCACAAAGAAAATAAAGGTATGGTTTCTATTTAATTAAATAACTTTATTGACTTTTATTATATTATTAATAATACTATATAATGAAAATAGAATAAGACATGCCTCTCCATTAGATAAAAATATTGATATTACATCAGTCGTGAAAAAAATGATACAAAAATTTATGGAAGAGATGAACATATCTTTTTATCACATTTATATTTTATCACATATTTTAAGGATTTTTGCAGTAATAAAATCCTGGAAAAAATATTTATCATTAGAGATACTGTTTTTTTTTTGCTTTAGTATTAGCACAATCTTATAATTACCTTCTGGTTTCAAACTTTCTATCCAATTGACGTATGAAGTGACTCTAGTATTTACTGTTGATTGATTATTTCCACATATACTGCCCCATGAAATTATTCCTACCAAGAATAATCGTCTTGAAGTAGAATCACGCCAGATCACTGGCCCACCACTATCATACTAAATTATTAAAAAAGTTCGAATTAATTTTTATATATTATTAATAAACTGTTTATAAAGTGTATTTACCTGACAGCTGTCTTTAGTTGGATCCAAAGTGCATATCTGATCGTTATTGATGACACTTCGTTGATGATCAGCTTGACACTGGGTATTAGAAACAACATTAACTTGAGCTTTTTGTAAAACTGTCGATCTCTGTCCACCATATTCAACTGCACCCCAGCCTAAATTAGGAAAACATTAGCTTATCAAATTCTTACAAAGAGACAAATGAAAGAGTTTAGGAAATATTTATTCAATATATTTACTTAAAACGTACCCAATAAAGTAACTGGCTGATTAACAAATGATTCTTGAGAATGTCGGAAAGGTAAACAAACTGGACCTACTTTAGGACTGAGAGCTATGGTACCATCAATAGTAATAATAGCAATATCATAATCATTTCTATTGCTGCTAAAGTATGGATGCATCACAATTGTGTGTATTCTAAATAATTGAGTTGCATCAGTTTCTGTACCTAACAGTGATTATATCAAATTATTAATATTTTAGAAATTTTAATAGAAATTAAATTAAACATAAATGTAATTACCTTCAGGCAAATTATGATCACCCACCAAAACTCCTATTCTGTCGACACTTTTTTTCTCGAAACAATGTGCAGCAGTGACGACTTGTTTATGATTAATAATCGTAGCTCCACAGAAAACTCCTCTATGTGGCATTGGCATACTGTCTGCATCAACAAGTCCTGCCATCATAGGGAACTCATTAACCCCAGTTTCTACTCCATCAGCAATTCTAGCCTTTTACATTGTAAATACAATTTATTGGAGGATAATGAACTTATATTTTATTATTTAAAAAGCAATTCATGTTGATACTTACTGGATTTTTCCAGCCACAAGAACACTTTGATGTTGCTACACAACGAAATCTTCCTCCTCGTGATCTCATATTACTTTGTAAAATAAGTAACAATATGGTACTTCGTGGATTGACGAAAAATCTGTAGCCTCCATCACTTCTCACACCAGTATCATCAGCACTTCGTTTGGCAATTAAGACATCATTCTGAACAAAAATCAGAAAATAAATCATTCACAAACTAAAATAGCACAATGTGATCATTTTTGCTTGAATATAATATCTGTCATTATTATCAGCATAAAATTAAATGAGAATATACCGAAGGTATCTCTGAAATGTCACACTCCAATTGAAGAAGTCCTTGACTTCTGATGGTCCAAGTATAAGTATATCCTGGAACATAATTGTACGGGAAGTTGGGACTGTTGATATATTTTGTGGTACCAGGTAGCAATTCTACTTCATAATTATTTAAAAATTGAGCTCTGATAGATCCAATCAAGCTGATGATGCTTATCAATGAAGATAGCACAAATGGAGCTATGAAACATTTTAGAAAATATTTCAATTAGTTATACACTTTGACATAAAAAACTGTTTCATATGATAAAGATTCATTACTTACAAGTTACCATTTTTACTGATAGATTATCATCTCCATTCAGTCATGTACTAAATAATGTAATTAATTTGACAGCAATATATAGGTATGCTTGTTCTTGAAATCACTGATAACTGATAACACTCGCGTACATTTTTATGATATTTTTTAAATGAAATTTTATGGCATTTGGAGTAATATACCAAAATTTAGAGCAGTAGTAGTGAAATCTACTCAAATAACTAACGTGTATGTGGATTAAATAGAAGCTCACCAATATGAACTTAACAATGTCAATATGAACACTTGTCTAATCTTATTGTTAACTATTTTTTTTTCTAAGAAATTCAAATTAATCTTTCACACCTAAACTTTATTAAATAATGAAAAAAAATAAGATTCTATAAAATATATGTCTAACATTTAGTATTTTTTACGTGTTTAACTAAACTGCTTGTAGCACGAGTATAATTTTTACCACATTCTTTATGTTTGCCAATAAATAAGATAAATGGCAATATAAAGAGACACTTAAATATGCGCGGAAAGTAAAAATATTAAAATGAAATAACAAGAAAACAATTGTCAATACAAAATGATGGATTATCAGTTTCAGAAAAATCAGTAAAATGTTGATAAGGTGTTGTGTATCTTCTTAAGCTTCTTCAACTAGCAATTATTAAATAGTATGTAATACTAAAGTCTAAGATTTGTTATGAAATGAAAGAAATAAAATTTTTTTTATCATAAGACTTTCCATTACACTCAATAAAAGTAATATCAAAAGTCTTTTTTGGTAATGATTCAACTTAAAAATATTATTTGCAGATCGTTTATTGTTCCATTTAAAGTTTACAATATTCATATCCTGAAACCAAATTTTATTATATTATACAGAATCTTTTTAATACTGCAATTTATGATTATGATAAAAAATTGTTTAATTAATTTACCATTGGGTTTATTTTGTTCTATCCACGATAAATATGGACTAATTTTTGTATTCAGTGCTGGTCGATTGTCACCACATATTCCACCACTAGAAATAATTCCCACCAGAAATAAACGTCTTGCTCCAAGATTATACCACAAAAGTGGTCCACCACTATCATACTGAAAATGAATTATAGAAATGTTTAATACAACCATGAGATACATTATTATTCAATGAAAATATTTAAACTTTCTTGATATAAAAATCATTTACCTGACAACTATCATAAACTCGGTCTAGAGTACACATCCGATCATCATTCAATTTGTGGTAGTATCTATGACACTGCCAATTTGAAATAACAGTAACATCAGCTTTACGTAATACTGTAGATTTGGGACCACTGTATTCAGTCACACCCCAGCCTAAGATAATTAGAGTTCAAATTGATTTGATAAAGTTTTCAACTGACTTCACACTTAATTTTCTTTCTTGTTAAATATTTAAGCTATGAACTAAATTGTTGACTTGTAACAAACCTAGAATTGTTACTTTCTCAGAATTAAACACTTTTTCCTGATTTTTAAAAGGAAGACATGCTGGACCTACGTTGGGACTGAATCTAATATCACCTTGTACATCAACTATAGCAACATCATGATCATCATTTGATGGATTGTACCAGAAATGTTTTCTTACATTTCTAATGTATAACATTTGAGTATCATAAGATTCATGTCCTGAAAAAAAATTTTATTAAACTTGAGAAAATTTATGAAAAAATGTTATTAATTTGTAAACTATATTCTGCTTACCTGCATACAAATAATGACCACCTATCATAACTCTAAGATTCTTCAATGTTTGTTTTTCAAAACAGTGGGCTGATGTGATAACTTGACGAGGGTTGATGATTGTAGCACCGCATATGACATTTTTAAAATTCCTTATTACATTATGAATGTTTATCAACCCAGCCATCATTGGAAATTCGTGAACTTTAGTTTCTATTCCCTCAGCAATTCTGTTCTACAAAGAATATTTCAGTAATAAAGCTAGAAGAGTGTCTTTTTATTCATGAAGCTTTCATTTTCTATTACTTACTGGATTTTTCCAGCCACATGAGCACTGTTTATTCTTTGTTGACTGTCCTACACGCTCTGCTTTACAATGAAAACGTCCACCCCTTGAGTTGCGGTAGCTATTGATGATCATTGTCATTACATTATTCCTTGAAGTTACAGTAAACTTATCTTTACCGTAATAACGTAAATCACGTCCAGCAGATGATTGTTTGATGATGAGGACGTCAGGCTTAAAAAAAAATAAACAATTAAGAAGAAGAAGTCCCTGATGAAGGTTTTTTTTTTTAGAAATAATTAAATGTTGTAATAACTTAGTACTTACCCAACTTATATAGATGTCGCAAAATAATTTGAAATTCCCATTGGCTTTTATGGTCCACTGGTAGTTGGAACCAGGTAAATAATTGCTTGGATAAAATGGACTATTAATATACTGAACTTTACTCCATTGCACATATGTGTTAAATTCGAAATGATAAGCTTTGCTAACATTAATCAAAGTTATTATTAATAAGGATAAGACTGTAAAAAAATGTATAAAATTAGTGCAATTTATTACAAAGTTTTAATGACGAATTTATTATAACTTATAACTTACAAGCTAACATTTTTGACTGATCGACTACCAACTTCTGTTAATATTTTACTAAATGATTTTGGACAATGTACTTCATTTTATATTCGAATTTAGAGCAGTAGAATTGAGTGAAATTTATTACGTGCGTATGAAAAAGTAGAATTATAAGAATAGAACTGTTTAAATATAAACACTTGTTTAATCATGTTTAATTATTTTTCAATTTTAAGTTTTTACTAGTATTTTCAAAAACATATTGAATAATTTGATAATTACAATAAAATGTAAGACCAAAAAAATATGATCATATATTGATAAAATACTTCATGAAAAAACAGGAAGGAAAATGACGTTTCTAAATGATAACATATTAGTTATCAATTATACGTCGGGGAGACAATGGAGTACTCCACCCTAGCGGATTGTCAATAATAATAAAATTCATCGGACTACTGAAGAAAGTGATGTGGATATTTTAAAAAAATATAAATGAAATAATCTACACACATTTTTAATTGATTTATTTCATAAAAACTCTTAGCCAATAATTATCCACACAATTATTATCTATTAATACTTATAACTTGAAATATTGTACATCATGTCATGCTTATTCCTCTTCACAATATCGATACCCTGAAATAACACAAAAATATTGAAATTTTATCAATAGATTTAATTGAAAAAATTTCATTACCTTGAGGAACTTGCAGAACAATCCAATCCATATAAGCACCAACTTTTGAATTTACAGCTGGTTTTCCATCAGCACACAAACCTCCATAGCCAATCATTCCAATTAAAACTATACGTCGAGTAGTAGGGTTTTGCCATAAAACAGGACCACCACTATCATACTAAGGATAAATAACCAAAATTTGAATTATTATTCAGCCAGATTTCTTATATTACATGAAATCAGCATCAGTGCAGTATGATTAAAAAATGAAAACATACCTGACAGCTATCTTTCTCATCTGAATATGTACACAGTTGTCTTGGCCCTATTCCTCGATAAGTATTCATGCAAACTTTATTTGTTATGACACTTACTTTGACTTTCTGTAAAATCATTGATTGGGGTTCAGCAGAATCAAGAGTTCCCCAACCTTGATGAATTAAATTCAATAATAAATATTTTTATTGGTTCAACTTTTTATATCAATTATTATTTTGATAAAATTGATAATAACAACATACCTAACAATTCTACATAATCTCCTGCAAATGTATCTGGTGCATGTTGAAATGGAAGACAAGCTGGACCTACTTGTTGGTTAAATGGAATTGTACCGTCAATATTAATCACAGCAACATCATAGTCTAGATTAAGAGGTGTGTATAATGGATGAATGATGATGCTTCCTACTCTAAATAATTTGGTAGCATTGGTTTCAGTTCCTGTGGTAATTATCAATATGGTAATCAATTCAATATATTTTAATAGATTAAATCAATAATTGAAAAGAAATTTAAACCTTTCGTTAAATCATGATCACCCACTAAAACTCCTATATCTTGTGGATTCCTTCCAGCTACACAATGAGCTGAAGTTATCACCTGCTTGGGATTAATAATAGTCGATCCACAGAATGCTATTCTATTTTTTACATCAATTAATGCAGCCATCATGGGATATTCATTGATTCCTGTATCTGTTCCACCAACAATTCTTGTCTATCAAAGAATAATGTTTGTCTACATAGATTAAAACATACATCAATACTTAGAAATATAAACACATTTCTATACTTACTGGATTTTTCCAACCACAAGCACAATCGGTTCTATTGCTTACAGATTCTAATAAGCAATAAAAACGACCTCCTCGAGAAAGAGGAGAGCTTATTAATGAGATCGTCATTTGATTTCCTTGAGAGTAAGTAGTAAAAGGACCAGTTTCACAATATCTTTCAGTAGCTCCATTTGGTGATTGGACTAACAATACATCCAATGAACAGTTGGGACTCTGAAAATATCATTAATTTTATTCCAAACAATCATATCAATGGGATTTAATTGTTTCTTTTTCTTATTTTTTGTTGTAGATGGAAATAAACAGTACCTCAGGTATATAGAAGGGATCACATGATAACTTGATGGGTCGATCACTCTTAGCAGTCCATCTGCAAGTAGATCCAGCTGGATAATTTCCATTGATGTAATTGGGACTGAAGATATAATAAGACATGCCAGCTTCAATAACTTGTTCAAAATCACATTGTCCAAATGATTGACTACTACTCATTCCCACCATGCCCAAAAGGAATGCCAACGGTGGGAATACTCCTGGTAAATAAGTAGGTTTATTATAAATTAAAAAAAATTTTTTTTTTTATTATTAATTTATTTAATAACTGGATAGAAAAAAAGGCTTCTAGCATACCAAAGCACATTAAATTTTGTAAAGATTTTTTTAAAACTTACTCGTTAGCATTTTTATATTAATGTGCTTATTTTTTACTTAATTTCTCAAACGTAGGACTAAATCATTGCATTTATCTGACATCCATATATATGCATGACTGAGCTTAACAAACTGATAAGATTTATGCATATTTTACAATTGAATTTTCGTCATAATCTCAGTAATGCATCAGTTAAGCAATGTAAAAGTTCCCATGTTTGCAAAAGTGTAATGTTAATAATTATGATAAATTCAAGAACACACGTAAATTCTGTTTAACTGATAGGTAAATTCATTATTTATTCTTCATTATAACAAAGTTTTTGTTTTTCTTGGAATTTAAATTATTTTGAATAAATTTTAACTCTATCTACAATTTTAAAAATTATCCATTAGATATGCAAGTATTTATCTATAGTAATTTTACATTTTTAAACTTATAATTAAAGGATATTAGTTGTTATTTATTACCGATTTTTAATTTTCTTAAGTACACAATAATAAATATTTATTAGATTCAAATTTTACATATCTGTACTAATTGGATAATTTCTAAATTGGTAATTATTTCCTGAAAGTTTATTAAAAAATTGTTCCTGTAAATAAATAAATTATTTTAATATTTTTATTATTTGTTAATTAATTAATTTTATTTATATTTTAACAGCATCAAGTGTTATAATCAATACATTAAAAGAGAATATTATTAAATGATTAATATTCTTCTCTAAGCCTAAGTAATAAAAATTCTAATTTCTATTGTATTCGTAACGATTCGTTACGTATTGTTAAAGTGTAATAACTAGTTCTTATATGTCAGAGATAATTCTGTCGGTGAAAAATCCTTGGTTAAAAACGCGCGCCATTGACAATGTACTAGAACTCGAATGCGCTTGCGTATTCAAGGCCACATGTTGTCATGGTAACCATGATGTTGTTAGATAACAAAACAATAGTTCCTTAACCTTTATGAAAGTAAATAGACTCTTCCATGTCATTTTATTATCGTTAAACATCAGTTTACAAATATTTTTAATTATCAATTTTTTTATTTGCTTTTTTTATGTCTCTTGGTTCAGTGGTTCGTGCACGACGTTTAAGCATCGCTGGTAGTTATGATGATGCTGAGAAAACTGGAAAAAAGCGGGTAATTATTGTTTTTAATGTTAATATTTTACACTTTATTTAAAGAAAAATATTTTTGAAGGCTATTTTAACTTGAGTTATCGATGTTTGATCAATGATATTGTAATATTATAGCTTATTAGAAGCAGAAGTTCAACTAATGGAAACCTTGAAACCCAGTTGGATCCAGTTATCAAACGCCATGGACGTAAACATCGACATTCTTCTGAGAACCGATGTATGTCAAAAATTAAATCTATATCTAATGATATTCAAGAATCTAATGATTACAGCATATCTTCGCCAAAACATAAACATCGACGGTGTAAATCTACAAAAGAAGTGAGGTTTGAGGACGAGTTAATAAAAGCAGATTCATTATCAAAATTAGGTAACTTAATTATTCATTAAATGTATTTTAATCATCACTCTACATTCAGAATAAGAGTTACTCATTATTTGTATTTAATAAAATTCTAGAATTTATGCAAAAACGCATGGACAGAATGGAGAGTCAGTTAGTGAAGTACAAGAGTAAGTGCAGTAAAATGGAGCAAAATTACAGAGAAATTCAGGAAAGAAATTTACAATTAGAAGAATTATGTAAACAACGAGATTCTGAATATAAGGAGTTACATTCACATTATGGAGAATTATTAAAACATATGGAAGTTGTAGAACAGGAGAAAATTAATAGTCAAAGTACAATGAACAAGATATCAGCTGAAAATACACAGTTGAATGAAGATGTAAATTTACTAAAAATATTAGTATACAAATTAAATGTTGAATTAGAACGTTATCAAGATAAGCTTCGATTGTTGAATAAAAAAAATGAAAAAGGAGGTATTTTAAATGAAGTCAATGAAGTGAAAGAAGAAGTAGATTTATCAACAGAGCATAAAAAAATTTTTAAATCCTGGGGTAGAGTAAATACTCATGCTTTAAGTCCATTGTTAGAAGCTTATAAAGAAAATATTGAAGAAAAAGATACACTTATAAAACAGTTTAAGCAAGATATTGATCATATAAATGGAAAATGCAAAGAAATAATTGCAGAAAATGAAGAATTACGTAAAGATTTAGATTATTATAAAGCTCAGGTGAGGATTGAATATTTTTGTTTTAATTTATTAATATTCTTTTTGATTTCATGTGTTGTTTGATATCATCTATTTCTATTGTAGACAGAAAAATTGGAAAATGAAATAAAAACATTGTTGGATGACGTATCGCTCATAAAAGAAGAAAATGATATCTTAACTAAACAAGCAACTTTACAGAAACAGAAGCTTCATGAAATCCACTCGATTTATGAAAAGAAAGTAGAATCAATGTCACAAGATAACAATAAACTACATACAGACTATATAAATTGTCGAACCGAGTTGAGCAATCTTCAAGGCAAATATGAAATTTTAAATGAAGGTTACGAAAAATTGAAGAGAAATAGTGAACGTACTATGCCTGTATCTGTTCATTCAGATGCCATCGAAGAGTGTAAAAGATTATTTGAAGAGCTAAAAATCCAGTATGAAACAGAAAAGAAAAAATTATTGACTCAATTGAAACGTTTGGAAGAAATAAATCCAGAGAATGAGAAGCTTATTGCTTCTTTAACTACTGAAAGGGACCACTTAAGATATCTGACAAAAAATCTGGAAAAAAATTTAAAGTAGGCACTTAAGATTTTATCAATGATATAGTAAATAGATCAATTTATTGAATGGTTTTTTTTTATTTTACAGACAAACACAACATAAATTGAAGAGTAGTCAGAATGCTTTGCTTTCAGTTAAATCATTTAGAGATTCTTTTAAAAGGCAGTTAGCGGAGACGAAGGCTTATTGCCAAGAATTAGTAGCACATCAAGAGAAGCTAGAAGCAGAAAAACAGGAATTATTAGCATTATTTCACAAAAAATCTAAAGAAAATGAAAATATTCAATATTTAGGTGATAATATTGTACAAAGAATGGGAGCTCTGAAAGACCAGTTAAAAGTAAGTCACAATAATTCATGGAAATAAATTAAAAAATTCATTAGTTATAAATAATGTACTGTTTATTCTTTTGAATAAAAGTCCAAATATTCTGGTAGCAATGTTTTAAAATTAACTACTGTATTTTTCAGAGTGTTCAAAAAGGAGCAAAAGAACAATTAGAGAGTGTCGAGAAACATATCAAAACTCAAGAAATTAGTGTAGAGCAAATGAAGTCTGATTACCAGAAAGAACTGCAAAGATTGAAAGTACTGTTAAAAGAAAAAGAAGGGGTAATTGGTAGGCTCCAAAGGGAGAAATATGTTGCCCAAGATAATTTGGAGCTTGTTTGGAAAGCTGCGTCTAATGAAGATCAAAAGGTGAAGAAAGTTTTAAAAAATACAAAAATTTATAATGTTTAATCTGCATAAGTAAAAGGTTGCCCTGATGGTCTCCAACTTGTCCGAGATTTGTCTTCAATTTCCCAATGTACTTGGGAGTCTACTGCTTACTGGAGGATTTATTTATTCAGTATTAATATATCTACATAGATACCTAGTCACAAATGTTAGTCTTCTTTAAATGAATGAGATGAATGATAAAAATATTAAATTGATTCAATCTAGACTTCCGTCGATTTATTATTATGCAAATTTATGTGTATGTAGGTTTATTGCGATCATTTTGTTGATCCTTCTTTATGTCATTTTTCCTTCAACATTCACATTCCTGAATAAAATCGTAAGCGTCATAATGATAGTTAACATCATGAATATTGATGATTGTTATTTTATGATTTTTTTTTATCAATTTTTCTTTTGGCAAGTTTCTTATGGCATAATTTATTATGACGTCTTGTTACATGCTTTATTTAGTGGTGACATCAACCAACACAAGTGGTTACGAAGGTTGTCTCATTGATGATATCGAGTCAATGCTTTTGAAAGCCTCAAGTATTTATTATGCAAGTGATCTCACGTTCGGTCAATTAACATATTAAAGAACTAAAGATTGTACAATCGATATTATCTCATTTTAGTTTCCTTATTCCACTTTTTATGAAAATTATAACTGGAACCAATTATGCAATTATTTCGAAGAAGGTGAATAGCCAAAAATATGAAATGTTTATTATCGATATTAATTATTATTTATAGGTCAGCTATGCAAAATATTTTACATTAATGTGCTAATTTCAAAGTTGTACAACAATTTTTAAAAAAATTTTTTACATTTCATTTCATTAACCTAATAATTAGATTAATGAAAATTAATCACTTTTTTTTTATTTATTTTATTTACAAAGAAATATTTGGACTTTATTGTTATTAATCATTTTATACTATGCATTGTTGATCATAATTATTGTTAAATTTTCCCTCGTAAAATTTTAGTGGTGTAAATCAGGCTTTTGCGCGCGCATGCATTCGTGTGCTTAAAACCAAGATGTCGGCCGAGCGCGTCGTCTGGAACCGGGTCGTGTACGTGACGCAAATTTAGTGTGATAAGCAAGACACTAAACTTAGTACCAAAATGCCACGACTTATAAATTATTAAATGTAAATATTAATGATATATTATAATTAGTATATTAATATGTGTTGTGGATAATTAATATTCTTCTAAAAATAAAAAGAACCGGTGAGCATTGATTTTTTTGCTCGTGTTCCCCCGAACTGCCAGATGATCCGAGTGTGAAACGTCACTTTGGCTGTGCATCCCGTTCATTGTCGTTTTGATTGATAACCCTGACAGAAGAGCATAATTATTAACCTCTAAATCAACTGAAAATTATTTCTGTAAGTCTTTTACTAACATTTTTAGTCATTTTGTTAGTTGTTTGCTCACCCAATAGCGTTGTCATCAAGTTTTTTTTTCTGTTTATTCATATGACTTTTAATTGCCCTCAATAAACTTAAACCTAAATACATAAAACCGCGTGAAAATTTATTCTTAATCGAAGTCAGTTTTATTCTTGTGCAAATGAACACTCGCTTATCTTGTTGTCATTATCGTCAATCGTTTCCCCATGACTCTAGATTCTTAAGAAGTTCAGTTAAATTTAGAACTATTTAAATACATGCGATTCTCTCGACGATTTTCCGCATTCTTCGTTAGCTTAACTGATCAATCTTCTTATAATTTCTATCAACACTCAATTTTCAACTCTGCATTCAACCAAGTTATCAAAACTAAAACACTGTTTTATAATAAAAGATAAAAAAAAAATTCAACTAATGAAAACATGAATATCATTTCAATGATACATACTATTTAATTTATGTTCGTTCAAAGATTACTAATATTTTTTAAAATAAATTAAATCAGTAATTAATTTTATTAAGTCATAAAAATGGCGATAAAATGTTGATACACAATTAATTCCAATCAAAATTAATTATCTATTAAATCTAGAATATCGATAAAAATATTTATCGAAATGATTTAATTATTTACAATTAATTTGACTATATAATTGACATATAATTAAAAAATAATACGATAAAAATATCTATTTTCCAATGATAACAAAGTCACATATTGATAACCTATTTTTCACGTACATAATTTGCGTAAATGTTGGTTCTTACATTGTTTTTTTTTAAAGAAACGATAATTAAAAATTAATTAAAGATATTATTAGAATATTTCCATGAAATTGTTTAAGTGTTTATGTCCTAAAGATATATTGATATTATATTATTTCAGTTCTATATAAATAATAGTCACGAGCTAACCAATTTTTTGAGTTGATTACATCTGAATTGAAGTACCATAATATATTTTCGAGATAAAATTACAGTACATTTAAATATTTTTTTTGCATTAAAATTGCTATTTTGTGAACAGGAAACAGAACAAGTAACGTTACGTAAACTACAATATGAGTCAAATCAATTATAGAATCGATAAGGCAGTTGATTATCGCAAGTGTTGAATGATTGTCAGATAAAATATTGCAGAACATTTGTGAGAATATGAAATCTTTCGAACGTTGTAGAATAAGTCGAAAGTGTTTGAGTGTTATTTCTGTGAGTGGAATATTGATTTTTATCAAACAATGACAGATATCAAACATTTGGAGTAACTATTATTGATACATATAATTAATTAGCATATATTATTTAAAAAAAAAAACCAAAAAAATTGATAAATTTGTTAATTTCTTTCTTTGGAGCTTTCTTTACTTTTCTGCCAAGTCAATAACCTCCAAGAATCATAAATTTGTTCAGTTTCTAGCCAAACTGAAACCTTATTTAATAGTGTAAGAAACTTCTTAGAATTTTCGTGGTTAAAATTTTATCACTCAAAACTAAACGAAGAGTGTGGAAATTACGTCGACCCTTGTGACTTCTTAGGATTAATAATAAAATAAAAACTTCCTAAGACTTCTTAGAACAGACGTTCAGTGATATTTCTGCCAAATAATAGAGAGATAAAAATTTTTAAAATATCGTAACAAGATGAATTATTATACCAATAATTAATCATGTTCACAGTGTTTCATTAAAAGAGTAAATTGATGACATTTTTTTTCATGAAAATCGTCGCTTTATGGTCAGAAAAAAAGCTATCATTTCAGTACACATGAGACATTGGTTCCTCATGTATTGTCTGGGCATGAGTCCAAGTCGAGCAAAAAATTTATCTGCAATCGTAAACTAACGACCTTATGCTTGATGTATGGAGCCATGCCGGAAGTAAAGTCTATTACGTCATAAACAACCCACGCAGTAATTAATCCGTGCAATTGTGAAGACATGATCATGACAATTCATACAGTATAGAAATGACTTTTTTTTTGAATATTTGTTGATGATAGCATGGATTATTTTGATATCATTACACGCTTTTATACTTAAATAAAAATAATATTAGTGATTGATATAAAGGTATTACGTCTATTGACAGAGTAAATATAGTTAATATTCGGTCTTTTTGAAATGAAATTACCTTAAAAAATATATTTTCTGTTATCTACATATCATCAAATGGTTTTGAATTTAGTAAAGCTAACGATACTATCTATGTTTTCATTTCTTCACGTGTCACATGTAAAAGATCAACTCAAGCAATGTGTGCTGAATGTATTCTTATAGTTAATTATAGTTCACACACTATTATTGTCGTAACATTCATACTCTTCTCCGAACAGATTTAATTTAGTCATATGAGTTGGCTTTTTTCAATAAATTTGTCACTGCTAATAAAAGCTAGATGCATATTTCTGAAAATAATTTTTTACTTGGTATATTTTAAAAACTATTATTTTTTATCAGCATTCACGTATTAGAGTCATTAATATTTAGTCTATAGTTTACTAATCTTTATGATAAAATGAAGAATTTACTTTCCGTGGTAAATTAATTGTTATCTTAATATATACATTTATACTGACTTGGCATTTTTTTCTTTTTGATACATAAACTTGTTTGCAATGTTTATAATGGAAGATAATGATATAGAGTATATATAAAATTAACATCTTAATAGACAAGTTACTTTATTACTCTAATTATTTATTTGTATCACCATTATTAACGATCATTAGGGTGCGTTTACTATAAATTAAAATCTCACATTATAGATCCATTATTTAAATAACTTTTTTAGATAATATACTTTTTTTCTAAATTATTTCCTACACCCTAGTTATTTGAAAAAAAAAATTATGGTGCAATTTACTGTGTAGCTATTGAGAAGTTAATTGTTGAAAAAAGCGATAAAACAGCTGTCTTCATTGGAAACATATGGTGAAAGAAAGTGCACGTAATCGAATCACAGTTACATAGTTCATATTAAACAGTTATTATCAATATAAATAATAATACCTGCATCAAAATGCTATTCAAACAGTCTAAACAAATTTACTCCGTTTTTCATTTTTAAATAAAAACTGATTTAGTATCAATTCCAATTGAATTAATTTTCATTTAATTACATCAAGAAATCTAATTAAATTAACCCAAATCAATAAAATCTTCAATCATTAAATTATTTAGCATAGCTTTTATTCAAGTTACTAATTCATTTGTCCTCATTTGTCTTTGTTTCAGATCAAAATTGTGCTCCCGAAAGTAAACAAAAGTTCTTCATCTTGATATGAATACTCGTTACAGTTCTGCGAATTTTATTCAACTACACAATGTCAGCAGTACCAGGTTTAATAGTAAACAGAAGCCGATGACAATGTTGTGTTTATAACGAATAACACGAAAGTTGATGTTACATATCTTTGTCTAATGAACTTTAGGCTGGTGGGGGTAATATCTACCGGTGTACCGAGGGATCGTGATCGTCTCTACGTGGCGCTGCTTGTGGCAGTGTCTAGAGGCAGTTGTCGTCCAATAAACAAACGCCCGGCGACGTCGAATGTAAACGGACGGTATTGTAGAAGTAAAGCCGGCGTTTTCTGTTTCGTGATTGCGGATTTTTTGAATAGGGAAAAGGTGAAGGTAAATGTAAATACAGAGAAGTCACAACAGGATAATTGTCAGCTGCTAGCTGCTAGTAGCCAACACGTGACTGCCTTTATTTAGCAGCTACGTAAATTAACATTCGTTATAATGTCAACCTTGTGATAGTTAGATTAATTTAATGAGTTCGTAGTTCATCTAGTGAGTG